CCCTTATCAGGCGAAATGGCAAGTATACACACTAGCTCACAAACTCCAGCCTATTGTGAGCTGATCTTGGTCATAAGAAGCAAGAATATAAGCTATGCTCATTATATATTAAAAGGTTGGATCATGGATGCAAGGGCAAGATACTGAAAATCGTGAAAAAATATCACAAGTGCAATTGTCTATGCTTTGTTCCTGGAAAAGGATCCTGTGTGTCCTGGGCTGGTTATATGATATATCTACTCCGAATATGCTCAGGAATAGACTCCCTACAGTCCTTGAGGTCCAGTCCTACAGGGAAAAAACCCCAGCAGGTGAACCACCAGAAGAGGGGGAGGTACACTATACAATAAAGGATTACCCTATGGTCCTGAGCTCCTGATACATTGTTTCTATTGTTGAATAGATGATTGAGATACTATTCACCTAGAAATGAACACATAGGAACATATTTTGTATTTTTATGTATATATGCAATATCCATTCAAGCACCAAGTCTCAACTACCGATTACCAAGTCCCGACACTTGATAGTTGATAGTCAGTATTCGAGCTCCGAGTGCCAATATTGCCTACCAATATCTCAGTCAAATGATAACCAAACCAAGACCCAAGTTCCAAACCTGACTACTGAATACCAAGTATCAGTACTCGGGACTCGGGACTATTGGCTGGAGTACCCAACTATTGATTCACAGGTACCGAGAATTAGAACCAAGTACTGAGTACCTGACCACTGATTCTCGGGTACCAAGTATCAGAACCGAGTACCGAGTACCCGACTACTGATTCTCGGGTATCGAGTATCAGAACCAAATACCGAGTACTGATTCCCTTGTACCGAGTACCGAGTAACGAGATAACCAATTGACAAGAAAAAACTACCAATACACTCACCTTGGCTCGGACTACAACTTTTGTTCAGGAACTTAAACATAATAATAACTTTCATTTTTCATTATTGCCGATGTTTCAGATTTCTTTAGCTTATATCTCGGTTAAATGATAACTGATGGACAAGAAAAGACTACCAATACACTCCCCTAGACTCGGACTACAACCTTCGGTAAGGAAGTTAAGCGTAATAACAACTTTCATTTTTCATTACCATTTGCCTATATTGACTACCGACCAGTGGCTGAGTGCCGAAGCTTGAAACTTGAAATCGGTGGAAAATGAAATCTCGCAACAATGTACACATGAACATGTTTCATTTCCATAAACAATTCCCCGAGTGTCATGTACCGAGCCCCGAAACCCAAAGCCTGAAGCCCGGACTGTGTTGTCAGGTTAGTACAAGACACTCGGTGAATTGTCAAAGGAAATGAAACATTTTCATGTGTACATTGTCACGAGATTTTGTTTTCCACTGATTTCAAGTTCCAAGCTTCAGCACTCAGCATCCGGCACTCGGAACTCGGAACTCGGCGCTCGGAACTCAGAACTCAGTGAAATGTCTAAGGAAATAGAAATTTCACAATTCCCTGAGTTAGTACAAGACACTCAGTGAATTGTCAAAGGAAATAAAACATTTTCATGTGTACATTGTTGCAAGATTTCGTTTTCCACTGATTTCAAGTTTTGAGCTTCGGCACTCGGCACTCGGAGCTCGGAACTCGGAATTCGGCGCCCGGACCTCGGAACTCAGTGAAATGTCCAAGGAAATAGAAATTTCACAATTCCCCGAGTGTCGTGTACCTGAGCCCTGAAGCCTGAAGCCAGGACTGTGTTGTCAGGTTAGTACAAGACACTCGGTGAATTGTCAAAGGAAATAAAACATCTTCATGTGTACATTGTTGCGAGATTTCATTTTCCACTGATTTCAAGTTTCAAGCTTCAGCACTAATTTGGAACTCGGGACTCGATTTTTGAGATGAAAGACATTTTTCAAACATGTTTGAATCAACCTTTCATATATCCATAAACATTTTACCAACTCCCGAACCCCGAAATTGTGGACTGCCGGGTCTCGGGGGTTGGGGGTCGGTGCTCGGGACTTGGGAAATTTGGGGAGATCAATAAAATTTGATCTACAATAAATTTGATTTACAAACAAATTGATTTACAAACTTTTGAAAGATATGTCGTCTCACATATCGAGTCCTGAGTTCCGGGACCCCCGAACCCCGAACCCCGAGACCCGGCAGTCCACAATTTCGGGGTTCGGGGGTGATCTACAATAAATTTGATTTACAAACAAATTGATTTACAAACTTTTGAAAGATATCTGTGTTGTCTCACATATTGAGTCCCGAGTTCCGGGACCCCCGAACCCCGAAATTGTGGACTGCCGGGTCTCGGGGGTCGGGGGTCGGCGCTCGGGACTTGGGAAATTTGGGGAGATCAATAAAATTTGATCTACAATAAATTTGATTTACAAACAAATTGATTTACAAACTTTTGAAAGATATCTGTGTTGTCTCACATATTGAGTCCCGAGTTCCGGGACCCCCAAACCCCGAAACCCGAGACCCGGCAGTCCACAATTTCGGGGTTTGGGGGTGGTAAAATGTCTATGGATATACAAAAGGTTGATTCAAACATGTTTGAAAGATGTCTTACCCGGAACTCGGGACTCGATTTTTGAGATGAAAGACATCTTTCAAACATGTTTGAATCAACCTTTCATATATCCATAAACATTTTACCAACCCCCGAACCCTGAAATTGTGGACTGCCGGGTCCTGGGTTTCGGGGTTCGGGGGTCCCGGAACTCGGAACTCGGTATGTGAGACAACAAAAATATATTTCAAACACGGGTAAGTCAATGTGTTTGTCAATCAACTTGATTGTAAATTATATTTTATTGATCTCCCCAAATTTCCCAAGTTCCGAGTTCCGAGCTCCGGGACCCCTGAACCCCGAAACCCGACACCCGGCAGTCCACAATTTCGGGGTTCGGGAGTTGGTAAAATGTGTATGGATAGATGAAAGGTTAATTTAAACATTTTTGAAAGATATCCCATATGAAATGTCAAGTCCCAAGTTTCGATTTCCGGGTTTCTGGAGTGCCGAGTCCCGAAGCCCGAAGTCCCGAAACCCGGAGTCCCGAAACCCGGAGTTCAAAACTCGGGACTTAACATTTCATATGGGACATCTTTCAAAAATGTTTAAATCAACCTTTCATCTATCCATACACATTTTACCAACTCCCGAACCCCGAAATTGTGGACTGCCGGGTTTCGGGGTTCGGGGGTCCCGGAGCTCGGAACTCAGAACTTGGGAAATTTGGGGAGATCAATAAAATATAATTTACAATCAAGTTGATTGACAAACACATTGACTTACCTGTGTTTGAAATATATTTTTGTTGTCTCACATACTGAGTTCCGAGTTCCGGGACCCCCGAACCCCGAAACCCGAGACCCGGCAGTCCACAATTTCGGGGTTCGGGGGTTGGTAAATCTCGGTTTGGGGTTTTGCACTGAAAATTTGACATTTATACATATCTAGGCTCACCCATATATGTACCCATCTATGTACAATTCCCCCACATCAGCCCACCCATCTATGTATTATCCCCCACGTCGGCCCACCCGTCTATGTAATACATCCTATGTTGGCCCACCCATCTATATAATTATACCCCACCTCGGCCCACCTGTCTATGTAATAAATATTTTATCACACCCTCGGCCCACCCGTATATGTAATACTTTTTATGTCGGCCCACCTGTATATGTAATACACCCCGCGTCAGCCCACCCATCTATGTAATATTCCCCTACCTCGGCCCACCCATATATGTAATACACCCCCGTCGGCCCGCCCGTCTATATAACAATATTTGCCTTACATCTCTCTTCAGCCCAGCTGTCTATAATATCCTACTCTACATATTACCCTGATGGGCCCACCCATCTCCATGAATGATCATATTCCCCCGGCCCATCCGTCAACATCAAGGATATATATATCATTGGCATACATGGGCCCACCCGTCTCCATCGGAAATAATATGTGTCCCGGCCCATCTGTCATCATCGAGAATATACACAACATGGGCCCATAATCCGCTGGCCCGTCTCATACGGGATATTATGTAGGTCGGGTGGCCCGTATAATACGGAATTTGTCACTGAAGGGGCTCTCACTCCAGCTGCTGCTCCCTTCACTCCTGCTCCTGCTCCCTTCACTCCTGCTCCTGCTCCCCTCACTCCTGCTCCTGCTCCCTTCACTTCGGCTCCTGCTCCTGCTCCCTCCCATACCGTCCCTTACAATACATCCCCCCAATTCCACCTTCCCGGTCTCCCGACACCAAAAGACGCCCTCGACAATCATAACGCCGAGGACGACGACTTTGATCAAGACATTAGCGGACCATTTGACACCCCACTTGGAGATTATTTTGAAGATGATGATATGATGGTCGACGAGACGACCGGTAGCTCTTCCCGTGTTGCAGGGAAGAAACGGCAGCTTCCCTCGTCACCATCGCCCCCTCCTAACGCTCCAGAACCATTCCACAGGCCTGCAAAATCCCCGGCATCTTCCTATAACAACCGCTCGGCATTTGGCTTACAGAAGCCATTGAGCCGTGGGGGACGACGCAAACGACCATCAGAGATGTCGCGGAGCACATCAACGCCTTCGTCGACGACATGAAATACTACCTCGACGTCAGACTACTTTGTGTCCCCAACTCCCCAGACGTCACTCCCAACCAGCACCGGCAGTTTGAAGAAGAAAAAAGCGAAATCGGACGTGATGGAACAGGTGGACCAGATGAAGGATGAGATCCAGAATATGCACTCTGATGCCATGTCCCGCCACGACAGCAAGCACCAGCGCTTCCTCGCGAAGCTCGACGCGAAGAGCGAGCACAATCGCGACGTCAAGAAGTACGAGTGGCTTCGCACTAACTGCGAACATGAGGCCTCCCAAGCCACTGTAAGCCATCAGCGGCTGCAGCAGACCAAAGACGCCGAAATTCGCCTTCGCGAGACGGATATCCGAGTCCACAAAGCACATTCGTTGGTGCTCGAGAAAGAGGCAGAGACTCTTCGACTCAAAATCCAGTACCACCAAATGATGCAGGCTGGCAAGGCCTCATCAGATGGAGGAGCTGGATGAGTCTTTTTTTCGTTGTGTCGTCGTCTCCGTCTCTGTCGTCGTCATCATCATCGTCTCGTTGTCGTCGTCTCGTTGTCGTCGTTGTCATTGTCGTCTCGTTATCTCATTATCATCTCATCGTCGCTCATCTATCTGTTGTCACTATGTCATTTGTTGCTGTATGTTTGTTTACATCCTTATGTTTTTTTTTCCATTGCATGCACATGTTTTTGGTGTTGTAATTGTTGGTACTTTCTTGATTGATATTTACATAGCTACATACATTTGTTGTACAGGTGTTTAAGTGGTAGTACATGTTCAATCAAACATTGTGGTGAATCATCCTTCCCTATGGTGTGCATTTGAGTGAGGACTGTCAAAGAGTGCATTCATCAGCCTTGCACGAGCAGCTTGACCTGGAGTGCCTTCATAAGTCCTGTCCCCAACAACTTCTTCACCATCTGGACCCTCAACTTCTCGATCAATGAAATCTTTCCCCTCAGCACGAGCCCACTTTAGAGAACTCTCGTATGTTCCATCCCTCTTGCGATGCTCGATTTCAAAGCGAATGATCATGTTGTGTAGGATAATGCAGCACTTGATCCACTGCACGGCAAACTCAAGGTCTTTCTCAGCCTGAATTCTGAACTGGAGCTCTCGAAGGGACTGGAACCGTCCCTTCAAAACAGCGAATGTGTGTTCAACACGAACACAGATCTAAAAAAATTCAATTTACTGAAATATAAACCTCAAAAAAAAATACCTTAGAGAGATGATAATTAAATGTCTTCTGGTCCTTAGTCAACCGCCCATTGCGAGGCTTCTTGAAAGGGGCAATGCACCATGGCTCCAATGGATATGCACTGTCAGCCCACACCCAATGACCATCAGGCAGAAGGTCAGCATGCTCTTCATAGAGACGGGTAGATCGAAAAGCGAATGCATCATGGACACTCCCAGGATGACCCAGAGAATAATCCACAATTAGAAGGTTATGGGGCAAAATGACTGCCTAGAATTAAATCAATTTTTGCACATGAAGATTTTTAAAAAAATACCTGACAGCCAAGGGAATATTTAGATTTCCTATCATAAAATGTCTCACCGAAGTAACCAGGTTTGGTGAAAAGATTCATAGTTGAGCCATCAATGGCTAGAAAGCCACCCTTCCACTCTGGGCAGGTACGTGACTCAGCAAATTTGCGAGCCAAGTCAGCATCCTCAGAATTATCTGCTGGGAAGCAGATAAACTGATCATGAGCATCAAGCACCGCAATCATCACACGATTAGTGCAATTAACCACAGACCCAACACTCACGCCTGCCCATTGAGCGACATCTTCAAGAGTAATAGCATTTCCATAGTGGCCGGCTCGATTCAAAAAAATGGCAAGTTGAATGGAGACAGGGAGCTGAGGATTGTTGGACTGATTTTGGAAGATGGGATGATCAGAGATAAAATCGAGGATGTCATCGAAGATCTCGGGGTTAACACGGAGTTTTTGCCGAAATAAGTGAGGGCAGTGTTCTTCATGATGAACCAACATGTGAAGCTGAGGTGCTCGTGGGGGAGGCTCATCGGGCTTATGGAGTACACGAGCCCTCTTAACCTCATCACGAAGAGCATTAATGGTGTCACGGAGGCGGTCGTAAGGCACAGCAATGTCATCAGAGGATATAGAACCATCACTGGAAGAATCTGAAGCCCCTGTCATAGGGGAGAGGGGGGAGGGGGGGGAAGGCGAGCTAAAAGATAGATTGAGTGAATTATCATCATCCGAAGTAGTGGAAAGGGAGTCCTCGGAGTCAGAATCGCTCTCAAAGTCAGACCAATCGTCCAGGATATCCTGGTACTGTAGCTTGGCCAGGGAAAGTTCGGCCTGGTCTACAATAGCCAGGAGTTCTTTACGGATGGATGGTTGAGGCATGGTCACAATTGGGGAGTCGAGGGAATCAAAACTCCTATCCATTTGTGTATATGTGACGTAGTTTGTGGCGGAGTTTGAAATTTCGGAAAGTTCCGAAGTTTCGTCTCGCAGTGAGCACGCTGATGCCATCATCGACCTCACCATCCAGCCTCAATGCTCACACACAGCACTGAGCAGGACATCAAATTTTCAGGTGTCATCAACCCAAGGTAAGTATTTTTTTTGCCTCCTGTAAGTTCCAGCTGACATATTCACCCTTATCTTACAGGAAATCTATTCTAGTGCCGGTCCCACACATGACCAACAGCGGCTCAATTTTACCGCCAAGCCGCTGGTTCCTCACTACCCCCTACACCTTCTACACTCCCCTTCTTGTGGGATCGACTCTGCACTCATTCCAATCCAGCCGGCTCAAGGCACGCTTAGGTTTACGCGACCCCTTATGCCTGATGCAGTCTTTCAACTGCCCCAACCTGTACTATGCCGCAGTACAGCCTAAACCGTCCACGAAAAAGAAGGTGGTTCAAGCCATTGCTGGTTTCATCAAGTCACAGCATGCTACCCATACTGGCATTGTGCACGGCTTCTCGAAGTCGGAGTGTGAGGAACTTGCTGAGCAACTGTGAAACGACTATGGCTTATCTGCCAAACATTACCGCGCCGGTATGGGCCCACAAGAGCGCAGCACTACTCAAGATCCATTATCCACTTCAACTCCAGGCTCGAGGGGCGGCAACATCCTGGAAAGCAGCTCGAAGGTAGCCGTACTCTCCACAACTACAACATCATCTTTCACTTTACCTTACATCTGCAGATCTTTTTCATGTGTCCTCCTCCCCTCAGCACTTATTTAGTCCCTCCGGCATTCACTACCTTCCTTCCAGTACTGCGCCTTCACAATATGGCCAATACATACTCTCCGGGCCCTCATATACCTTATCACGCAAATGCCCTTGAAACACCTTACGCTGGGAGTTCGCAATTCGCTCCTGCTCCTGCTCCCTCTTTTTCATGAATTTTAACATTTGAAATACGATGTATATCTACTATGGGTTGCTTTTTTTACTCTATGTACGACTTTCCCCTATGAACATACACTTTGAAAAATCATAAGTGTTTGAATCTCCGACTTCGTGCCGACGTGCGCTGAGCATGTTTTGAGCGAGTTGAAACCAACTTTAACCGAGAATTCAGAGCGTGTTTAGCGTGTTAAGCGAGTTTTCAAAAGGTTTCAAAAGTTATTTTGAGTACCACTAATGCAGAAAACGTTTTGGACAGATGGACGATGATCATGTGACTTTTCAAACTCATCCGGCATGTTCCGGAAATGAACAAAGCGTCAATCCGTTGGTCAAGGTAAACGGAGCTGCGAAGTTGAGAAATAGTCGGAGTGAAAATATGTGTATGGTGCAAGCAAGATACACGAAATACCGGGTCCAGGGGTGCCGTATAAAATCGGGGATGAGAAAATAAAACGAAGACGCGGGAACAATCGGAGCAAGGTTATTAGTCGGCAACGCCGGCCCCTAGTTAATACGAGTAAGTAACTTGAGGTGCAGTATGCCCGTCCGACCCAGCACTATTGGATTCACGTGAGTTCCTGACTCGGATGAACATGTACTAGTGGGAGCTGTTATGACACACCATGCCTGTGGCGATGCTTACAAGACCTGGCTTGCTAGTTGCTACAGGCTACACGATACCAGTGAGTACTGGTCAATTCTTTTTTCGACCATGACCAGGCAAAAATGCATACAGATGACTAAACGTAACGAGCTATGTCTTTGGATCCTGAACCATAAGACATCCGAGTCGATCATCGACTCAGGATGCTTCACTAGTACAGCCCAAAAAGCCAATACAAAAGCATCAATTTGAAGGCCATGAGGACGGTTTTTTGAGTTTTGTCTTCTTGCAACAAAGCTCTATCAACCGCTAGGCCAGTAATTCAGCCAGGGAGATAGCAAAGCGTTAGTTGGCGGGTCGCCTGTCTTATTCTCTCGAGATCGGAGACACCTCGCATATGACGAACGTGGCAGGAATCTTACTTTGTGGATGGTTTCATACATAGATCTTGAGCTTCCGGTACGTGCTTTTATAACTACACTTCAAGGTGGCACATTACACAGAAGGAAACTTGACCCAGCCGTCGCCTTGTCTTGCCTTCATGTCAGTCATGCATTAGACTGCATTCCTTTTCGCTCACAGAACTTTCACAGGCCGACGCTACAAATCTTTAGTTGCACAGCTGTATAGTGACGATTGTGGCGACTTTTTTCAGGTAAGCCTTGTGTTTTGTCATGTAAAGGGGATAGCATGATCAATGAATATTCAAAGACTTCTCATGCTTCGACGCCATCTTGCACCTCCTATCGTCCCAAGCGTCCTAACTGATCTTCGGCTCGCCGATTCTGGACCATCCATATACCCTCCCATTGTCACATTTATACATGATCCAATCTTCAGAAGGTTTACGTTATGTATCGCCCTGTGAAGCGTAATACTGAGACTGGTCAGTCATCAAGCTCAGCTTGTGGTGCGGCAGCCCAACTCGACGCTAGTGAAAGCTACAGCCCCAACCTCAAGTGCAAGCGGTGACGCAACAACCTGCGCGAGAAGAAGATCATGATTGTTGTGCACATTGGTGCATTTAATGCTGCATTTCCACTTTTCAGCCTGTTACCTCGTAATAATGCTATCATACCAGGTGTATTTCGCTGTGCCCTTTATCTCGGTTCGGTTCTGTTTTGATACCATAGCATTTCTGGTTACGTGTTTTATCGCATGTTCACTGGCAGGTCTAATTATCTTTCTCTGATATGTACATACTACGTCACGATTTGCTCCCGCGGAACCGTTGTTACATATGATAGCGGGCCATGCTCAATTTAAAAACACGATAAGTGAGTTGTCACATCGGCTGTCGTGGGTGGGCACGTCGCAGTTTGCTATTGGGCCCGGATCACCAATTACTACATCGATGACCCTATGCCGTTCGAACAATGGGTAATCAGCTGCCAGTATACATAAGGGTAGACTTGGGGAGCCATTTAACCAATCCACGACAGACGATTTGTGTATAATAATGTTCGTATAGTTCTTGACGTACATGTTTGGTGGATCTGGCCACTGTGATTATTCAAATATTCCACACAGATTTCCAGTGCGAAATCAACTAGGTCTAATCGATCCAATCTAGGGCTCAAGATAAGTCTGGTTCCCGTTCCAGAGCATGACAGGGACACTTGACATAAGGATTTTTAATGCGGGGGCAAGAGTTGCTTTGTGAAAAAAATTGCGGCAAATACATTCATCAAAGGATATCGATGTTTCCCACTCTGCGTCTTCCAAAGCTCCGTCACAATGCCATCTTGGTATGCTCCTGTTCGATGTGAGAAACACATATTACGTGGATAGAAAACTTGCAACGGAAAACCTTATAGCATAATTGAAATCTCCTATGCAGTCCCACTTTGTATGCTACCATCAGCATGGTGAACGTGGCTTAAAATAAGGTGAGCATCTTTGCCTGAAACCTGAGAGTTCGAGACAGACCTCGGTGATACGAATGTCATTTCATTTGTATCTGGATCAAACAGAAATCGAATTGTCAGGGCGTCGTAACCCACACTGGCTGGCTGGTGCCCTACTCACGCTATGCAACAACTTGCCATCTACGTGTAGAGCAATGCAGTACGCTGTACATACAAAATACTCTGACAAACACCTGCATGTCCTCTGCTGCAAAGAGAAAGGTCTTGCAGGATGCTCATCAGCAGGGTTTGGCTGAGGGACTGGTGGGTGCCAATCCTCAAGAGACTGGATATCTGGAACAATTAGCTGAATCGGTCAGAAATAGTGAGCAGCCTAGTATAAAAACGGCTGGCATCTCCCTCGATGACCTATATGAGATGAGATACAAATAGACATTAAAATGTATGTGAGCTCAGCGCGATAAACGTTTGTCCGGAGTAAACCTAAACTGACAAGAAATAAATGAAATAAATAGCTCAGGACCGATTCTCGTTACGGTGATACTGTACACGCGGATGAAATACAAATGTCTTGTGCTGGCGATGACGGGTCTGCGTATGAGCGGAAAGAACGCATCAGGGATTATCTGAGTACACTAGGCTGAACAGTCTGAAGACTCACCTAGAGTCGCTTATAAAAGTATGACAGTCCAGACGGGCTTCAAGCGAGGTCCTGCAGGGGCAGGAACGAGTAATAGTACTACTCGTACTAGTAAGCCTGTTGGTCGGTTACGGCTGATTCTTATCGCCGACTTGAATAGTCTGTCTCTGGCATGGATTGTTATGTGTCTTCTAAAGGTTGTGTAAATGACGTTGATTAAAGAACTCGTGTTATAAGAACGTGTTTTGAGCTCACTGCCGTCGGTTCCAAGTCAATGAGTGACACAATAAAAAAAAGTAGATTGCCGACTGAGTGAACGGGGACCAACTAAGGTTTCTGGGGTCCACTGTAGGGGTTGTTTTTTTTGGCTCGAGTCCCACGCACTTGTTGTACTCCGTCGTTTCCCTACAGCCTCAGGCTATAGCAGGAAGACATCATCCTTTTAACCTGCCGAGATCGCAACTGACAGCGACGGGCTTTCGTTTTTCATAGACAGAACCAAGGTTCATACAACTGATCTTTTGTTTTCGCCTGCTGGCAGGTCATACTTGACGACCACCACGCGCGACAAATCATCGACTGTTTGCTAAAATATCTGTTACATCGAAAATTCGTGAGTTCAATTTGTTGTGTGCTCGTTGTTGCTGGCGACTAAACCAAAACCACCTTCCACGCGTCTTATGCGTGTTTTTTTTCTGTGTTATAGAATGAACAAAGTTTCCAATACATCTGGAAAGACTCCGACGCCGCTCCCTTCGCAGTCAGCTTGGGCAAAGGGCCCGCCGCAGAGCAGTTCATCCGCAACCCCTTCGCCGCGATCGCAGTCTCCCGCTCCTACTCATGTTGCATCTCCAATAGCTACTTCTCACTCGAGACGTCCAAGTGCGTTAGGCCAGGGCGTGTCCGTAAAAGATGGTGTCTCAGTCCCTCGAAATAATGTGGGATCAGTAGTACGACCAGGTCTGATTTTATCATCACGCTAATTACCATTTCCAGTTCTAACTGTCACTCTTAGCATCCGTTGTGTTTGGATCAATAGATGATGCCTCGGCCCCGTTATCTTCATCACCGGCCGCCATTCCCGCCGTCAAAACCGAAGTCGTAAAGTCTTTCGGATCCGTACCTGCTACGTCTTCCAACCATGTAAATGGTAAAATCTCAGCTTCTGCATCGGCCACAGGGTCGTCGAAGCAGCCTCCACGACCAACACTCTCCAACTCCAGCACGTTATCCTCAACGGCCGCAACATTAACCGCATCTACGCCTAAACCGTCCAGAGCAGATATAACAAAGCTCTTCCAGAATCCCTCGTCATCGTCTTCTCAGCCGTCTTCCGACACATCCTCTCCTTCCACCCGGCCCTCTAATTTACCTTCACACCACCAGCCATCGTCATCCTCCTCACAACAGCCACAGCCACAGCAACCCTCGCAACTCGGTACACATTCATATTCGCAATTCGTGCCCAATAACATGCGCCAACCGCAGCAGCCTTCTGGCACCCCACGCTCTCCTGCATTCCCTCGTGCCGTGCCAAACGTGCAAGGCCCGTCTCGACAAGGAGCTGGCCCAGGGGGTCCCGGTGGCCCACCTATCCCTGCCAGTCCCCGAATGGCTCCGCATCCACATCAAGCACCTCCTGGAGGTATAGGACAGCAGGTACCCATGCAGCCCATGTCATGGCCTGGATACTATGTTAGTACTCTATTTTTTTTAAAAACCTTTATCAACCGTGTTCTCAACGTGATGCAAGTATATGGATCCATATCAACCACAACCTCCTTGGGGGTATTATGCTGTGCCCTCCCCACATATGCACCAACAACCCCCGCAACATGTCCCTCATGTCCCTCCTCATCAACCTGGACCTCTTCCTATGTCACCTCGCCCCGCAGCCCCCCAACTACCTGGCACACCCACCATGGCACACGCTATCCCGCACCCCCCTCATACACCTCAACCGCCTCCCTCCATATCTTCACCACCACCCACGCCTTCCACTACCAACGCGCCTCGCCTTAATACGAACGCACGCGACTTTGTTCCTGGCGGACGTCCTACATCCAAGGTTACCATCAAGAGCCAGGATGGCATGGAGGTGACGCTTGATGCTCTCAAGAAGCACAGTCCCCAACCACCGACTGTTCCTATCCCACCCGCATCGCCTGTCGTGACCAATCGACGGCAACCTTCGGTTTCAGTACGGATTGAGAGCGAGGAATCGAAGCGCGCGCGCGAGGAGATTGCACGGAAAGAGCAGGAGAAGAAAGACGAGGAGGAGCGTGCGAAGAAGGATGCTATAGAGAAGAAGAAGCGCGAAGCAGAGGAAGAGGCTAAGCGGATAGAGGAGGAGGAGGCTGCACGCAAGAGGAAGGCCGAGGAGGAGCGGATACGCATGGAGGAGGAAGAAAAGGAGCGGATACGACAAGCAGAGGAAGCTGAGAATGAGCGCCTACGTCAGGAGGAGGAAGACCGTCTTGAGGCAGAGCAACAAGAGGCAGAACAGGCACGCATCGCACTGGAAGATGAGGAACGGAAACAGCAGGATGCTCTTGAAGCAGAGGAAGCTCAGCTCGAAGCTGAAGAAGCTGCTGACATCGTTCAGACTTCATCACCCACCAGCGAGTCTCAAGAGCCCGAGGACGGCGAAGTCTCCGAACACGACGAAGCTCTTGTGCCTCAGCTTAACGGTGATAGCGGAAAGAAATTGAAGGAGTCACTTCGGATAGATACGTCTGCGATGCCCCCTCCCACTGAGATTCCACGAAGACGTCCTGGCCCTCTCGACCTTGCTTCAACCACCAAGAAAGATATTTCTGCGCCTCCACCTTCCGCACTCCTCACAGCACGTGTTATCGAGAATCTCAGCGAGGTTGCGTACCCCGAAGGCATCAAGAGCCCCAAGGTTGAACTCAATGCAAACGTCAGGGATGGTCGATTCAGGTGTGTTTTACTTCGTTCACTTCGAATGTCTAATTCATTGCTTCGTGTAGATATGATCGTGACTTCCTTATGCAGTTTATGCATATTTGCAAGGAGAAGCCGCCTACCCTTCCTGCTCTCGACGTCCTTGGCATTGAACCGGTCGATCAAGCTTCGTTTCCCATGGCCCGCGGTGGCTCTGGACGTCATCGTAACGCCTCTGGTGCGATGCCCGTTTCTGCCAACCGCCAGGCTTCTGTAGGTCTGGGCATCGGTGGCTTCCAGAAACCTTCCGTTCCGAGCGGATTCCAGATGGGCAATTTCCAGTCCCCAGGAAGCAAACTTACCAGTGAGGAGCGGTTTGCCATGTCCAATCGTTCTGCTTCAACTAGCAGTGCTACTTCCCAATTCCGTTCCCCGATGGTGCGCACGCCTAGTACAGGTGGGCCTGGCCATCCTATGCATGGCAGCAACCGCATACGCAGCAAACGCGGGGAGAAGCGTGGCGATGCTAACAAGACACCGATGTCTCAGCAAGAACATGGTTCTGGCTATGGCGTTGCACCCATCCTGGGCGCTGGCTTCGAGCCCGTTGCACCTCTCGAATTATCTGCCAACCGCTGGGTTCCTAACAGTACGGCCCGGAAGGGTCAATCTGATGTCGATTCACCTGAGCTGGTCGACCGTAAGGTCAAGGCACTACTCAACAAGCTCACGATGGAGAAATTCGAGACGATTTCAGACCAGATCATCCACTGGGCCAACAAGAGCGTGAATGAGAAGGACGGGCGAACGCTCATTCAAGTCATTCGGCTGGTGTTCGAGAAGGCGACTGACGAGGCTGCTTGGAGCGAGATGTATGCGCGGCTGTGTCGGAAGATGATGGAGCAGATCAGTCCTGAGGTGCAAGATGACGGGATCAAGAATACGGAGGGCAAGCCCATTGCTGGCGGACAGCTGTTCCGGAAGTATCTCCTCAACCGGTGTCAAGAAGACTTCGAGCGCGGGTGGTTCGCCAAGGAAGCTACTGCTGCAGCCGCTGCAGCGAAGGCTTCCGACGATCATGCAACTAAGACTGCTAACGACAAGAAGAGCACGGAGGAAGCTGAACTCTATTCGGAAGAGTACTACGCTGCACAGAAGGCGAAGCGCCAGGGTCTTGGTCTCATCAAGTTTATCGGCGAGTTGTTCAAGCTGCAGATGCTCACTGAGCGTATCATGCACGAGTGTGTGAAGAAGCTGTTGGGCAATGTCGAGAACCCAGAGGAAGAGGAGATCGAGAGCTTGTGTCAGCTGTTGAAGACGGTCGGCCAGTTGCTGGACACGCCGAAAGCCCGCGCGCATATGGATGTTTACTTCACGCGCATGAAAGAACTCGGAAAGAGTCTCAACGTCAGCTCTCGTATGCAATTCATGCTTCAGGTGTGTGGATTTGGGGGTATCTTTGTTGGTTGTGCTCATCATGATCTCAGGATGTCATTGAGTTGCGTGACCGTAAATGGGTTAGCCGCAATGCTGTTGCTGCGCCTACGACAATCGCTGCTGTTCACGAGCTGGTAAGATATACTAGCATCCTCAGAAACGTTTGTATTGACGATCATGTTCCAGGCCGCTAAGGAGAAAGCAGCTGCGGAGAAGGAGTCTTTCAACCGTCAGATAAGCATGTCTCGCGGTGGCTCTCGACGCGGTGATAACCGGAACCAAGAACATGGCCCTGACGGCTGGGCTGTTGCAGGTGGCAGTTCGGTTCCGCGGGCACCTCCCAAGGCTGGTGATCTGTCGCAGTTCGGCAAGATCTCCAAGGGCCCAGCCATGGGAATGGTAATGGGTCCCAGCGGCATCTTCGCGGCCGGCAAGAAGGACAGCAAGCGGGAGACACTTTCTCGAACAAATTCGAGTTCGAACATGTTCCACATGCTCAGTCAGAACCCTGAACTCGCCCCTGAGGCATCTACGAAACCCAGTCGTTCGTCGAGTCGGAAAACGAGCGTTGATCTTGGTCATGCTGGTGTTCCTGAGCCCGCTGTACAGCGCAGGAGGCTCCAGCTTCTTCCACGGTCCGTTCATACTACTGAAGAGAACGCCACGACACCTTCGGAAGAAGAACCTGAAAGCGCACCCATGGCCATGTCAGCAGCAGACGTGAAGAAGAAGATTGATGAAGATGTAAAAGAGTTCTTTGCTGTTCGCAATCTTCAAGAGGCGGAGGTTTACTTTGCCAATCTTCCTGACGAGCACCGCTTCCGGCTCGTGGACAAACTGGTTGCGTCCGCGCTTGAGAGCAAGGAGGCGGATGCGAGGTTGGTCGGTGATTTCTTCGCGCAGGCTACGAGTAACGGACAGTGTACGCTTGAGGTCATTGAGGAGGGGTTCATGCCCATGGCGGAGTTTTTGGACGATATTGCCATTGATGCTCCCAAGGCATTTGACTACATGGCTATTATGCTCAAGGGCGCTGGATTCGAGAATGAGCCTGAGAGACTCCAACGGATCGCTTCGAAGCTCGAGGATAGCGACAAGCTAGTCTCTCTCGTTGCATGATCTGTCCTACTCATCTCACATTGTCGATTCCATTTTTCTTTACCTGCATTCTTATCGCATTTTCGTTTTCCGTTTTCTGATCGTATTGCACGTGTTCTTGGTGTTCTGCAAACTAATATATACATCGCACGGCACTTTTGCGTTTGTCCTCTTTTTTGTTATCGTTCACTACATACAGCGGCATAGGCTACAGCTAGCAGTACATCAGGTACAGCAATATCATTTCAGATTCCGACCTTTCCGTTTACATCAGCATGTGGGTCCCAAGTGGGTCCTGCAGGCCTGGGCTTCAATCTAGCAAGTTTTAATGCAAGCCTCATTGCAAGAAGCTGTATTAACGCAGTAATGTGCGGCCCGTAGGACAATCACATGCGCACTGCGCAGCAAGATAGATAGGATGCAGATTGGACGCCAATCTCCAGCTCCTCCACAATGTCTGCCACAATTCTCGTCCCAAGTACGACCCGGCGCGAACGTCAACCTCGCGTCGACTACCAGAAACCCTCCGTTCCAGACAGTCATCAGGTAGGCACCTTCCCGTCCCCAGGAAGCGAGCTTACCAGCGAACAGCGTTTTTCCATGCTCTCCAAAATCCGTTTTGCAAATAGCCGTGCTCCGATGGTGCACACACCCAGCCAGGGCGACCCTGGCCATCCCATGCGTGGCTCTGGCAGAACACACAGTAGACGTGCTACGACACGTGGTAGTGCTAACGAGCTACCGATGTCCCAGCTAGGACGGGGTTCTGGCGTCGAGCCCGTTGCACCTCTCAAATTATCTGCCAACCGTTGGGTTCCTACCAGTACGGCCCGCAAGGGTCAACCTGATGTTGATTCATCTGGGCTGGTCGACCGTAAGGTCAAGGCGCTACTCAACAAGCTCACGATGGAGAATTTCGAGACGATTTCAGATCAGATCATCCACTGGGCCAACAAGAGTGTGAATGAGAAGGATGGGCGGACGCTCATCCAAGTCATCCGGCTTGTTTTCGAGAAAGCCATCGATGAGGCTGCTTGGGGCGAGATGTATGCGCGGCTGTGTCGGAAGATGATGGAGGAGATCAGTCCTGAGGTGCAAGATGACGGGGTCAAGAATATGGAGGGAAAACCTATCAGAGGTGGCCATCTCTTACGGAAATATCTCCTCAACCGGTGTCAAGAAGACTTTGAGCATGGGTGGTTCGCCAAGGATGCTACTACTGCCGATTTTGAGAGGGCAAAGCGCCAGGGCCTCAATCTCATCACATTTATTGGCGAGTTGTTCAAGGTGCGCATACTGACGGAGCGTATCATGCACAAATGTGTGATAAAGCTGTTGGGCAACATCGAGAACCCCAAGGAAGAGAAGATTGAGAGCCTGTGTCAACTGTTAAAGACGGTTGGCCAGTTGCTTGACGCGCCGAAGGCCCGTGCGCATATGGACATTTACTTCATGCGCATGAAAGAGCTCTGGAAGAAAAATATTGTCAGCACCCGTATCCAATTCATGCTTCAGGTGGGGCATTTTTTGGGTATCGTTTTCTGTCCTACTCATCATCGTGATCTCAGGACGTCATCGAGTTGCGTGATCGCATATGGATGAGTCGAGATGCTGCCCCCGCGACGATTGCTGCAGTTCATTGGCTGGTAAGATAGATTGGCGTCGTCAACATTTTCACATTGACAATCGTGTTACAGGCCGCCAAGCAGATTGCAGCTGCAGAGGAGCGTCAGAGAAGCATGTCTGGCAGTGAATCTCGAATGAGCAGCGACGACACCCAAGAGGATCCTGATGGCTGGGCTGTTGCAGGTGAATCTGTTCCGCAGGTGCTTCCCGAGGTTGGGGATTTGTCACCGTTTGGTAACATTACCATTACCAACACGACCTGTCCAAGTGACATATCCGAGGTGTCCACAAAGCCCGGTGATTCGTCAAGCCGCATTGATCTTGGTCATGCTAGTGTTCCTGAACCCGCTGTACAGCGCAGGAGGCTCCAGCTTCTTCCACGGTCCATCCATACTACTGAAGAGAACGCCACGACTCCTTCAGAAGAAGAAGATGAAAGCGCACCTATGGTCATGTCAGAAACAGACGTGAAGAAGAAGATCGATGAAGAAGTGAAAAAGTTCTTCGCTGTTCACAATCTTCAAGAGGTGGAAGTCTACTCCACCAATCTTCCGCATGAGTTTAGCTTCCGTCTCGTGGACAATCGGCAGATACGCATGTCTCTCGGTCGTCCTCGAGGCGGCAGCGAGCACGATGGCCCTGATAGCTGGGCTGCTCCGGATGGTTCTGTTCCATGGGCGCCACCCAAAACTGTGGATCTGTCACAATTTGGCAAGATTACCATAGGTGCGCCCACGGTCACGAGTCCAAGTAGCGCGTTTGTGGGCAGTCAGAACCCTGAACCGCCCCCTAATATGTCCCCGAAACCTCGTTCTTCCGGACTTAAGCGGAACGGTCATGCTGGTGTTCCTGAGCCCGCTGTACAGCGCAGGAAGCTCCAGCTTCTTCCACGGTCCGTTGATACTACTTCAGAGCATGTCACGACTCCTTCCAAAGACCTTAAAAGGGCACCCACCGCGATTACAATGGCAACCGTGATAAAGATTGATGAAAACGCGAAGGAGTTCTTCGCGGTTCGCAATCTCCAAAAGGCAGATGAATACTTTCCCAATATTCCTGAAGAGCACCGCTTCCGGCTCGTGGACAAGCTAGTTGCGTCCGCGCTCGAGGGCAAAGAGGTAGATGCAAGGTTGGTGAGCGATCTCTTCGCGCAGGCTATGAGGAACGGACAATGTACGCTCGAGGGATTTGAGAAGGGGTTCATGCCTATGGCAGCAGTTCTGGACAGTATTGCCATCGATGCTCCCAGGGCGTCCGCATATATGGCTATCATGCTCAGAGGTGCTGGGTTCCAGAATGAGCCTGAGAGACTCCGCCGGATCGTTTCGAAGCTCAAGGATGGCGACAGGCTAGTCTCTCTCGTGGCTTGATCCCACTCGCATGTGACGTTTTCGATCCGATTCTTTCTTATATTCTCATTGCATTTCTATTTTCGTTTGCATATTCCGAACTTTTTGATATTTCGCACACTGGAATATATACATTACGATACTTTTGCGTTCGTCGGACGTCCCCTTTGTGGTATCGTTGATCGATATTGCAGACAGACAGAGACAAAGGCTTGAGCTAGCCGTCAGCTACAATATTACAGGGTGGTATGCACGATAACAATACTGTACGGGCTACAGGTCTCATAGATACAATGGCTGAATCCATAGCCCCGAGGATTCATACTACGAAACAAAAAGTGCAGCCTGACGACTCAGAGGTTTCAATCTTCTGCGTTGTGTCGCATTTGGGAGAGGAAGACGGAGGCGGGGTCAAAAGCCAGGGAAGAAGTACCATACGGCCCACAGCACACAAGAGATGCAACTTGACTTTGGCTAAGAGCCTGAGTTTGTCGAAAAATCTGCCAGAGTCGCTATCGGATCATTCGGCTACCAGGTCTATAGTTATCTAGTGACTTATCTCTATATACACACGGTAATCATCGTATCATCCACCAGCTGGTCTGATTTTCATGACACCGTGTCCAGTCCTTGTACTAGTAGGACCCGTCGGTTTTGGATCAATAGATGATACCTTGGGCCCCATTATTACTAGCCGCCAAATATTCCCACTGTAAAGGCCGAAGTGTATAGTTTTTCCCGCTACGTCTTCTTGTAAATGGCAAGTCCCTAGCTTCCACAGCTTCGTCGAAGCAACCTTCAAACCTCATGTACAAATGATAGAGGCCACCTTTTTTGTCGTGATGAGCGATAGCGTGCTCCCGATCGAGAAAGGGGAGAGATTTTGACTATGCATTATGATACAAGCGATCCGTTCACCTTCGGACGTTCAAACGTTCATTAACATGAATTACAATAACTACGTCTCTTTTCTCCTGTGCGGTGTAAAGCTGTCCGCGCGCAAACGAATGTGTATGTAGGTCAGTCCTTTGAGATCCGTCGAATGTCGTCGCAAGGTTTGCGATTTATGGACCAGCAGACAACGCCTATACTATATGTACGCTGAAACCGCGGTGCCAAGCGTGCGAAAGTTTCAGAACACTGTTGGTTTCCGCGGGATCATTGCAAAACGCTCTGGAACTTCTTATAATATTCGGTGTGAAGACAGACTATCGATATCACAGGTTAGCAATTATCATAATGGGACTCTCGAATTAAAACGGCCGCTGAACTTCCTCATCTCTAACAACTCTACCTATCGTCCATGTTTTCGATAATGCTTTGCTTTTACTAGCATTCTCATATTGTGCGTACTCTACTTAATACACACATTGGGCGGCATTTTTTGGCCGTTCTCTGAAGATCTCTCGTTCACTAGATAGAGCGGCATACTTACTACAGACCTATTGCTTACATCAGCATGTCACAGGATCAATGACATTATATTGCCAGTTGGAAGTGGACGTAGGGTCATTCTTGTTCTCAGCAAGTTCGCCCACCATCCTGACGCGCGATTTCGCTGTAATGTCGGCGCAGGTCTCAACAACATCTTTAGAACACGGCCCATGGCAAACCATCAGGACACATCTCAATTTCTTCCGCATACATGTTATTTTCTTGTGAGTTCCGAGTCGCCACATTTTTAGTAACACCGCTGTTTATTGGCCCATCACTGAATTTGATGACACGTGTTTTTTTAGCACTTTGACGCCCCTGATATTCTCCGGAATCCTTTATGCTAGCAATGGAAAATATCCAGTTGCATACATTGATGCGCTGTACAATTCAATCAGCGCGATGACCGTGTGCGGTCTCGCGACTGTGAACTTGAGCCAGCTTACCGCTTGGCAGCAAGTGTTGTTGTTCATCCAGATGTGTATTGGAAACCCAGTACGTTCCTTGGATCATGACTTGCTACTTCTCTAACCTTGGCTCAAGGTCATTGTGTCGTGGGTGATGGTGTACACCAGGAGGTTGTTATTCACAGCATGTATGTCGATGATATTCACTCCCAATTTTACAGGTACTACTTTGCTAAGACATTCGATCATATTATCGGAGCAGAGGCTGCCCGACAGGCCGCGATCAAGGCAAAGCAGCAACTTGCCACTGCGTCTGCAAAGAATCCTGTCGACAGCAAAGATGGATGGTCCCGCCGCATCTTCCGAAGGAAGACCAACCCTAGTACGGTACCGGAGGATTCTGCTAGTGGCTATGCTCAAACGACACCGAAGGACAGCACAAGGAGATTGAGACCCGATATGATCAGGCGCATGGATGGTCAACCTAAATTGGTCAACCCGAGCGGACGGATCACAGAAAGCGGTATGATGCGTTTCTTTGTTGAAATCTGCGATGAGCTTAAATGTGCAAGTAGAAGATCAAGGGCCCTTTCCTCGTCAACTTGAGTTGGAAAATGATATCGAGATCAAGAACCTACATGTAGATACTGTCAATATGGGGCCTGCAGATCAAAAAAATACCTCGTAGGTACCTACAGCACTACTTTTGGTACCAGCGAGCCTGACCTCTGTTTTGTATCAGTGGGCACGCACGTCGTCTTTCTGATTCAGGAACTCTGCAGGAACTCCCAAGTTGCGTGCCTGAAGCGGGTGAGGGTGCTGTAACGTCTGCATCGACTGGAATGCCACGGACAGCAACTATCGACTTTGCACCCACTGTTTCTCGTTCTCATCCCCCCCTCTTTCCTGTCGGTAGCCGAACTGGTCGCTCGGATGCGGCCGAAATCTCATCAGATATTTCAGTTTCAGGGTTCTCTGGTCCCCGTCGTCGCCGCCGCCGTTCTTCCGTAGTCCCCCAACATTCGCGCGTGCCATTAGCACAGCACCCAACCATTCAAACACATCGATCTAGGCGCACATCAAATTCGTATCATGTCGACCAATCACAGGAGCAGATGCTACGAGGGTTCGGGGGTTTTCCCATGCCCCACGAGCTGTTGGGGATGTTGTTTGGTTGGCTGTTTCCCAATACCACGAATAGACTGAAGAGAACTGTGACGATTCCTATTACTACTACACTGACGGGCGGTGGGCTGGGACGGACTATGAGTATCCCTGGGAGGCCAACACACGGCGGAAGCGTTAGCGCTAAGGAGGGTACGAAGCCTGTAACGTATATTTCGTTCGATGCCGTCGTCGGGCGGAATTCTGCGTTTCATTTTTCGACCAACGAACAGCTTGAGGAATTGGGTGGAGTTGAATATCGGGCACTGAATGTCCTGCTATGGTTAGTTGCATCTGTGAGTGATCTTGTTTTCATGTTGTCCTCATCAACTTAAAATGCCTTCGTAGTATCATATAGTCGTCCAACTAGTTTCCTTCGTGGTGATTGCTCCTTACATGTCACTGCCAAAGTGGGCGAGCGATTTCGTACCTCCTGCCCAATTTAAAATAATTACGGTTCCTTGGTGAGCAGCATCTTACAGCGCTAAGTAACAAGACCTCAACTAACGGAACCTGAATGTAGGTTTTCATTGTTCCAAGTCGTATCGGCGTACACAAATGCCGGAACTTCTCTTGTCGACCAGAGCATGGTGCCCTTCCAGACAGCTTATCCAAGCGAGTATCATATATCGTATGTACTGGATACCACTGCTGACATTTTCTTGGTTAAGTGATCTTCTTTATGATATTTTGTATCTTGGCTGGCAACACTGCATTTGTGAGTATCAGTGAGCTCGTTTTAACAACATAATAACCATTCATCATCGTTAGCCTGTACTGTGAGTTTTCAATCTGGGATGCATAAGAATTTTTACTCAAAAACAACCTGAAGGCTCCGGTTTCTCATGTAAGCATGCTATCTCTGTGATAAACTCGTTGTTCATCGTAGGCAGCTGGATCATCACGAAACTCGTACCGAGGGATTCTCGACTGAATGAAACGCTGCATTTCCTCCTGGACCATCCTCGCCGATGCTTTTTTTATCTTTTCCCTTCGTACCAAACTTGGTTTCTCCTTACAATTCTGGTCGTCATGAAGTACGCACACCCCAGGACTATCTCTATCATCATACTGAACTCGGCAATATAGCTTTACAGACTGGTTCTGCTTTTTGGTCCTTGATATTGGTAACCCTGATATCGATTCCATACCTTTAGGAACGAGAGTTGTCGCTGGATTATATCAGGCTATTGCTGTTCGTGCTGCGGGGTTTGGAATAGTTCCGCTTGCCAGAGTAGCTCCTGCTGTCAAGTTAGGTTGAGCAATTGTTGTATGGAAAAGGCTCTAACTTCAGGGAACAGGGTCATATATGTTATCATGATGTATGTTAGTGTATGTGAGTGCCTCAATTATCTTGACGATACGCGTAAAACTGATTGCCTGTCAAGACCCTATTGCACTAAGGTGCGTTCGCCCCTGGCAATCGTGCAGATAGGTAATTATGATGCTCATCAATCTAGTGTCCGCTCGACAAACGTCTACGAAGAGCAATCCCTGGGTATATACAAGGATGATGATGATTCAGAGGATGAAAATGCCTTTTCAACTGCAGGCCCGAGGATGACGGTATGGTCTCGATACTTGGCCATGCATGCACGTCGACAACTGGCATTTGGTATGTCTGATTTTCTCGTCTGATGACTTGTCTCATATGGCTATCAAGACATGTGGTGGTTGTGTCTCGTAAGCTTGTACGCAGTCATCGTGGGGGAGTAGACTGAATTTCTCTGACGTAGGCACTGGTGTTGATCTGTGTCATAGAGGTGAGCAGCCCAACAGCCGAGGATTCGCAACGGTTCTAATAGCTCAACTAATGGTAGCGCGGAAACTTGGACAACACCGAGATACAGGGCTGGTTCAATATCTTTACTATCAGTATGTCCCCATCGTATCGAATTGCGGACTCTGCTCAACTCCGACAAGTTTTTGAATTAGTCTCAGCGTACGGCACTGTTGGTCTCAGTCTTGGGATACCTACCGTAAGTGATGGAGATGCTGATCATTGAAATGTTCTTATCTGTTGTGGTAGGAAAATTACTCATTTTCCGGTGCCTTGAAGCCTCTTTCAAAACTTATACTATGCCTGGTCATGCTTCGCGGGCGACATCGTGGTCTCCCGGTGGCCATCGACCGTGCTATCATGCTCCCTGATTTTGAAAAGACGAAGGACGAGCCGCCCGTCCCTGTCACGGATGATAACAGACAAGCAAGCCCACACGGCGAATCTCTGCACACGCGCGAGCCCCTTTCGCAAGAGGACGGTCTGGCTTCCAGCAACCAGGATCTAGATTAGTTCGAGGGATGGTTGACGGAAGATGGGAAACGGAGTGGCAGCTAGTATGCACACAACGTGGGGTCGCATGTGCACTCTGGCATCTAGTATGAACTTATACTTCGTGGCAGTCGCGTCATGGTGACGAGCTGACGTTGCCTTCTACTACCCTGATCTATTAGACAAATGGCACGGTGGCACGTAGACCTAATGAGCGACTACAGGACGTTAACGAGTGTATTCGTCTGCATTATCTTTCGAGGAGAACTCTGACTCAATAGTCTGTCGGGCCCGTGTTACCAAGTCTTGTGCTCGCAGCGGCATGCACTTGTCTGTGGCAAGCAAGAAAGGTTGGCGTGGTGGGCTAGACAGCAGCGGCAGGTAGTAGTCTCGCCAATGCGCCACGTTCGTTGTTCTACGGACATTCGATGTGACTAACATGACCAATTTTTCCTATGGTGGGAGTCAATTTGGGGAATAAGCAACAGAGGGCGCCTTGCCTGTTGGGTCTTAGACTCGTGACCAGTCCGTCTATGAGGCAAGGTCTAGTTGGGTCTGAGTGACTAAGATTGTACGATAAATAAAAAGCTGTGAGTGCGTAGCAGCAACAAGAAAAGTGAATGTGAATTCCAAAATGTTCGCTAAGCCAAAATCAGTTTCATCCGAATCAAATACCGGACTTGAATCGAAATACCGTGACAGGCCCGAACTCGACGGTGGGCACAATCGCGCGACCACCATAAGGAGCCCGAGTCGGCCGCCATCATGGTGAAACCAGTAGCATGAACAAAGATTGCCAAACGAAGTCATCTTGGAGGTGCCAATTTGCCGCAAGATGGATGTATCAAATACGAAGTCACGCAACTCTACTTTGAGGGGACAAATGATATTTCGAGACAATGCAAGGGCCACCTAAGTATTAGCACGGTCCGCCACCTGGCAGATCTGACATTGAATGCAGTTAACTCATAGCGTGAATTGCATTGAATGAGTGCATATGGTGTTTACGAACAAGCTGCCCTCATGGTATGGAGCAAGGTAGAAGGGGCTAACACTAGTTTGCGATGTGTTGATGAACGATAAACGATCTTTTATTGATGATAAAAACGTTCACTCCTTACATAATTTGGACGCATCCTATTTATATTTGCGCCCTCTCAATGTGTTTATCGTGTGACCTGTCACACTCTATCATGTCTGTAAACTCACGGAACAACGGGAGATAATTATTGTCTAGCTATTTCAGCAACAGAAGACAGTTGCTGATCAACTTTCTGGGTGCAGTCAACGAAATATATACGAACTTTAAAACTTTACCGAGATTTTGGACAGACAAGAAATAAATCCATTTGCTTGTTGTCGTGGAAGGAAGGCCTCGTGTTCTCAACGAATAATACGGACGGCAAGACAATAAGATCTGTTTGAGCCTATACCGTTGAAATAAATCGGTAAGATTGGCCTTGTCAGCCGGTCGAACATAAATCATACCATACCTTGTGGAGACAAAGTTCATGTCTGTCAAAAGGCCTCGTACACGGCACTATTAGTTCGCCCGAAAAACCTGCAGGGAAGGCGGGGAATTCATGCAGTGAGTCTGTGCAATATTGACCCTATCAATGATGCCGGAGCTAGACTCAGATCGGGAGCCTTTATGCTCAATATTGACTGCATACGAATGAAGACTATCAGCTCAAAGGGGTACAAATGGAAGACATACAGTATTGGTTGCCCGATGATCAAGCAAGCTTGCACTAGTACTGCTTGAGCAAGATCATATTATATTATAAGCAAAATCAAAGTTAAACATCAGTTTGTTTAGTCACTGAATTTTCAAAGTTTCAGTCATCCTAGTTCAAGTCACTAACTTGAAAAAAGACGACACTACCATTTCCGTGACATAATCACTGGAAACTTATCTCAGCGACCCGTGACAAACACGCTGGAATCAATTGATCCTGCCATGCCTACAGGAGCTCAGCGATAAGTGGGCACTGGGCAGAGATCCGAGTAATATGTGTAATTCAGATGATGGATCTAAGAGCGTTCTTCAACTCTGCGCCTTCAATATTCAATAGATACAAAGTCGAACAAACAACTGAACGCAAATATTCACCATTCATGCACGTGATCGATCTATGATCAATGCACCCGCTCGTACCCACAAATCGAAGCGAAAGAGTTCATGATGTCGATGCTGCTATTCGTCAGACGGATTCAGATGCAGCGTTGGCACGACTATCCGCAGTTAGGAAAGGCTATCTGAACGACCGCTTCATCAGTTCCCTGGTACCTCGGGCACAGCTACAGCCCCTGCGGCCACCATTGATCAATACTGGCACCTATGTGCGATCTGAAGCCATCGACAGACTTGTGGAACAATGGCTTGAACTCTCCAAGCCCGAAGGGCAACTTTGTCAGATTGTCAGTCTCGGAGCAGGGAGCGATACACGGTTTTGGCGTTTGATGGTGATTAATGGCTTCCTGCCTTCAACGACGGGCTGACAGTGAACGACCAGTAGGATGGACCCTGGAAAGAACAGCTTGGAGCGTATTTCGAACTCGACTTTCCGGACGTGACCCTGAAGAAAGCAATGGCCATTCGCAATCCGAGGAGTGGGCTGAGCACTACTCTTGGTCATTCGGAATTAGGTCAGTGAGGTTGCCCAGCGATGTGCAAATAATCACTTCTGCAATGATCCTTGTCACAGATCTTGGCGGGCAGGCTTTGCACTCGTCCAGATATCACCTTTTGCCATGTGATCTTCGCAACCCACCCGCAGATATTTTTCCAGGGCTCTTCAAAGAGTATCTGTCACCTGCTCTTCCAACACTTCTGTTGTTTGAATGCGTGCTGGTTTACATGTCTCCGGAGGCCTCATCCACCTTGATCCAATGGTTTGTCGACTTCTTCAGCCCAAGCACCCACATTCCATCGCCAGGCACTCTGGGATGTACGGTGTATGAAATGTTCGGGCTGGAGGATGCCTTTGGGCAGGTCATGATGAACAATCTTCGAGTAAGTCATCCACTTTGACGTTGACTGTTCGATCTTAGTGCAATGTATCACAAAGGCGAGAAATGTGTCCCTTCCTGGGGCGAAGCCATATCCTTCATTAGAGTCTCTCCCCGCCCGTTTCTTAAGGCATGGATTCACTTCTGCGAAGGCGCTGACGCTTCGTAACATCAGAAGTAATTACATAGAGCCATCGGAATTAGAAAGGTAAGTCTTCTTCTTATGTCATACTTAATACGATTCAGTAAATCTCGTTTATCTGTATTTGACACAGAATATCTAGCCTTGAAATGCTTGATGAGGTCGAAGAGCTCAATCTCGTTCTGGAACATTATGCAATCACATGGGGTATGAAGGCCTCATCAGCTGCGACAGTATCCCCATGGATTGAATGGGGCTTACGTCCGGTCAAACAAGCTTGACTCCATCTTTTGTTATCAGAATCCTTTTTGATCCATCCATTAGCGGATCTGGCAGTGCGCAGTATTGTGATTAGTACATTCCTAGTGTCAAATGTGGATCCAGCAGATGTGATCATGTTCTAGTGCAAGCGGAGTATAAAATGCGTCTAACTGTTCTCATAAAACAAAGAGAAGGACAAGAGAAGGAAGAGCCAGAGTTCGTGATTTTTACTATTTTTACGGCACTGCAAACGTCAATCGAAGTCTATTTCAGATTGACCGATAAATCATGTAAATAATCTACAATGGCATGACGGAGGTTCAAGAGTCCGGCTCTAGTCTAGCACAAATGTCTACAGCTTATTCTTGATGTCTCTGAGACGGGCACCTTGAAGTCGCTCGTCTACAAGGACATTGTATTAGAATACGAAAGAAAAGATACGAGACTTACAGTTGCTCTCATAAAGGTTATCACTAGGCACAGAGACTATGTGCAAGTGGATGTTTGAGGCGTCAACCATCTCTGGTATAACTTCCTTTATGCTACATGCCCCCAGCAAGCGCATGTTCATTTCAAACTCATCCTATCAGCGTGGTCAGAAGATGTAGAATTTTAGGGGAGAAGGAACACACATGCAAAATTTGAAGGGCCTGGTCAATACCTTCAGGCCCATAAGCTGAGTACGCATACAAGAACGGGCGGCCAACCCCAACTGTACAAGGATCAACATAAAGAATGACTAAAGCAATGCATCACGGATACTTACCAGCTGTAGCACCCAATGCAACGGCTTTCAATACGTCAGTCGCACGGCGGACACCACCATCAATGAAGAGCTGGAACTTCGCATTGGGAAACGACAGTCCACGTTTTTCTTTGAGTTTGGTGGTAACTTCAACGAGCACTTCAAGACCCGACCGTGCGAAGTCGAGCTGACGTCCACCGTGATTCGATAGGACGACGCCACTAAGTCCGATGTCGTATGCTTCGAGTGCATCCTAGCATCAAAATGTATGTAAGGTTCGATACTAGGAAAGGATGACTTAAAGTACCTCCCAACATTGGACGCCTTTCAGGATCAGGGGCACTTCAAAATTATGAGACCTAGCAGTTTTTAGACGAGTGCTTCTGCCTCTTACTGTTAGTGATACTCCTAAACCATGCCATATCAGACCAATTCAATCCAGGGTCAATGAAAGACTGTCGGCCAATATGAGCCGTATACCACCATGAAACCCTAAATATCACTCACGCTGATAGCTCGCGCAGCTCCCTGGGAGCGGTCAACACCCCCTTGGTCCGCCTTGCTAACTTCCGAGGGGTCTTCAGCTTCAAACTTCTGTCGCATGTCTTTCTCTCTGCGGCCCAGTTGGGGGGCATCAACGGTGATGAATAGACCTTTGATACCACGTTTCTCGGCATGCCGTACTATGCGTTTCGTAATTTCGCGATCTTTATTGACATAAAGTTGGAAAAATTGAACTTGGCCAGGGGCTGCAGCATCCATGATTTCATCGAAAGAGCATGACGCAAGGGTTGGGATCTGTAGCGAACATGGTAACGGCACTTTAATAATATGAATGTATCAGAAATGCAGACCATTTGAATAATGCCATGCTTCGCCGCCGCCCGTGTCAAATTCAACTCGCCATCGGGATGACCCAACTTTCCCAAAGCTGTCGCAGTCTGTAGAATAAACCATTTAGAATATTAAACACTTGATCGGAAGCAAAGAATGTACGATATAGACGGGCATGCTTGACTTCTGCCCTAATATTGTTGTCGACCAATCAACTCTTGTTACATCTTTGAGAATTCTTGGACGGAACCATATCCTGGAGCATGGAACTTCTATCAGATTCCATACGTTAGTTTATGGTTAGATATACCTATGAAAGGCAGCATGATTCTCCCTGTTCGTAATTTCATCATCAGCTGCTGAAGAGTAATACGCCCATGCTTTCTCCGCCATGGTATATTTCGCGATGGCCTGTGAAATACATGAGTATATGCTTTGTGCACATGGTGAAAGCAAACCTCAAAGTCATGCAGGTTCAAAATCTCAGAAAGGGGTGGGCGAGCAGCAATGCGTTGTTGACGTGCACGTTCTTCATCAGTAATTTTCACCTCAACCTTTTCCACAGTCGTGAGATCAACACTCCCCAAACTGACGCAAGTGAGTTTTGGCCATGATCATGTCAATGGAAAACACCGACTGTTTCTCAGGCTTGAGGTTAGTCGTAATGGCATCTGGTGGATGGATTGGGTCATACTCTGCACTGCCAGGATGTCATAAGAAACAAAAAAAAAGCGGGCATAGAGAATGACGTACGTCGCGTCCTTTCCAGCATACTTCAGGATTATCTTGCTTCCACCTGTGGTCATTAATCAGTCGATGTACATCTGTACCAGAGAGGTTGTATTTCACCAGGGTGGTCTATGAAGGTACAATCAGTCCAGACTTCATCATATTGCAATGGGCTCACCGTCCAGGAAGTCTGTGACATCATAAACCTTGCCTACAGAAAAAGGTCCAAGTCAGCTATTCGCTTATGTCGATTCCAAAGTAGACGAGTAGAGGGCCGAAATTATATTTGAAATATGAACCCACCATGTACAATGATCCAACAGCTCTCGCGGCTGTTGTGCACAGCGACTTCCTTGCCAGAGTACCTCTTGCTTGAGCTTGCCATGGTGGTTGTAAGAGAACTTGGACACGACGAGTTTGAGAACTTACAAGCGTACCGTGGCCAGACTCCAAGGTCATAAGAACCAACGGAACGCCGTGGCCGACTCGATGCCGGATGGAGTATTTCTGGAGTCGGCGACCCATTCCGGGAACCTGTGATCGTCGACATTGCATATATGGGTAACTTGGTGAAATTTACACATTATCACCAAGAGTGTATTGCATGCATGTGCAGCTTGTAGAGAGGTAAAGAAAAATCTAATAATAACAGCGTAATGATAGTAATGCCGATGCCCGTCCCGTATACAATTGAAACATTCGGAAGATGAATTAGAATGGAACAGTAACGAGAAAGATGTCAAAGACTCAAAGCCAAATCAGCACTAAATGACATCGAACGAACTGCCTCCCGCCTTTGCGTCTAGGTCGACAACGTCTTGGAGACCCATGACTTCAAAGAAGGCCTTGGGATCCATGCCCTTGGCCGACGAAAAGTCGGTGCCAGTCTTCTTCAGGGATCTCATGGCAGCACGAATGCCATGCACGGCAGCGACACAAGATACGAGTGAGAAAACTGGAAGTAGGTTCAGACATCTCTTCTCATGTAGGCAACGTGCGCAACTTACTGATGACCTTAGCACCGAGAGCCTCAGCCTCCTTGGTAGTGAAGGAAGGCGTTAAGCCACCAGAAATAACATTTACAAGAACGGGTTTAGGCTTCAAAGCTTCGACCGTGGAGGTTAGAAGCGCAGCAGTCTTAACGCCTTCGATGAAGCAGACATCGGCACCGGCATCAGCCGCCAACTGCAACCGAAAGACGGCTTCTTCCATGCCAAGCACTTGAGCGGAGTCGGTACGTCCAATAATGACCTATTAAGATACATTAGATCGTATATTAAGAATCGCGAAGCATCACTTACGAAGTTCGAACCACCAGGGAAAGAGTCACGAGCAATGACGGCTGCTCGAATACGGGTAACAAATTCCTCTCGGGAGACAACTTGCTTGCCAATCAAGTGACCGCAACGCTTAGTTTGCACTTGGTCCTCGATGTGCATGCCAGCAACACCAGCGCGGATGTATTGATAGACTGTACGAGCAACCATAGCAGTACCACCGAAGCTGAATTGTACAAAGGCGTTAGCCGAAATGTCGGTACATATATGAGATGTACTTGCCCAGTATCAGCATCGGCAATAACAGGAGTGGTTGGACTTAAGCCGCACACCATCTGTGCGCTTTGGACGAAGTCGTTCAATGTAGCAATGGCAAGGTCGGGCATGCCAAGACGCGAAGCGGTGGTTGCTGCACCACTTTGGTATAAACAGTCGAAACCAGCTTCGAGTGCGCAACGGGCACTAATGCCATCACAAATACCAGGGGCAATCTGGTAGGACAACTGAGAACACCTTATGCACGGAGGAGACATTTCACTTACAACAATACCTGGCCTAGCAAGCATTTGACGAAGACGGGTAGCAGCGTCAGGAGAGAGTTCTCCCTCCAGGAAGTTCTCCGGGTCGAGACGGGGGTTGTAGTAAACATCAGCTTTACGCGCCGCCTGGGGTGCCGGAGACTGGGAGGTACCCTTATCTTCAGGCTCGTCAGGACTGACTTGAACAACTGGTGCTTCGCTAGAATCGGAGCTCTTGAAAAAATCAAGACCAGGTGCCATTGAGAAGAAAAATTTAGATATGTAGAAACGAAAAGTGCGAGTGAGCAACAGCTTGAAAAGCTTGAGAGGGTTGAAGTTTAATGTGGACAGGCAGCCAGGGCAAGGAAAGGAAGGGAGATGATATCGATGGTAAACAATATGTACGGCCTTATAACCTTCGGGTGATTTACATATCGAATGTTCCGCGGCAGCAAAAAACCGTAAACCGGCAGAAAAAGGGTAACGTATACGGCGTCAAGGATACAACCCATACAAGCTGTTTCAGCCACAATCTCTTTCGTTCAGTTGAGATTCGATTTGGACATGGAAAAAAAGAAAGGTGTTGCGGAGACAAGCGGGGCAGAGAAGAGGATGAAAGGGGAAAAGCACGGAATACCTATCAGATTGATGCGGAGCAAGGGGAAACCGGGAAGAGTGTGAGGTCTTGGCAGCACACTAGTACTCCGAAATACACATTGCCGGCAGTCAATAGAAGCGCGAAGCGAAATTCCCGTGACGGCGCTAACTCATCAAGTTAACCCGAGGCATGCGGCAGAGCTCACAGCTCTAAGACAGCACATCAGCGCTGATCGACGAAAGGAGCATAAGAGAGTAGCCATGCGAAACAGCTTCAAGTTGGAAACCGACTACCGGTGCACATACTAGAAAGGACGGAATTTGAGCGGAGGTACAGTCACTTTGTTGGTAAGACAAAATAAAGATTTCCTAAAATAGTTATGTAAATGTTCGAAATGCTTCCGCTTATGGTCCCGTGGCAAGATTTTCTCACGGGCGGAAGCCCTGGCACCTTTAAGCTTGATACGTATTACTTTGCTTAATAGGCTTTAATAGGCCGGATGGACGGTGTTAGGTAAGCAGGGGCCCGCACCAATTTTGTTATCGGGGGTTTTACACCTACCACGGTGCAGCCTAGAGCCCGTGCAGTATAGCTCACGTCAAACTTGTATACAGTTATTTACCTTTGTACACAAATGGAAAATCTCAATTCGGAAACCTTCGAGAATTATGGTTTCTCGAAAGACCAATGAACGTTCTGCTCGTTTCCGTGTGCCAAGGTTTGTCCAATACCTAATCTTCGAACCCCGCCCAGATCGAATCTGCTACACAATGAATATCTGCATTCCATGGATCAACCGTTGCGCTCCGAACACCTCGAGCCTGAGGCACAAGTGTCATGCATCATGGATGTCGGAGTTAGGGGGGTTCGGTATCGGTATCGATGGGCATCCTGATGATGATCATGATCTGAGTGCAGACACGAGTGACCAGTCCAGCATTGGGCCATTTTTTCTCACAGGCTCGTGATGATCAAGAGATATGCAGAACGACTACTCAGAAGGTGTTGATCATGACGCGTCTGACGAGCGAGCACGTGCATGATGCTATCGTACTTTCGCCCAAAGTCCGTATGCGCGTACGCCAATTTTCCTTCCATTGTCCGGTCTATCCCCGACTTGCAATACTCAATCCGTGTACTCCCTATCCATAGCGGAAGACAGTCTGCCCCTAATGGCATACTCTACGACGTAAACCATACACGCGATCTCCCGCACACTCCGCTTGGAGCATTCAAAAACTCGATAAGAAGAGTTCTAACAAAACACGGAGATACTACCCCCATTAAATTCGAACATTGCTGACATGTCTCTAATTTCTACTCAAACGGTCGCCGAGCACGCCACTCCCTCAAGCTGTTGGATAATTGTACACGGTGTGTGGATCGCGCAATGTCCACCATTTATTCGGCTTACCAACATTTTACACAAGGCAAAGTGTACGATGTCACAGATTTTCTCCCCGGTACGTCACTGGTTCGGCATAAAGTGAATGAAAGGCCGCGTTCTCATCGCTTTCTGTTGTTGTTTTCCAGAACATCCTGGTGGCAGCAAGATCATCCTGAAGTATGCTGGTGCGGATGCAACGTAAGGATCATCGCATTTGTACATAGCCTAGCCTATTGAGGAACTTACCGGCTATCGTGGAATATCAGTGAAGCATATGACCCTATCCACCCTCCAGATGCCATCACGACTCATCTACCCAAGGATAAGCAGTGAGTGGTGACCGTATCAGGACTTTCTGGAACATATTAATCGCCGAGTCGTGTGATCTGCGCAGCCTTGGCGCTATTGATCCGAAGACTGCAATCAAAATTGTCAAGGAAGTCTCTGCAGAAGAGAAGATTCGCCAAGAATTGATGGTAGCTCGGCCCTCCTTGGATGAAATTGTTAATCTGCATGATTTCGAGGTGAGTACTTCGCACCAGCAAGATCCTGTGACTTAACCACTGGTCTTTGAAAGGCAGTCGCAAAAGTAATCCTCCCTCCTAAAGCATGGGCCTACTACTCATCAGCATCTGATGATGAAATTACCATCCGGGAAAATCGCGCCGCATACCAAAGGTTCGTCCGGTGTTGTCCATAATTGATAATTAAAATATTTTCCAACGTTTTCTAGAATATGGTTCCGTCCCCGTATTCTCCGTGATGTCTCAGTTGTCGATTGGTCGACAACTATTCTCGGTCAGAGATCCTCGCTTCCGGTTTACATTGTAAGGCCTTGGCATTCTCATGACTTATAAATGGTGTTGGACTCACCTGGGTCTGCCAGTCTGCCACAGCACTTGGCAAGCTTGGCCATCCAGATGGAGAACTCAACCTGACCAGAGCAGCCGGCAAGCATGGCGTAATCCAGATGGTAATGAAAAAAAAAATCAAATTGATGCTGGCTATTGTTAACTAGCGATGCAAAGATTCCAACGCTTGCATCTTGCGCGTTCGATGAGATCGTTGATGCCGCGGTCCCCGGCCAGGTCCAGTTCCTGCAGCTATATGTCAACCGTGACCGAGAGATCACAAGGAGATATGTCCAACATGCTGAGAAGCGTGGTGTGAAGGGCCTCTTCATCACCGTCGATGCCCCTCAGCTCGGTCGCCGCGAGAAGGATATGCGCATGAAATTTGTTGATGAATCAGGGGTTGCAAAAGTCCAAGAAAATCAGTCCGGAATTAGGAAGGATGAAGGCGTTGCCCGCGCCATATCTGTAGGTGCAAGCAAATCTTACGTGATGGATGATATTGAAATTTGTGCATTAATCAGACCTTCATTGATCCTTCATTGTCGTGGAAGGACATTCCGTGGTTCAAGAGCATCACCAATAGTCAGTGCTTTCTGGGCCGAGGCCCTAAATTATATCTCACGCTTTCATCCCAGTGCCCATCGTCCTCAAGGGTGTTGCTACACCCGAAGACGCACTCATGGCCTACGACTATGGTCTTGCTGGAATTGTCCTATCTAATCATGGTGGTCGACAACTAGACACGGCTAGATCCGGTGTCGAGAACCTGATTGAGGTTGTTGCCGCTCTCAAGACCCGTGGCCCTTGGCCCAACCCTAAATTCGAAGTCTTCGTTGATGGTGGCATTCGGAGAGCCTCCGACGTCCTCAAGGCTATCGCCCTTGGAGCATCAGCCGTTGGTGTCGGTCGGGCATTTATGTATTCGTTCTGCGCCTATGGACAGGACGGGGTTGAAAAAGCTTTCGAAATATTCCGTGTGAGTGGATCGGGCAATTGCAGTATGCATGTCTGATAAGGTTGTTCTCAAATATAGGATGAGCTGGAAATGAACATGCGGCTTCTTGGCACCCGTACCATAGATGAACTGTCACCTGAATTGGTCGACGCAAACGCCCTCCACTCGCATGTTGGCCTCACTCCTACAGATAACCTGTATAATACTACATGTGAGTTCATGCCGTTCTATCGCTTGATGAGTTCCTTCTAAACATGTGTTTCGAAGATCAACCCCTGGCACTTGCCCAGTTCAAGACCAAGCTATGACATTGGGGTCCTGTATTTGAGTTTTACGTATATCGTTCATCTTTGCTCTTGAATCTTTGAGTTTAGTTCTAAATAGTTATGCTGCGCATGACATAAATGATGCACACACCCTATATCCCGACGCATATAGTGAATTCTGTAGGACCATTCGAGTGGTCAAGTGTTATTTTGTATTATCATGATGGGCGATAAAAACAATAGCGCCGAGGTGCATAGTATGACATTGAGCGCAATTTAGATCGAGGATACCCGAGCCTCGAGGACGCACTATATGATGACGTCACTCGTGAAAGATAATTAAGAATGCCGGGGATTGGCCGAATCTGTCAGATAAGAGTTCGTAAGCCAAGCCTAGTACTATACTAAATTCAACTAGGGGTTCGCTGTGCGAACTAAATCACACGCCAAGTTATACCCAGTCGTATACGTAGTTTCTGCTCCTGTTATATGCTACGTCGTCATCAGTCATTGTATTTGTACCGAGCGTTGCGCTTGGATCAGTCATTGTGTTTATCGTCGTTGTCTATTGTCTATCGTTGTTTATGTAATCTGACGTGCACAGCATGATGTTTATATCAGGTGACTGACAGATTATGTCCCCCGAAACACTTGCTCCGTAAGGTAATTGGCTATCGATACTATCAATAAGCTACCTGAATTTGAGTTAAGTCGAACATAACATAACATAACATATGGATGATCTTAATTGCCTATCTACCTCGGAGTGTCGGAGTTGTTCCTTGAAACACCAGCGGTTCCAGCTCACTTGAACGTGAGAGCTAGGTCTGATGCGGCCGGCTTTGGTGCGGTATTGTATAGCGTGGCGGCGCTGTGTACCTTGTGGGATCATCGATCAGCGCGGGTCGCGGAGAGTTCCGCTGATTAATACCATCGCGGAAACGCCTAAAAAAAATTGGTATTTTGACCATATGAAAATTCAGTCACTGGCGGAGTTTGAGTTTTTAAACCGATGTTCAACAGCTTGTAAGAACGTTCATCTTTCATTTTGCTTATAGTATTATGAGCGCGCATGCAATGCGAAGATCATGTGCAAACGTGGGAGCTCTCAAAACGTGCCATTCTTGATCAACAAACTTTCAACAAAACGCACAGGCTGAAAGAACGCCCAAATAATAAATAAATAATACCATAGACACACGAGGTGCAGCATGAATGAGGCCTGACGCGGCACAATCTGCTTGACGTGGCATGCGAATGGGCCTTAAGCTTGACACGGCATAGGTAAGTGTAGAGGTTGACATTAGCACAGGGGCTGCGAAGATGTAGGGAGAACTTGTCATACGGTATAAGTGGTGCTTGACCGGGCCAGAACGAGGCTTGACATGGTAGTGCAGAGGCTGCATCAAACCTGAAAAGGTACGACAATACTTCACACTGCGTCTGGAAACCAACACTAGATCAATTCAAAGGCAATACAAGATGCACAGTCCTACCCCATTGACACATGTCCGACTAGTACTCCGAGGCCTATTCGCAGATAGATATCGCTAATTCGTCCGACTGCCATTGTATGCGTGCCTGAACACGTCCATATAGTTGACGTTGAGCGCTGAGCCAACCTCGCGGAAGAATGCCAATATCCTCAATCCTGTGAGGCCTCCATGAATTAAAATATACTTTCCTCCGCTACAAACAATTCCACGACCCGTTGTCGGCAATCGGCGATGTTGGGTCCAAATGTTTTCTGCGATTGGGTGGCAAGACCACCGAGCGCTGAGCGCTCGTGGTTACACGTTCGCAATTTGATATGACTGTAAAATGACCGGGCCATCTGTTAGGCGGTAAGATGGTCCGCTTAACCGAGCAGTAATTGCATGTTCACAATTGTCGATCGATACGAACGTAGGATGATCATGGCTATAGGCAGTAAGATGGTCCCCTAGATGATAACGAACCTGGCAAGCTATCATCTTCAGCGCATCTACTCGTTGAGACTGTAGGCCGTCCGAACTCAACCGTTTGTCTCTAGAGGATATTGTATCATGCTGCAGTCGCCAGATTTATGTTTACTGCTCCACACGGTGGTGTATGGTCGCGTCGCCCAGCCCTCAATTTTTGCTTCAAAATTGTCTATGGTGTGCAAGTAACCCAGGAGTTGGCATGACGCGTGTACAAGTCGCAGCTTTGCTTCAGCGGTCGCTATGCGATCTGCCGTTCAGCAAGTTGTGTCATCCGTGCTTTGATATGTAAGACTACCTCTTCATGAAGAATGTTGTCCCCCCATTTATTCCTGTTTGCCTTCGGTATCATACCACGGCCCAGCAAGGTTTTGTATCATCACTTAGCGAAAATATCCGAGGCTATTGTGGAGGCGCCAGGCGTCACAGGCGTCACCAAGTTCGAGTTAGATGCAAAATGCGACCAAGTGCTGCACCGACGACCTTCAAGAGAATGATAGAATGATGCACAGTTCGTACTGAGTGAGTGCTACCTGAGCACATTCCACGCCAGATCTGAGCATGCGCATAATTTTTGTGGTTACTCCGTAAAAATGATGGCGGTCACTAGAGTAACGACAAAAATCCTGATTACTCGAAGCAATAACCTAGATGCACAGCTGTCACAGCAGCTCTTCGTGCACATTAAAGTATCTGGACATGTAATTTTAAATCTCTGCAAGCACAACTGATAAGGATTGCGTACCGCACGACCTTTCCTGTTCCGCGACATGTTCCCGCACCATCATGTTCCCATTTCACAATCCACCGTCCCACAATCTCGCCCGCAGCATTGAAGGTTTCCGCTATTGTTTCTTCCTCGCCCGGTGCGCCACCTTTCACCGCCATGAGTGCATCTTCTTTTGAGGGTGGTAATAGGACACTTTGCGCGAGCGCCCACTTTGCAAATGGTCGCTTTGTGTCTACTAGGAAGTCAGCGTCATACACGCGCGTGACGAGCCTTTTCAGCGTGAGCGTAAGCGTGGTCATCTCGATGCCTTCGATGCCGCCATTGTCGACTGGCGAAAGCCTTTGCAGGTCGATGACGTAGGATGCGCCGGACCACCCGACGAGGGCGGTCGAGATAGAACTTGTGGAAAGTGCGGTCATTGCCAGAACGATTCGAGCAGGCAGAGGAAGCGATGATTCGACGATGAAGATGAATGGGGTCATAATACATGACAGACCCAACGATGACAGGGAGAAAATTTTGAGACGACGGAATGTCTGTGTAAGTGGACCATGGTAAGTAACCGGCTCAGCTTGGCTATCTCCAGAAGAGGGTGCTTTTGTCGACAACGTAACATCGTCTGCTGTTGAAGGTGATGTTGAAAGATGTCTACTCCGGGCAGTGAGTTGTGGCCGCTGCTTCTGCAGACCACATGATGTGGTCCAAGAGTTCAAAGCTCGTGCAGATCTGCAGCAAACCACGGAGCTATTGAATGCAGCAAGCCGATGGGCTCGATAGCTGGCTGACCTGAAAGTAGTGAGCTGGAACATGTCAATGACAACTTGTAACGAGGGTTAGGTTATCATGTATTTGCGTATGTTCTCTGGTAATATCTTTATTCCGTCGGCGTTTTGCGTCAGCCTCGATGGACGTGCCAGTGTATTATTCTAAAGCTGAGTTCATCGAAACTGTAAGCGACGGACCCAGCGGAGTCAGTCAGTTGTTGACACTGATCTAGGACACAGGAAACAAAGTCTCTCGAAGAGCCACCATAGCTGGACCTCAGAACATCATTCTCGGAGGAAAGACTATTATTTCCAGCGGTGCAATCATTCGGGGAGATCTTCGCAGAACAGGTCCTGGTCATGCCGTCGTCATTTCCCTTGGGAGGTACTGCCTTGTCGGCGAGGGTTGCGTTATGAGGTACGTCTTACTTGGAGGTAGCATATGCGTCTAACTTGGAGGTTTTACGATAATACAGGCCACCATACAAGACGTATCGCGGAAATTTCAATTACTACCCAATGAAGATTGGGGACTATGTTCACGTTGGTGCGAACACCGTCGTCGAAGCCGCGACGATTGGGAACCATGTTGTGATCGGGAAGAATTGTGTTATTGTAAGTCTTCATCACTCAGGCTACGTTGTCTTCAACGTTCACTGAGCATGTATTGCAGGGAAAGTTTACGATCATCAAAGATTGCGCGCAGGTCGCGGACAACACTGTCATTCCTCCCAACACCGTTATTCCAGCTCTGGCACTATTTTCTGGCTCGCCAGGCTAGTGATTTTTAATGTTGGCTTGTGTCTCGTGATAATGATGCCGACTGTATTCTCTCAGGTCGCTTTATCGAAGATTTACCGGAGTCGACACAAGAGATGGTCGAATCCCAGACAAAGCAGTACTACAGTCGTTTCCAGCCTTTAGAGCGATGATCAGACATCGTGACTTACTAGGCTTAGCCCACTTACCATCACTTGTATTATCAGATCATCATACTTATCATATGTCACCTCTGGGCAGTCACGGTATTTTGCATTGCAACCTATCCGACGTCTGCCTGATCTACACACATCTCGGTTACGCTGTTCGTTTCCTTCTCTTCCATGGCCCTCGTCGACACTGCCTCCGGCTCGAATTCCTTCCTACCCGCTCCCACAAGTTGAAGTAACATCAGTGTGTACGCATCTCATACCGCTTCTACAAAACCTTTCCTTTCATGTTACCTTTGCCAAAACCTGATTAGTACTATCATGTAACTTTCTATGGCTTTCTGATCTCGTTTTCTAACTTCGTATGTATAGATGTTTCTTCGTGCGTGGGTATCGCGGCGTGGCGCATGTTTGTCCCGAGCATGTCGGGTATCCGTCTCACAATATGATTTCGAACATAAACGCCGTGGCACGCTCTGGTTCCGACGTTCATCGCTTCGGAATCTTCGTCGGATAGTAGGCTACATCCGATTATGTTTAGTCCTATTGGCTTTGCCGATGCAGGCACGTCCGTGCTAACGCAGGGTCGGCCGGCGGCATGCTCCGAGTTCATCTGCACGTCTGAGTCACTATGCATGCGAACTCGCGTACAGTGGATCCGAAATTGCAACAATTAGTACTGCAGCTGAGATGCCAGACCTTCCAACGCACTTTCTCTCGAATTCTTTTTCCCGCAGGAGCTTTCTTTTCTAGATTGCTTTCTGTTACGACACGTGCGTTCTTCCTATCCAATACGGTATGTGCATGACATTCTCGTTTTACTCTGCGAGATCCGACGCTAATATGCAAGAGCGTTCAAGTGTTGTGGGACGAGTCACCTTGAAGGTCATCACAGCTTGACAGTCTTAAACTTGATCCGAGTCATGACGATCAATCTCGTGTGGGGTGCTCAACTTAGGCTTAGTGGGATTGCGTAACCCGGACAGCCTGACCACTGTAGTGCGATTTCGGGCTACTTCAATTGCAGGGTTATGTAGGCGGTTTTCTTTTCGCTAAGTCGAAAGTAAGATGGGCTGACGGATCGCACAATCTTTATCGCGAGGTCCACGTATGTCCGATCTAACGCCCGACGTCTCTGAGCACCACGAGACTCGTCGGTACGGATGCCTCGGGAATAATACAGATGAGTCGTTCTGATACTGCCGATATCTGCGAGTCAGATTTTTTAGTAAGTACTGCTCTCAAAGGAGATCCTCTGAATGCGAGAAGCTCACCTTTCATGCAGGCTCCACATTTGGGTTCGGTTCGACAGGATAAACGTCATTTTATAATTGCATGCTCGGAAAAAAAGAGAAATTCCTGGTTATGCATAACAATATATTATCATGTAGGTACTTATTATCAATTTCTGTGCTACAGAACTATAAAATTCAAACAAATTGTCGATTGAGGGGTCTAGGCAAGAGTGCAAATCCACTATATGTACTACATCATCTACTTGGTTCAGACTCTTTCACTTCTCGCGTTCGAGGTCGCAGCGAGGCAAACAACGCCTTGCGTTTCTGTAATGGGGATGGTGGTTTGTTACCACCATCGCTGACAGTGGAGTTGGCATGTTTATGATCACGTTCGGGAGCGACGGTTAAGAAATTGACGATAACAGCCCACAAGCTGTTGGCGCTTATATGACTGTGCTCTTGTAGGACGGCTTGATCAGCAATCCGCGCGAGCCGTCGAGCTTCATCTGTATCTCGCCGGGATACAATACTACTTGGTGGTGGACGCTCGTCCACGTCCAAAGCCCAAGCCCAAAACCAGCTGGCAGAGGCAGCTTCTAGACCTTCTTTGATACCTTTCACGGTATCGTGTGCCTTCCCCTTGCTATTTTTGGTCTGCGAACCATGCGAGTCTTGAAGTTGTGCAATGTTTTTCAGAACGTCTCTTCTCGAACGCTCGAGGTTGCGATGACGTTGCTTCTGGATGGCGTGTCGGTCTTTTGCGAACTTTTTGTCGAATTTAGCCTTCCCTTCCATATAGCGTCGCACGGCGAGCTCTGAAAGGACTCCTATGATTTCCGGGGGAGTATGAAATGCGTCCAAGTCTGCCTCTGGTTCCAGTGGTCGAAGTACGCCGGAAGTTGACACTCTTTCACGAATCATGCCTTCCTTCCAGGAGGGGAGATTCTGCAAAAGAATTAGGGACATCAGCAGGGTTTTCAACAACACAATTTGTAAAACATACTTCGTCATCGCAATATATCTTACTCTCTCCTGCAAATCGCTGTACTGTATCAGCGAAATCAGACGCACTGCCCTTGATCCCCTTGCCTCCCAAATTTACGTTATCCGAAGATCGATCTCGTAATGTGGATTCGAAAAGAGCGTTGTCAGATGCAGATTTTGGCACACTAGGTCGAGACAATGGAGGGAGAAGATATTTGGATGAGAGCGGCGAAAGACAAGCGGAATCAGGAACATTAGACGACGTCAGGCTATTTGATTTGCCCTGGATGCGATTTAGGAATTCAGGCGTAGACAACGCACGGGAAAGCATAGAAAACCTCCCGACGACGGTGTGAGAAGGTAAGGCGCTAGTAGTAGGAGAGACCATCGGACTGGAGGAAGATCTGGACAGTGCGTTCATGCCTGTGACGTGCTTTGTGAAAGATGCAATTGCGCGGTAGCAAAATTTTCCCGGGGTAGTAAAAGAGAACAAGACCGGCAAAACATGAGCAGTATCTAGAACGAAAGACTTAATTTTAGACCGCAACGTAAACGATATCCTTACCATCATAGACCTGTAGATGAACTGCAGTTGGACTAAAACGGTCTTCTATCCCTTTGAGTGGTGGGTAAAGAGAGCGTACTTCTTCCCTGAGGGGATAACGCGAAGGATGAGCGGCTTTGTGAGCCCTTGATAGGTATTTTCAATGCTGAACAGGCTAAAATGTTGATGACTCACGAATAGATGGCCTCGTCTCTCAAAACCTCCTTGTCACTCGCAATGAAAAGCAAAGGCGGCAAGCCGCCCAGGTACGAGAGGGCGGGACTGACAAGTGGATGTCCCAGCAAGCTATTCTGGGCGTACATGTGCACCTGCTCTTCTATCACCAACAATTCACCTGAATTGGTTAGAAGGCGTATGGTCTGATCTTCTTTCTTGTCGACTGACGGTAGCGGAGCAGTAGCGCCTACGTCAACAGGCATTTCACTGCAGGCCGATCTTTCGTCCTCCCCGGTTAGGTTAATCAATGATGCACCCCTTGAGTCCTGATATACGCTGACACTTGGGGAAGCTTCACTGTCGTGCTTATCTTGTTTCGATTCAAGGTGGACCATCTGACGTATCCGCTTGCGCAGCCCAGAATGGACGGTGATGGTCATCTCATCTGACGGTGGAGGCCACAAGGGACTAGGCTTCTGGAGCGAAAGTCCATATGCAGGAATGACGTCCTGAGTATAATGGGGTGAGCATACTGCGGCACAGTTCCGCTGATAGCCTACCGTGGCGGTGTTGGTGTGAATACTTGGGAAAGAGTGAGTTAAATCGCACCAAGGAGAAATCAAGATCCCTCCTGCAGGTAATGGGAGTCCAGTGTCGCGCAAAATTTGTAACAATGCGAGGGTTAGACCGCCCCCTGCGGAATCTCCTGCAACAACAATATGTGCTGGCTGTAATGGCTGGTGGGGAGCATCAGAAGGAGGTTTGATCAAGTAAAGGTCTACAAGGGAGGGCCTTTTAGAACTTTGTGCTCAAAACTTCCGAAAAGACGGTACTGACAAGCAGCAAGAAGATCTTGTAAGGCACAAGGAAAAGGATACTGCGGAGCCAGGCGGTAGTTGATAGCTAGCTTCTGCTAAGTAACAGTCATTGTGGTAGTGATGACGACTTACCAAAAACACGGCCGTTGATCTTCCTTGCATGCCGCTGGAGACTATATCTGAATAACTCCAGTTAATCGATGAAGTTGCCAATTGGGAAAAGAATGGATCAACCTTTCCTGATCAACGCTCCCAAAATAATAACCCCCTGAGAACTGTCATCGTATGCTTTTCATTTAAGCAAAGACACAGCATACCTCCATGAGCATACAGTATGCAGCGCATTTCGTCCATTTCTTCCTTGTAAATATTACCCTCATTTGAGCTGGAGGCTGGCAGTCCACCTGAGGCCTGGGTATCGCTTTCGCTTGTGGGTATTTCCGTATTTGAGCTCTCTTTATGTTTCGCTTTGTTCCGTTTCTTCACCTCTTGGTAATCCTTGTGATCCGTGATCCATTCTGCATCGATCCTAATAAAGGGAATTGAGTTAATGATGCCTGATTCACAGGCGCAGGTATTATTACCCTTTGACTCCACGCACTTGCCACCACTTTGTACCACCCACTAACCGCTTGGCGAGTTCTTCTCCACCAAGCGCTTGGATGACGTAGGTGGCAGCCTCATCACAGCAGGATAATGGGACTAGCAAACGGACAATATGGGATGAGGGAAGAAACGGTGTCCGATTGTTCGAAAATGCTTGGACTTCCTCCACGGTGTGACTGAGTCACTGTCAGACACGAATATTCGCGATCGGGTTTGTGCACGCACTATGTCGAAGCCTCGAGGAAACTCTGCATTCCGCCCTAAGCTTGGGGTACTCGAATGATTAACTCCGAAACGTACCTTCACAATATTGAATGCTTCATGGTACAGAAGTTCATCCTGGTGCAACTGTGTTGCAAAGTTGGACCGTTGTGCATTCTCCTTCTTGATACGATCGAAGTAATGTTTGACCAACGTTTCTAGTACTAGTGGTCCCAGCCGCAGTCCCGCCTTGCGCGTCAGAGAGTTTGACATCTTCCTAAAGGCTCACCAGGGTGAAATGATGCGATTAAATGCCTCAGGCTTCCGTCGACCCTTGCCAGGTGACGGGGCCACGTGCAACTGAGAGCGGACGAGTTGATCTTCTAACCAGAAAGAAATTCAAAGAACTGTAAGCTGGAACGTGTAAAAGTCGAGGCGACCTTGTTTGGCGCGGTGGTCATGAAGTATCCGATAGAACTGTTTGGTAAGCTCGGGACCAGCCCAAACATACGTCAGACTGGTCACGTTTGGTGCGCTGCCTTGCAGAATAATAAAATAACGATCGGATTAACTATTTATATTAGCTAATCGTAAATTTCAAGAATCGCAATGATCAGATCAGCGTCCGCTCAGCCCGTGGCCCAGCTGCTAAGAGTGCTCAACTAGTGGCTCGCGATTTTCACATGACTTGTCTCGTAATCACACGCTTCACTAGCAAGTACTCTGACTACCATTGTACTATGTACAATGTCTCCATCAACACAAGTAACTGATCATCAACTGGCCCCACAGTACCTCAAAAATCGTCTGAATCTTGACTCATATCTTGCATCCTCATTGTAAGCGTCTTGGTAACTCGATATCTAACTCAGGATGAACACAATGCGGCGATCCTTGAAGCAAGCTTTGACGTACATTCGTTTTTCTTGTCTACCATGTACAACAACTTCGTCACTATGGTCCATTTTCCCCACTTGGCAGGGCACGAGGACTCTCACCTTGTCCGGGAAACGTACTTAAGTTGGACCTGCTCAGGCAGTATGGTACTCATCATCTAGATTTTGCTTCCTGCCTGCCATACATCCCAACTTGAAATCTATCCACCAATACTCATTTTTATAGTCACCCATACCATCCTCCAATGGCTTTTAATCTCGCAAATATCCATGTACCTAATCTGACGGGAATGGTCGTGACGACCGACAATCGCGCATTCGGCAGTGGAAGCTTCGCAGATGTTTGGAAGGGAATCTACACCGTGCGAGGTCATAGTTATACCGTACGTGCTACACGGTCACTGGTGACGTATAACGCACTCATATTCACTCATCGTTGTAGGTGGCTGTGAAGATCTTGAGACCATCACTTTTGTCAGACAGGGATCTTGTGGACAAAACCATACGGGTATGGAGATCGTTTATTCATAGGTCATCCTTTTTGCTTAGTCTGCCTTCAGAAAATTTTGCGAGAGGCAAAAGTTTGGAGCACGCTGAATCATCCCAACGTGGCTCGATTTATCGGTGTATACTATCAAGATGTACGGGGGTATCCTATCCCTCGTCTAGTATCAATGTTTTATAAGAACAGAACATTGAAAGACTGTCTGGTACATATCCACAACGACCAGAGATTGAAACTTGTATGTATCAATTTCATTCATAGTCGCTCAGATTCAATGATGTCTGGACAGCTTCGCCAATTTTTGTCTGGATTAGAATATCTGCACCGCAACAAAGTCATCCATGGAGACCTCAAACCTGTCAGCACACAATTTTTATCTGCGGGAATACTGACTTATACTCATTGTAGACAAATGTTCTCATTGACGACTCTTGGAATGCAGTTTTGACGGACTTCGGCCTTTCCCTTGTCCTTGAAGCTCATGGTTTCACGACGACTAATGTAAAACCGGTTGGCACGTTCCGTTACATGGCACCAGAGTTGATGAATCCCGTGAACAATTCGGCAACAGCACCGCTACCCACCGTGCAATCGGATATCTGGTCGGCAGGTATGACGGGTCTAGAGGTGCGTTAGAAAATCATTGTCGCCAAAATTGCAGATACTGAGTGTGTTACTAGATTTTATCTGGCAATGTGCCGTACTCCGATCAGAAGCAGAATGGCGAGCTCATCTATTATATCGGTAGAGGGAAAATACCCAACAGAAATCTTTACCTTCGAGTGTCAAGAGATATGTGGTCAATGCTGACGGATTGCTGGAAAAACGATGGGATGCGGCCGGCTGTATCCGAATTGAAAGGGTACTTGGATCACATCCATCCTGGTTTGCAGTAAGCTACCTAGTGAAACTGTTATATATGTAGATACAGAACGTTCTTCACTACACAGGTTATATAACACGGACTTGACGAACAATGCTATAGTTTTGGTTTTATGTCAATAGCGAATCCATCGTCTTCTAAGATCGACTTTGCCAACCGACCAACCAAAGGAAAGAATTGTGGGTGAAGGAAAGCTTTTTCCGAGCTCGCCTGCCGTCGCGCATATCTGGCAGCAATACCTTGCGATATTATGGCAAGCTTAAAAACAACCAGATCAATATATCTATCCCGTACCTGTGTATGGTACGTACCCGGAAGAGTATCCAACTACGGACAAAGACCATCTCTTTAATGGGATATGGTTGGTTGGTCAGCCTGCAGTACTCGCGCTCAAGGTCTTCTAAGGGTATAGGGACATCTTGTGTAGCATTCTTGAATGGCCTGATGATTGTAAATTCAGTGAGCAGGGAATCCTTGGGTATATGACGAGCATCGATTGCCCATGGTTGGGTAAGGTTTGCGAGGTCAGCAAGCTATGCAGTGAATTCAGATCAAGATGCAGAAGACAGTGATCGGTGAACGTACTGGACTACCTAGAGTACATAACTCCCAGTCCAGTATACCAATTATCCGGTTTTCTGTTGGATGAAATATCATGTTGTCAAGCTTGTAGTCCCCATGGACAATCCGCAGCCCAGTTTTACTCTCGTCTGGGAGGTGCTTCTGGTACCAACCGACCATTTCTTCGAAATACGGAATATTTCCTGTTGCTTTTCCTGTCTCGATATTTATAGCCTGGGATTGAGCAACCGATATGCGTGTAAAAGATTTGATTTGGCGGGGGAAGTAATCAGTTGTAGGACCAAAGTTCTTGAGACCTAATTGGAATGGGTCGAGAGAGGCCAATGCTGCCAACGAGCGGATAGCTGAGAGCCAGCTTTAGGTAACCAGGCTTAGCATCTTAATACAACAGAGAGATGGCAAAAAGTACCATTCTCTTCGATCCTGCTGTGGCAGTTCCAGCAGCCTGGTGTCCGTGAATATTCGCCCTTCGAGATACTCCATGATATAGAAAGGAGTGCCAATAACGCTACTGTCCTCACATAGGACAAAAGGTTGCGGGACAGGGACTATCTGCTCTGGCTTTGTGGTTGGACTGATGTTGTATCGATGCAATGCGCTTAACATGCGGTATTCGCGCTCGACTTGGTGAGCAGTTGAGGACAACAACTGACCCGCTGGCTTTTTTCGCAACACAAATCGTGTCGCACTGAAGAGGTATAATTTAAATGGGACCTAATACCTGACGAAGGACAAGCTTATACCTTGCATCGGTCAGGAAGTATGTGGGATTGGACTTAATACTCCGATGTCATCATGATGTAAGCCTGTGTATATTGAGTCATGAGCGTACCTGTCCAAACTATCCTGCCAGTCAGCCTGCAATCTCTCCTCAACAGATTGCGACCGTACCTTAAACTGTTGTACCTGTACGGGAATAGCGACAACCGGCACATGGACCTCCAGGTATGTATTGAGCTTCTTCATGTCGATGTTGGCGCGCATAGCACCATACTCGCCTCCAGTACTTTTTGGCGCGCTATCAGTCATAATATTGAAGGTTTTGAGGGTTGACGTTGAGCGTTCAATTCAAGGGGTTGCGGCGTTCCACGGTGCGCCCACAGTGGAAGTGGCCGTGCCCGAACTTTCACACTGGGAGAAACTGTCTTGATAGTTTTTTAAAATTCCCAACCCACTAAATCCCTTACAAAATCACAATGATGAACGTGTTGAAAGTAGTCGTATGGATTGTAAGAAAATTAAGCTACTTGTGCAATGTGCATGTACATAGTAACTTTGCTTGCCCGAATCCCGAACGTTCCACGTTTCTCGGACTCTTTATAGCTGATGTAAGCGTTACGCGGACTCCCTAAAATTTTGAATCACCGTGTCCAATTTGCTAGTCACCTCTTCGACCTCTTCCTCCATGTTCACTGCAGCTCGTGCCTTCCGTAGTGTTGCCCGCACCGGCAACTATGCCGTGCGTAGTGAAGTTATTTTACTGTCCGATGCATTGACAACCCATTTTCAATAGGCTCTATCGCGGTCTTCGATCGCGAGGAATATGAACACCAAAGTTTCCGGTGAGCTTCGTATCTCTACTCTCAGCTCAAGTTGCTCATTTTCACTGCAGGACCTGTCGTCGGTATTGACTTGGGTACGACAAACTCGTGTGTTTCCGTCATGGAAGGGAAGACGGCGCGCGTGATTGAAAATTCCGAGGGTGCCCGAACAACACCCTCCGTTGTTGCATTCACGAAACACGGCGAACGTCTGGTTGGCTTACCCGCCAAACGCCAAGCTGTTGTCAACCCTGCCAACACTGTCTTTGCATTCAAGCGGTTGATCGGTCGGCGATACAAAGACAAGGAGGTACAGGAAGATGTAAAGCATTGGTGAGTCTAAGTGTTGGACATACCATGTAAAAGTTGTTCATTATGGGCAGGCCTTTCTCTGTCGTAGAAAAAGCCGACGGTCGGCCAGCGGTAGAGGTCGACCTTGGTTCAAAGAAGCAGCAATACGTATGTCTCTTCCTCTCCTGGATCCATTACTGTGTCCTCAACTCAAGCTATCTTTTCTAGTCTCCTGAAGAGTTGTCGTCTATGGTTCTTGTAAAGATGCGTGAGACCTGTGAGCAATTTTTCAACAAGAAAGTCAAGTAAGTCATCTATGCAAGTAGCGTGAATGTCGGCTCATTCTTTTTAGCCATGCTGTCATTACGGTACCCGCTTACTTTAATGATGCACAACGACAAGCAACAAAGGATGCTGGTCAAATCGCAGGTCTCGAAGTGCTGCGGGTGATCAATGAACCTACCGCTGCTGCTCTTGCTTATGGTTTGGATCGCTCTGATTCTTCAGTCATTGCTGTCTATGACCTTGGAGGTGGTACCTTTGATATCTCAATCTTGGAGATGCAGAAGGGTGTCTTCGAAGTCAAGTCAACCAACGGCGATACTCACCTTGGCGGTGAGGACTTCGATATCATTCTGCTCAACCACATCTTGGCAGAGTTCAAGAAGGAGTCTGGCATCGACCTCAGCCAGGACCGCATAGCCATTCAACGCATCCGTGAAACTGCTGAGAAGGCCAAGATCGAGCTTTCGTCAACATCGCAGACGGAGATCAACCTCCCCTATATCACCGCCGATGCATCTGGTCCCAAGCATATCAACATGAAGCTTGGACGTGTGCAGCTGGAGAATCTTGTTGAACCTCTCATCAAACGTACCGTTGAGCCGTGCAAGAAGGCTCTTTCTGATGCTGGTGTGAAGGCCAGTGAAATTGACGAGGTCATCCTCGTTGGTGGTATGACTCGTATGCCCAAGGTCTCCGATACGGTTAAGAGCATCTTCGGTCGCGAGCCCAGCAAGGGGGTCAACCCTGATGAGGCTGTCGCCATTGGTGCCTCCATCCAGGGTGGTGTGCTTGCAGGCAATGTTACAGATATCCTGCTCCTTGATGTTACGCCCCTATCACTCGGTATCGAGACCCTCGGTGGTATCATGACCAAGCTGATTAGTCGTAACACGACCATCCCAACAAAGAAGTCCCAGGTCTTCTCAACTGCTGCTGATGGCCAGACCGCCATCGAGGTTAAAATCTACCAGGGCGAGCGTGAGCTTGTCCGGGACAACAAACTTCTTGGCAACTTCAACCTCGTTGGCATTCCCCCTGCTCCCAAGGGTGTGCCTCAAATCGAGATCACCTTTGACATCGATGCTGATGGTATTGTCAACGTATCTGCCAAGGACAAGGCTACCAACAAGGACCAGTCTATGACTATCGCCTCGTCTTCCGGTCTCAGTGACAAGGATATCGAACGCATGGTTTCAGATGCCGAGCAGTTCGCCGAATCCGACAAGGCTCGTCGTGATCTCATTGAGGAAAGCAATAAGGGCGAGTCCGTCTGCTCCGACACCGAGAAAGGTAAGATTTATTTCTTGATTCCCGCATCCTGCTAACATGCGCGCCTATAGCTATGAATGAGTTCAAGGACCAGCTCGACGCCACCGAAAAGGAGAAGGTGACCAAGCTTGTTACTGAGCTCCGCGAACTTGCTGCCAAGGGCCAGGCTGGCGATGGCGCTGTGACCGCTGAGCAGATCCGGGAGAAGATCAACGAGACTCAACAAGCTTCGCTCGGCCTCTTCCAAAAGGTGTACGAGAAGCGGAATGCTGAGAACGCTGCCTCAGAAAGCAGTTCGGAGACCAAGGAGGAAAAGAAGGATTAAGCACCTTCGCCCATTTCCCACCTTAGCCCTTGTTCCGTCCGCAGCTCGCATCATATTTGCTGCATCTTGGTTTCTTTCATCGCATCGCTCTTTCGTCACAACACATTCATCCACTCTGCACTCACGCCCACACGCATCTTCTTAGATTAAGAGAAAAGTACCGCTCAGACATACTTTAGTACTTACATGATTCTGATTTGTACTCGGCCGCTGCACAGTTTATGTAGCAGTCGGGGCATATCTGCTTTTTATTATCTGACAATGCCCTCCCCGCTCAGTTTGTATGTATTTGCATAGGATTCTTGCGCCGCATCAATTATTTCAGTGGTGCTAATGAGATTGCCCCAGCTGCCTCCTGCATCAGAATAATTGTGCTTGCTGCACTGTACAACCTGCATATACGAGCTACACGGTGCACTCGATGTCCTGAGGCCCGTTTGTCCATGCTCGATAGATTGTTACTGCCTGCGGACTGGCTAAAATGGTAATGGTCTGCCTGCTCTTTTCATGCTAAGATTCAAATATTTTAGCTTGAGGAATTCAAGTAATGGGATTATGATTGGGACTCTGTCAATCCCAGCCACTACTTCTGCTGAGCCTAGTGATACACCCTACGAAACATGTATGAAGTTGTACTATGGTTGATGCAAAGACATCTACTCTCCCAAATCGTTGTACCATGGCTCCATTGATGGCACTTACTTTGACACGTTCTTCCTTCACTTGTTGTTCTTCGTGTACCCAAGTCCTCTGCCGAAAGCCGGCCCTATTGATCCTATTTCAACCTCCCGTGATATCTAAAACGATTCCGGTAGAAAAGCAGGAGAGTTAGGAAGAACCTGAAATTTCCGAGGGTGTTGGAGAGACAGGTAGCACTGCGAGTACTTGTCGCATCGAAAGAAGATCAAGGATATATGGATTTCAGTAGAACGAGACTCGTGAAGCCCGCAACGAGAGTCGGGCTGACCAGCGTCACGCTACGTCAGACGCAATCTCAGACGACGAAGACCTTCAGGACGTCCCCAAACCTGGCCCTAGTCAGGTCCAGGAACTCGTAATTCAATACGCCTCTAACGATACATATCAAATGCAACTGATACCCAAGTCTTCAGCAATGATCATCGCAGCCCGCTCTCCGATGAGAAGTGCCGTCGAATACGTGTTCTGTGTATATCATCAGAATCGTACATCAACAATCCCTTGTTCAGTACCCACCGTGCCAACGTTCAATGGCGAGATAGACATGTCTGCAACTTTCAGGTTCGACACGCCGTATACATTTAGCCGAGCGTCAACTACTCCTTGATCTGCCTCCGATTTCATGGCACAGGTCCCAAGCTACAGATACAAAGATCAGATATGAAATTATGAAAAGTTCGGCCGTACACACCGAGTGATATGTCGTTTGTACTGATGTTCGATTCGGTATTTTAGCGTGACAGTGGAGATGGCAAGTCAGTACTTACCGATGTCGCGGTGGAATCGATCGATCGCCTCGTCATCTTCGGTAGTGTAGAAGATGTCAGGCGCATTCAAGTCCACTGGCCCGGAGGCTTCTCTGCAACCTGCAGCGCTTCCCTCTGGGAAATCAGGATGACCGGTAGTGACTTCACCTCGGTAGGAAGCCATGCGTCGAAAAATTTCGCGTGTCTTTTTGTACGCGAAGTTAAGAGGAACAATATCGGATGGACTGTACGGAGTGTCGGAGTCACGCAAAGTGCCCTAAAATGAAAAGCGTCCACTCACTCATCTAGGAAACCAGTTGTAAAGTCCATTCCTTCTTTGCCGTTCTCTGTCACGTTGATATGAACACTTCCAACAGACGCGGGGTAGAGCTATCGAATGGATTCAGAAAAAAATCACGCGGTAGATGGAAATTAGTACTGTATAATAAGCGGCACTCATGTAGTTGCGAGGAGGAAGGATACTCGAGAGCGGCCTCGAGAGCGGTTGAACATATCTGGTTGTCATGAGAATTGTCGTATCATCAAAGCCAAGCGATACTCAATACCCACGCACCCTGAAAAAATAGCAAATATTGCAACAGCCTTGTCTAGGCGGTCCTGGAAGAACTCCTTCCAGCGTGGTTGAAAAGCTGGATCCATGGCTTTTAATTCTTCGTCATCAGGACGCCACTTGATTTTTGAATCGAGGCCACTGGGATTCCAATCAGCACGATACCAGCAGTGATAACTTGCACCGACTTTTGTGCAATCAATGACTTGCCGCTGCTGTTCCATAGCGCAAGACTTTCTACATTTGGGTAGTTGTAAAGTGCTGCAATCGTGGTGAGAATATGCTTACCCTGTAGAATACTCTCCCCACGCCAGAGGGGGTCCATTGTAACAGCCTCGTCAGCAGCCAAGTATGGAACGAAGACAAGATTGTGATCTGACCATCCTCAGCCAAGCTCTTAGAATAAATTAAAAGCGCACCTTGATAATTTTCTCCGACGCCAGGCAAATTCACCACTTGCTCAATACCGCACCGCTTGAGGATTGCCTCGGCACCAATCCCAGACCTCTCCAAAATGGCCGGGGAACCGAACGCTCCAGCAGAAATAATAACAAGTTTTGATGCTCTCGCAATACTCGACGACTGATCCGCGTCTGGGCAGGACACTGGGTCGTTGATAAACTCAACACCTACAGCACGCTTGCCTCTTTCATTTGGAAAAGCCGTCAACCGTTTGCTGCAGCTGCGATCCCAGGTGGCTACTTACTCGAAGATGATGCACTTTACGCGCTTTCCATCCCAGACGTGTAAATTCGGGTTGTGAGCTTGGTTGTAGACATAGTGGTGAGCGGTGTCTGAACGCCTTCCCGTTGTCCCGTCAATGTACCTTTTCTGCATGGGCTAAAAATTCCCAATGAACTACGAGTACAGGGACGCACTTCTGACATGGCTGAGACAGATCTGGTTAGTGGTCGCAGATAAGGAAGATAGATCATAGCTTACACTGTATGTATTGCATGTTTCTAAATCATCGGTGTCATCGGCATACTGCCTCTTGTGATAGGTCGTGCCAACCTGGATGAACTCGTCGGAGATACCCACTTTACAACCACCAGAGGACACTTTGATAGGTCCGTCATAACCGTGAGTTGGACGATCTGGCTGCACCTCATATGTCTCCAGCTATAAAGGTATAAGCAATTTGAACAAATATCTTGAAAACGAATTCGAGACCTTCTTCATGAGGGGAATCAAATTCTCAGATTCCCAACCTTTGACTCCCCAATCATCATAGTCTGAAGCTGGTGCACGAGTGTATATCATAGCTGTCTGATTATTAGGGTCTTGGTCATTGTTGCAAGTATGCTACGTACAATTCACACATGAGCCTCCACCGACGCAACGACCGCAGGGAACGATTGGTACACGGTCGTTGAGACGAGGAGATGGATTTCCGATGTTGAATGTGACTGTGGTGCTCGTGGGTGCATGGTTGAAGCGAGATCGGAAGGGTTGCACATGAATAGGTTTATTGAGGCTGTGTTGACCCGCTTCCAGAATCAAGATTCTCAACGAGGGATCATATGCAGCTAAGCGACCCGCGACAACACAGGCTGTAGTACCGCCTATACAGACTGACGTGTAAAGAGGGTAAACCACTACAAGATGTTATTTGCTTACCTCCAGCAAAAACGATATCGAATTCTGACAGGACTGGATGAAACATTAATATGGAGGGTTACTTTCAGGCTGCCCCTCGCTGCTTCCATCTTATAACATTCACCGAAGTGAAGCCTATCGTGGCGTCACATCGGTAGTGCGACAGGTCACGATCAAGACTGTGATGAATGGCAATAATGACTCGGACTCTGCTTTGACTAGGCCGTTTCTGTCTGGATTCACCGTGACCATATAGATTCATCCTAAAAATAAGTACCTTGATCGCCGTGGCTTCGAGTCAGCTCGGGACTTTCCTGTCCACCTCTGCACTCTCGAGGACCAGGCCGCACCCATTAATTAGTGTGCTAGCTTGTCAGCTGTTCTTACGTAATACGACTCTAGGTCCGTGACATTGACTCCTCCGACACCCGTACCAACCAAGTCGGGTGTGATATTCCACGTAGAATCCACTGGTGCAACGCCTCTGAAGAAACCGATGAGACACGACGAAATATCAGAGATCTCAGTGCAACATTACAGCAGGTTTGTACCATCAATATTTGACCTCAAAGGTTTCGATGTTTACCACGCAGTTAGTAACAAGTAGCAATATTAATCAGGCCTCAGGTCGCGGGAGTCCACCGCAGCAGATAGGGAACAAGATGTCCAGGCTCGTCTTATCGAACTGAGTAAAACGTAAAACAGGTGTGCGCCTTCCATGTTCATGTGTTCTTTAAATTCACACCTTGACAGAATATGACATCTTTCGCACCTCTGATCATGATTCCAAGTCTAAGTCCGCTCTGGGACTGGTTAGGGCTCCTTCATCTTTGACTGTAACTGAGGCCCAAGAAGAGATGTCCTGGAACATGCCTGTCGCATCTGCACGAACGCTTCGCTTCACAGAAAAGCTCGTGTATAAGAAGGTGGACAACGCCTGAGGGGCTCAAGTGGAACTCAGATGGAGCGTGCACATGTGAGTCAAAGGAATTGCATTCATGGGATGAAACGTTCCGTTGTTATGTGTCAGATAACTAATACTCTTGATGCTGTACTATGCGTGAATTTAAATGAGTCAGTTGATGTGGCAATTGTATCAAGTTCAGACTCACCGAATGATGTCAAGCCTACCTGATCGAAGACTCGTAACTTAGCAAGTGCGGGCCTAAGCCGGAAGCAAAGTGTCGTTCCTGCCATATTTAGACTGCTATTTATTGTCACGATAGGCCAGTGGCGAGTTCGGGGAACTTCAAGTCACTCTTTGATCACCATAGCAAAGACCATGACAATAGCTGCAGCTCACAACTGACCCTGGCCGGAGTCCAGTGCAGGAAGCATGGCTTTTTCGAACGATGTCACTGATGCCTTTTGTCTGCCTCGCTCTGTTCCCAGCACCAGCTTCTCTCAATAAATATGAGGCAGAGGTAATCTGATCAATGTCCTATTTTACGACTCCACAGCTGACTGGAGCAGCTGTTGTTTATTATTTTGATAGTACGACCCGTCAAGACGGTATGACAAGCACCCGCACCTATCGCCCACCCCTTGCACCATTGGACCCTTTCACACTGAGACCACAAGTCTCATTGAAGCATCACTACTCGCCAACAATCATACCAATATACCCGGTCACCGAATGCCTCCTGAGTCCCGATTCATCTGAGTCGCCCGAGTCACCTCTGGCTATCCGTTCTCGGCACGTCCCCGCACTTATGCATCGCACACCCCTCGCACACCACCGCGCGTTACAGCTTCAACAACCAATACAATGCCGGAGTGCCGAACAGGATGACATTGACGAAATTATGTGCTTCCTGAAGCGCGTTTCGCGGTGCATGATCCATGTGTACCAGGTAATCCTGGCAGTTGTAACATCGATCTTTCATGCAACGATTTCCACCATTCAATGGTTTGCTGTCGTTGCTTTTGTGATTGAGGTGATGATGATGAGCGCTCCTGTGAGTCTGCTTTCAAATTCTGGTAGATTGTTTTTAACGACGTCCGTCAGTCCATGTGGGGTGACCATGGGGGTGGCTTCATAGGCCCGATAGTCGAGCAGCTCACAACAGCATCTCCAAATAGTCACGTGGAGACTACTATCGCACCACATGCCCGTGCTAGCGAAGCGACGGTTCTGAACTTCCTATCTGAGCAAATAGACCAGGCACATAATGTGTTGACGTTGGTCGAGGGACTAGGTGACAACGCGTTTTTTGCATATCATCATGCCAAGTACGTAGCAATTCTACTACCTTGAGATATTGAAGCTCAACCACTGCCAGTGTGCAACGCTTTCTGAGCAGGTCCAGAGGCAACCCTCCATCTGGGGGGAGTAAAACAGAAGTCGATCTCACTGTCGACTTCAGGGGCCTTGATTCCACTCTCATCCAGACCCTGTCACCGCACGGTTTCATTGGGAGAACAGTAAGCCGAATTGCTTTTCGTAATATCATGGCACTCATTGGTATCAGATCTCCCATGCCCTAGACGAGGTGTCATATCACTCAAAGCGTAGTCAAACGGCCTTTCCTACAAGAAGTGCCGTCCGGGAATCACGTATAGATAGCATATACCTACTGGCGTCTTCTAATCTGCTTCTCGAATACTCCTCCATTTTATCAAAAACGGAGAGCATTATAATCGACTTGGGAGCTCTCCATCACCAGTTATCACGCAATCTTCCAGAAGTTCTGACGAATATGCAACGCCGCAAAGCAGCTGCTTCAAGACGCTCGATATGGGACATTTTTACCGGTCAAAGACTAAATCTCAGAGTTGTTGAAGAGGAAAGCCTAGATGCGTTTGTTGCGGGCTTGGAGACTGTCCTTGCCAACCTGCGACAGCTCAAAGCTTATCTGGAATGGATCACAAACCAACTAGTGAGTCCTATTCGCCTCCGTTGAACCCACCTCGCTCAATGATTTGCATGACAGAGTCAACGAACTCTCTTATCAAGCGCCTCAACGGCGTTATCATCTGGTAACCGTTCCTGTTCATCTGCGCTCAGGAATCTGTTGGAACGTGCGAGTAGAGCCTCAAAGAAATGGAATAACTGCTGCCGTTGCCCAGACTCTGGCAAGGACTCACCGACAGCTCCGACAAGGCTGGAATTTAATATCCCTGGCAGTCGCACGCTGCTAATAGTGAGCTGATTCATTAGGCAACATTAAGATGTTTTAACCTTACATTATAATTATGCTAATTATGCAACAGTATGATATCATTCGGCTATTGAAGGTGGTTTGGATATTGTACGATAAGATTGAATATTGAATTACTTTGCTTGCAAGATTTCTCTTGAGGATACAATTAATCAGTTCGGTTTTTGACCCTCAGGGACCCTTCCAAGTTCGGAGTCTGGATACCCGCTTCGTTCAACTCAAGTAAGGTAGATGAGTTGAAAGATAAGTACATGTTAGTTGTCAACAGCAGTACGTTTCTTGTCCTTGTGTGTCCGATAGGATACGAGACAAGCTTGTGTTGATACGATGGTGGATTCGACAGACCGCATTGACATCCATGATGATGATGTTGATACTTAGGTTGTGCAATATGAAGTCTCGCATAACAGATTTGTTGTATGTTTAGTTGCTAGATAAATATTAGCTATTCACGATGTCAACTTGTTTCGTACTAAGGTAAAGCTCTGCCAGCTCTGAGAGCCTTTGCAACCTCGCTTTGAGCTTCGTCGCGAAGATACCGATCATAGATAACCTGAAGCTTGTCTTCATCCTACGTCAAAAATCCAATACATGAGCAAGAAAAACAACTTTGAGGTCCGAACACTTACGCTCGTGGTTTTGCTGACGCTCTCGCGCGTAGCCAAGCGTTCCGCATACTCACTCCAACCATCACCTACTTGCGCTCTGTCATACCCCCGGTGTTCAGCAAGAATATACTCCCGGGCTACCCATGGCGCAATAACGACATCGATCAAACCGAACTCTTTTCCAGTGAAGTACGGGCCCTTGACTTGCTGCGCGAGCTTTCTCTGTGCATCATAGAGTTCCTGGCGCGCAGCGTCCTGTTGTTCTATGCTTTGTGCTTGAAGAAGACGATACCAAGCTGGAATGATCGTCTTCGACGTGTGGTCGATCCACAGGCGTGTGTGCGCGCGCTCAAATGGATCGGCGGGGAGGAGGTGAGGCTTATGATTAGGGTAAGCCTCCTCAAGGAACTCGCACAGGATGAGCGACTCGTAAAGAGCCTTGCCCTGGTACTCGATTGCGGGGACGAGGCCCTTGGGGTTGATATCTGTGCTCGTGTGATGAGCGGACGTTAGGCATAAGTGTCGATCATGTACCAAGGAAATGCTTCTCCTTTCTGTAAGGGTTGACTTCCTTGTATTGGTATGGAATGCCCTTTTCCTCTAAGGAAATCCAGACCCGCTGGTTGAAAGGACAGAACTGGATGAGACGCACATTCGCATGTGAGCGCTCAACGTGTCATGGTATGATGGAGTGGAGAAACTCACCCACCCAGAGTAGAACACCAAATCCTGCTTCGCTTGGTGTTCTGCTACTGTTTCAGCAGCGTTTCCTGTTGCGGTAGGATAAAGGTTCTCGTCAGGGATAGCCATGTCAGTGTCGCTGGATGGTGGAAACTGCGCAAGATTAGCATCTCAGGGGGTACAATAAATACTGTAAGCCATGATGTCAGCTGATGATGAGTTTTCTCACGACGGTGCAGCCACTGCTGCCTTTTATATTTGCTCCCGCGAAATGTCAAACTAGTAATGGCTCGGGTTGCTCGGATCATGATCATGATCATGGTAGTACTAGTATTGTACTCGAGCCATATTGCTGAGGAATTGCAACAGTGCCATCATCCGCGCTCTGTACACTTGCAGTGTTCCGGTCAGCACGCACATCAACCACCTTTACCGCCTCTCCTTCCACATCATCTTCCGTATTCGGCACGCCAACACCTTGCGAAGGCATAGTAGCGCGTCGTACATTCATAACCTTGATGCGTGGAATCTTGACATAACCACATTCTATCGGTATCAAATTCCACGAGAGCTTCTCCTCAGAACCCGGTAAAAGTATCGGAAGGCGACCATTCCGCAAGCCAGCCACGACAAACGCATCAGAGGGATCAAGGTCAAGGGCAACAGTGACATTGGCGGAGCGAGAGGAGTGCCGATTGCGGACTGTTAAGTATATGGTCGTCGGCACGTGGAGCCTTGCAAAGCTAGGGGCGTCGAGAAGGGCGATTAACTCGTCCTGCGGAATCATGAGTGTCGGAAGTGTAAACCGCGTAGTCGACTCCCTTCCACGACCTCCGTCCGGAAGCATCCTGTCGCGTATGTTTAAGAATGGTCGTCGATATGTCGCAATTACACAACATTACCTTCGCCAGACAACTTCGTAGTTGCCAGGACCAGAGATTTTTTCTTCGCCCAAAACCTGCTCCTCCCGTGGACTAAGTGATATCCTACTCACATTGCAGAACTCATCGCCAAGGAGGTATTCTGACACATTTATCCAGCCAAATGATATGGTCATATGGTAAGACTCACCATCTGGAAACATATCATCACTGTTTTCATCCGACGAGCAGTCGAGTACCTTTGCAAGCGGATTATCCTTTTGAAGGATTAATTTCCAAAGTAGTGGTACCAAATTCATTCCACCCACCTGACGATGCAACTTCAAGCTCTCAACCACCAAGCCACAAGGGGCTAAACACTCTATTCTTGTTGTAACCACAGCTACCCCGCCGTAGGAATCATCCCAAAAGTCGTCTTCTACTGTAGACAGATCCGCCAGAGCAGGCATAGCGTCCTTGCTTCTCCTGTACGCCACGTCATACGTGACCGCCAGAGCTCCGGATGTCGGAATAACGATAGTTTGCAACTTCTCGCAGGAATCGATAGTCGCGTGCTCACTCAAAGAGCTCGAGCTGCGGGGTTCTGCGTCATCATCGCCTTCACTCGTGGATTCAGGCTGGACTGAAGTGGATTGAATAGATATGTCTAACATGCGATCACCAGGAGCACCGCTTCCCACGAGGTAAAGAGTCTTGGTGGCCGACACGCCCGGGGCGATGGTGCCGAGTCGAATGCCTTTGATCAATCCGGATGAACGCTGGTCGTCGAAGACAATGTACTGAGCTTTTTAGAAAGGGACATGAGTACTGTAGATTGGAAAGAAAATGAACTATCTAACCTGCTTGATCCACTTCCGTCGGCTGCAACAAGACGTCAACAACAACATCCAGATGTCGCTCATCAACATTTGTGATATCGATGGCGATGGGATATTCTTCATCGAGTAGTGCTGGTGCTTGGTGAGATAACGAGACGGCGAGTTCGTGAGGACGATGTCGAACACTGGATCAAAAACAGTTGTTCACGATATCTATTGTGCTCATCGGGAGCGACTTACATAACACTAGAACAGTCGTCTCTTCCAAGCTGAAGAAACCGGATGGGCTGGAGTGAAGTCAGCCAGCGCGGCACGAGTGTAGATATCTCATGAGAGACACATGGCTCATGTGGCATTTCGACAGTCCATCCGTTTTGTGCAAGTACCACAGTGATGCCCACGACCTGCAGACGGACGTAAACTATCACTATCTGCCATACCTTGCTAAGATAACACTCACGGTAAGCAGCCCAGGAGCTTCAGAAGATATACTTCCAGAGACCACAAGTCGTTCGCCTGGCCTCCAGCGAAGATCAGCACAAATTTCCTCCAGTTCTTCATCTTCATCCTCTGGCATTACCTTTCCAATTTTCACCAGCCGGACAGCCCTATCTGCCACTTGGCCGTCCGTGGGAGGCGAATGTCGGAGTACCACAGGGTAATAACCGTCGGAGAACGTAATAGTCACAGAGTCTATCGGAAGAGTGGAGAGATCTATGTTCGTTGGTGTAGAAAGGGACAGTTGAAATCCGGCCTCTTCACCAACCCGCACTTCGGGCACCCAAAAGACCAGCATGGTGTCCACTCCATGTCAATCAGTAAAAATGACACGAGTGAACATGCTTCCATTAGCTCACATAACGGGTCAGATTCTTTGAGGTCCACAATGAGTGGCTTCCCTGGTGATACAGGAACCGAACTCTACACGAACCAATTCAATTTTAATCGCCTCGAAGACAAGGCAGGGTGCCTTACCTTGAGTACCACCAATAGGTCCTCCTGTAGGGTTCTCGACTCATCGACATCTTGCGCTAAACGACATCATCACACTGTGCGACCACCTTCAAAGCATTATACGTTACTTACCATACCCAATCATCTCCACGAGGAGCGTCGCCATAAGTTCCACGTCGCTGAGCTTCTGCGCACAGGCATACCACGTTGACAAAAGCGGTCTGAGCATGTGTTTCCATTTCTCCCTTCGGTACGTCTTTGCTATCCGCTCGAAGAATCTATACACCGCCATTTGGTTGATTTCTTGTACGATAAAGATGAAAATGCATACCGTACTGCGACATCAAACTTCTCAGACTCGTAGTATGTATGCGCGATGCGGTAAGCGATCCAGAGTGTCAACCGTCCTTGACTCGTGGTGGAGCTATGTTTCTTAAACACCTCGTAGGATTTGGTGTAGAGCTGAGGCGAAAAAAAATGTCATCATTTAACTGCATTACAAGTCAAACAGAGCACAGACCTCAAGAATCAATGACAGATGGTCAACTTTCTTCTCATTTGCGTATCCTGGGGCCGCACTTGTCCCTTGCGAGATAGCCTCCTTAGGGTGAGATATGGTTGAGGGCTCGATGTTCCGAGACAACAAACATACCTCGTTAGCCAAGAACCTCTCCCTGCGTGCTTCTGTGCACCGGGCGGCCATGTAGTAGTAATGCCCTGGATGCTGCAAGGCGTGGCTAGGATTCAACCCGAACGCTCGAACGGTGTCTAGCTCTACGGGCGTGCCTGCCGATGTCACACCGGCCGTAAGCGAAGGAGGTGAGTTTGTGGGGAACGTCAGCGAAGAATTCGATCCTTGTTCTAGAAGCTCTGCGAGGACGCGGTGCCTGGAAAACATAATGAGAAATTTATTGGATATGTTTGGATATGAGGGACGTACTGTCTCGCCATCCAACTCCAATACTCAAATGTCTCCTCGCCTATGCCCCATCCCCGTGAAAAATCTGCGAACCGGCGCATGTGGGAGTTGTGATGTGAAAGCGCAAGGGAGTGCTCGCTATTGTACAGGTATAATTTGGTTATCTGTCGGTCCAGTTGTAAGAGTGATCATACAAAGCGCATACACTCGCACCTTCACATTTATGGCGTCTGCAAGGACTTTGGCCTCTGCCCAGCGCTTGGTTCGAGGGGGGAGGATGGCAGTCGATCCGAACATAATCATGAGTGTCGCGTACGCATCCTGATAGTGTCTAAGAAACTTAGTTTTCCAATCTCTTTGACAACGAGAACGTGACGGACTTGAGCGCAACCTCGTCTTCAGCCCTGAACTCTGCAAAACATGCCATCTTGTATTCATACCGCACGGTCCACCCTTCGGGACGCAGTGGGCGGGTGTTCGCAACGCCCATAGAAACAAGAGCTGGAGGGTTGTACGATGAAACAGATTGGGAGTGCCGATTACGCTTACGCCTGACACGTTTGGAGTGCGATGTATAGTATTCGAGTGCAGGTTCATACAAGGCGTCTTGTAAACTAGAATATCATGAATTGCAGCCGTAGAAAAAGATTAGTATGCCCTTACCTGCGTGCAAAATCGTTCAATTCAGATGTACTAACTGGACTAAGGACAAACAAGGCTGCACGGGAGTCAAGCCCGCTCTGTCTTCTGATGAAGGTGAGGCGGCTATCCAGTGACGGGTCATCTATTACACAGTTAGAGACCCAACTTGACTATGACAAATGGACGATATACCGAGCATCCTTCTAGTTGCAAGTAGCACGACGGTCAATTTGATACCGCGTTCATTTGTCGTCTTCTTTCGAGCTGCAATCTCAGCGCTGAGCTCATTATCTCTTCTTCGTTCCTCCTCTGTTTTATCGCGTTCATGTTCCGGGTCTGGTGGGTCCAATGGAGATCGAGCATGTATCGCAGGTGCCTCAAACAATCTGAGGAATAGAACAAAGACGCTCGGCAATAGCTGAGTGTGTTTCCGTATCCATATAGGCGCAATTAGGCCGTCAGGATACAAGGGTGACGAAGGTGTCAAGGGCGAAAGCGGTGAATGAGCAGATGCATATGCAAGATCCTCTGGAGGAACGAGCTTGCGAGGAGGGAATCGGACGTCTTTCCCGACGATGATCATTTGAAACGCCCTTGTGCGCTCTGGTGCCCATATCGCGACTTTGTGCTGGGACTGAAGGGCATCTCGGAGGCGTACAATGAGGCTCGCGAAAGGATCCTGAATCTTGGTAGGTGCAGTCGGGGGTGATTGGGTTTGACCTGGCGATTGTGGAGTACTTGGAGGGGACGTTGACGGTGCAGATGGTAGGTCAAGGCCTGCAACAAACATTACTGGAGCGAGCTGGACCAAAAGCTCAGCCGGGTAGGAATTCATCCTGACTATTCCCAATGATGAACTTCACTAAACCGATACTGGGATAGCAGTTTAACAGTTTCCAAAGCAAGAAAACAGAAAACAATCAAATATGCATCAGCGTATGCGAGTCTACGACTACCGAGAAGACTTACTAATTATAGTATTCTGCAAAGTACTCATCGTGGGAACGAACCGTCGAGTTTCTTCTACGCGTACGTACTACCATGATCAGCTGGCCTACGGACCAAAGTCACTGAGAAGACCACTGATGTGAAATGGCAACTCAACAACGACGTCAGGCTCGACGTCATTAAATGCGACATATAAGAAGAATGTTGGTTCATCTTTATCGTTCACATTCAAACCACCAACTTCAAAACTAAAACCTACATTCAACCAACGCGCTTTGCATTAAGATGGACAAAGACTGCACTTGCATCAGTGACTGCGGGTGAGTATTCATTTGCTAAATCTTCTATCATAGCTTTAAACACGTCCATAGCGCATGTGCCCCCTCGGGCACTGGCTGTACTTGCCCCAAGAATAGTTGCGACTGCGACAAGTGCGACAACTGTGACAACAAGCCAGAATCTTCGCAAGTATGTCGTTGATTGCACTTCTAATTCACCCTGGTCCTCATACCATCAGTGCGACTGTGGCCCCTCAGGCACTGGTTGTACTTGCCCCAAGAATAATTGCAAGTGTGACAACTGCGACAGCTGTGTCAACAAGCAACACTCTCAAGTATGTCGTTAACTGCATTTCTAATTAGCCCCAGTCCTCATCACATCAGTGCGACTGTGGTCCCTCGGGTATTGACTGTACTTGCCCCAAGAATAATTGCAACTGCGACAACTGCGACAGCTGTGTCAACAAGCAACACTCTTCGCAAGTACGTAGTTAATCGCACTTCTGACTCACTCTGACCCTCACCACATCAGTGCGACTGCAAAGGTGCAGGTGTCAGTTGCGGCTGTACCAATCAGCAGCGGGCATGCAACTGTGTAACGAAGTAGTCGTCTACATGATCACAGATTCATCAGAAGATCCCGCCGAGTATTCAGCCCCTTTTATTTGTGACGACCTCTGTATCGGTACCGCATGATGTTGTATTACTATAGCAACCAATAGTTCTTTAGGTCATCCTCTTCGTGACATTGTCTCCTCTTGAACCCGAAAATACAAGAAACCTCAAAACACGTGACCCTTACGAGCGCGTACCTGCTATTTTCGGATGAAGGTAACATCTTCTCTTGGTGAGCGTTTTTGTATAAGAAGCAACTGACCCAGTCGTGATTTTACCATTCCCTCCCTCGTATCTCTCGGCTTATTGATTAGGTCTCCGTCTCGTTCACTCATTAAGTCTCATTTCTCGCTGCTCTTCAAACACAACCCATCGCATATACCTCAATCCATCTTATACCCATCCAACATGTCCTCAGTGACCCTCCGCATTATGTCCCTCTGGGTCATCCTATTTTCAATATCTGCAATGGGTAAGCATATCATCCTCAGCTCTGTATCTTACAAAATTTGACTTTGCCGATAGTTGCAGCGTCACCCGCACCAATAGATCCCCAACTTGCATCGGTCATCACGAGCAATATGAATCTGAATTGCGGTCAGAGCTGTCAGGAATTTAGGGGCACACAACAACTGGTAATGTTCATTCTTGAATATGATGCATGCGTCTTCTCATTTGCGTGCTACCTGACAGAATAAGAATTTTGCCTTGACATCTGCATCGAGCTCAAATTCATTTGTACTTGGAGCTATACTGCTAGCTGGTGGCGTTTTGGTAGCATAATGAGGATATATCGTTACGAAGCGGCTTCTAGGTCGGACTTTGACATTTTGATGTAGCAGTAAACATCAGTGCTGTTTCTAATGCTAGTGTATAGTAGCACGGACAAGAGACATTGATGGGCTCCACTGATACTGGTTGACGAGGACCCATATGTACAAAGACCAAACTAATTCGGCATACCGAATCAGTTCTACGGCGAAACCATGCACAAGCAAAAATATTTTCAGAGTACGATTGGACGACAAATTGCACAGCAGATGTAAGAGAAAGCGATTACATAGTAGACTAGCAAGTATAAAAGTGTTCACTATCAGTCTTCAGGAATGAGGAAAGTCGGTCACGGGGGAAGGGGAATCGAAGAATGTCATCGAGACAGAGAAAGCATGGAGGAGTAACTGTATTAAAGTTCAGTTGACACAACTGTGCGCTCCTGGAAAGCTATTGAAATCATATCCGCCTCCGCATCAGAGTTGTCCATGATTTTTGTATGATATTGTCGAACACTAAGGATGAGGCGTGGTCCCAGCACAAACATCTGTATGACCGAGAGAATTTGACGAACACCATCATAGATCTGAGCTCCCACAGCAAGTGAGTTCTATAGAAGTGATAAATAAGTCGTGATCGCATGCAGATATCAATGATACACGGGCGTACCGCCAGGAGCTGTGGAGACAAAAAACCGAGACTGAAACAAGAAACAGCAGCAAAGCTGGCAGATACGGAACTTTAGCAGGCGAGTTAAACCATATTAAATTAGGAGTTCACCTTGCGAAGTAGACGATATGAGTCTGTATTAACGCTGTAAAACAATCCCCAATTGTCCATCCCCTCGATGGTCGTTGCAGTTCACGGAAGTGTTTTACAGCAATCCAGGTTGCAAGACACAGTGCAAGGACTTCCCATACAGTGGAGAGTATCCATGTCATGGAAAGTAGAATCAGGGCGTCTGCTTCATTGTCATAGTTAGTGCACTGATAGGTGCCGGAGAGGATGAGCTCCTCTAATATTCATCTGATCAGCATGATGCGCACGAGCCCTTCAAGTATAATTTAACGCTTACTTGCTTTAGTATGCCTGTTTATAATTGCAGCCATTACGCCGCATACAATTGTGACAGCCGTGAAGATTACAGTGAGAAAGACAAGCACGTTTCTGGATCGCTGATGCATGGCATACAAACGAGTGATCATGATCGCTTGGATGATGTATCAGCCAAGTCAACATCGCTGAGGTATTGAAGCTGAGTAGCTCACCACCTAACATAGCATTTACCGCCACACCTATCCAATTTAGTACGGAGTACATAACGTTGCCTGGAAATCCCAAGTTGGGTTGGCGTTGAGTGTCCGAGGGTCAGATGTTTCACACAATCTCACATCTGTTGCGGTAATTTTATATTAAATCAACAAGCTGGTCGAGAACCTCACTCACCCCTGCATAAGAGTCAATTGGGCGACGATGACAGGCATCAATGTAAAATACTCACTGGTTTTGTCAACGAGACTGTCGGAAGAGTTTCTGTATGCTGTCAGTCAGCAGAAACACGCATGGTATGGGTTAAGGGACATACGCAGCATGTTGATGCTGATTGTGAGAAATGACTGAGTATCAGCACAGAGCACATTGCAAGACTTGAAGGCATACATAATGTATACTATTCCCATGTAGCGCACCTAGAATATTTTGAATTCAGCAAAACTTCTCATCTTCGCGTATAACATAAGTTACGCACGCCGATATATAGGACTGTCATGAAAGACCAGCGACGATTCTGCCCAGAATTGAGTACATCATCTTGTCGAGGCCTTCTGATATGGTACGGTGCCCACCCAGACCAGTTCGAGCTACACATAATATTAAGTCATTCATGGCTACTCTGGTAATGGCATCAGCGTACCTCTTGCCCGAATGTAAGTGCTAGAAACATAAGGATATCAATGAGTCATTCTTAAGTATGATCTCGCTCACCCCAATCATATATCACTGCAGCAGAGGAGGCAACTGTATCAAGATTAGATCGAGGCGTCACGGACAGCATCTGCCTGGCTCCCCACGAACCTATGAAGTAGCTGAAATTACGATTGAAATCGATTACTGGCCACCAGCGGGGAGCATTGAATATTATGGTCATGTTCGAGGGATGATGTGAGTGAGTGAAAAACTTGGTGAATGTATAATGATGGAGTTCGTGCTAGATATACCACCATCTAGCGCTGAGAAAGGCGCCATGGAGATGGACGTTCAAACGTTCACCCCCGTCTTGATTGATATGAATTAGTATGCTGTGTGAAACCAAGCAGAGAAGGAAGTCAGAGTCGAACAAGAATCAAATTTTGGCTGATGCTGGCTGCGAATTTTCAATTCACAAAGCAGTGTCGTGTGTATTCAATCTTCCTGGCCGCCCTTTATGTCTGTTCGTGATTTCTGGAAATTCTTTTCAATGCGGCACTCATTGATGTGTCAGTTGAAGAAATCAGTAAAATCATGTAGCCACCGATCTAACACAGGCCCAGGAGCAATGCGACCATCAAAAAGTTTTCCATTCTGATGATTCTCTATGAGACTGTACAGGCTGATTGATGATCTGCTCCCTCTCTTGTTGGCCCGGACCTGGGGAGCGTGACACCTCATCCAGAGTCTCTTAACTAGGTGACATTCTGTCGGCACAATATCAGAAATGTCAAAAATGAAATTCAGTTGCAGCCTCACTGTTACCAACCAGCTGGACCTCCAGGCCAATCCCTCATGGCCACCTCCCCCTGGCAACTTGCCGCGGTCGTGACACGACGTGTGTGTGTCGTGAATGTATGACATGGCCTTATGTAGCTCAAAATAGAGAGAAGAGACCACAGGGAGAAGAGACGACTCGAACATATACGAGGTTCGGGATAAAACTCCTTGCTAATGATAAGCGTGTCATTAACTCCATCGGGGGGCCCGTCACGTAATACCTGGCTTGCTATTGTAATATTTACCCGAATAATTTTATCTCGAACCTGCCAGTACTAGCTAGTACTTGGCCAATGGCCACAGTGAATTGTCTTACTAGTTTTCGACCTCAAGCACTGATCCATAAGTCGACTTCCACACTGCTACGAATCGTTAAGTCGTTCCTTCGACTTCCTTGAGGAGTTCTACAGCGCCCACCCAATGGCGCCGCGCCGCTGCTTAGTGCCTGAAGCAGCAAATGTTGCCTCGAGGGCTATTGTGTATTTACATAAATGGCATGAGGCCACCCTTTCTCCGATTTCTTGTTGCACTTTACTACGGTCAGACTGATCATCGACCTCAAGTATTGAATCACCATGAACGGCGACAATCAATTGGGGGACTCGAGCTCAGTTCCTCCTCCGGACATCGAGGCATGCAATGAAACAAACACTGCTGAACGCCTGGTAGGTGGCTGATATTCATGAAGTTGAGGCGCTGACTCTTGTCAATGCATCCTTTGTCTATGTCTAGGGCCGACCCCGTGGCAAAATCTGTCGGTTTCTAGGGAAGGTTACCAATGATGTGATCACAAAGATTTCTGTGAGTCGAAATCAATGCTGAGTGTACTGAGATTAGGCTGATATCGTATGCAAGTGCTCGAACTTGAAGGATTCGCGCAGCTGCGACTCTGTTCTCCCTAACGTCGATCATGAAGGTTCATCGATTCCCAATATCAAAGTAGGTGACATTCCGGTTTCTGCTCTCTCTGTCTAACATCTACTGGCCGCACAGGTTCAACCTGCCACCGTTCAGGATGTTTCTACTGGTGTGAAACAAGGTGCCGATCCCCAATCGGTGGACGTGGCACTTCGGGACGCCTATGGTGGTGCAAATGCACTTTTGGGACCTGTCAGATACGTAGCGTCTGCAGGCCGAAATGCACCAGCAGCTCTCGATGATATGGACAGTATGGAGGCCACATATCTTCAACCCCTCAGGATATTCGACACTGTGATCGGGGAAGTCGCAGAGGTATGATCTCTCTCCTCATCAGAACTGGACTAATACTGTTCCGCAGGTACATCCATATGCAAAGATGGCATTGGGTGTGCTATCTTGCGCATTGAAAGTATGTTTTTCTTTGCTCTTATTCACACTTCCTGCTCAGTTGTTCTGCCTGCAGATAATTCTTGCTCAAGCGGATCGCGACGAAGCGATACTTGACCTCTACAAGAAGTTGGGTCAAGTGTACGGCTTCATGACGCAAGACGACACACTTGATCAGATTTCGTCGATGAGCACCATTTTGGGACAGATCTCTCAACAGACCCTTGAATGTGCGCATTTCATCAGGGATTATTCAGAAAAGAAAAACTTTTGTGAGTCTCTCCAACAAGTCGTTTCACTTTGCAGATTTTCAATTTTATCATAGGGAAGAGACTTGGAAAGAACGTTCTCTCGGAAACAGACGATACGATAAAACGGTATAATAACGTGTTGGATGCGCTTATGCAAAACTTCCGGGACCAAGTTGCTCGCGACGTAGCCATCTACATCCACCATACAGGTAAGGATTCGGACTTGCTTCTGGCTCGACATTCATTTATACTTTTACAGGTGAAATACTGGACCTCAGTGGTATGGCTTATGCGGAGGCCGCAGGACTAGATACTAGGAAACGATGTCTACCAGGGACGCGCACGGACATTCTCTCCAACATCATGAGATGGATCAACGACAGTGGAGATGATGCTCCATGCGTGCTATGGCTATCTGGTCCTGCCGGAACGGGTAAATCAGCCATCGCTCACACAATCGCTAGCTCGTTCATTGGGGTGGGCGGACTCGGTTCTTGTTACTGCTTCGACCGAAACATGGACGATCACCATAAAAAGGTCTTCTCCACCATCGCGCGCGACCTGGCTGACCGTCATCCCCAGATGAAACGAGCGTTAGCGGATGCAGTCCGGAACGCAAATGCGCTCAAGACTACAGCGGATGTCGTACAGCAGTGGCAGGAGCTTCTTATTGAACCGCTAGGGAAGCTTTCTGAGTCACCCGTAGGGCCTGTCGTGATCATTATTGACGCACTAGACGAAAGTGGCAAGGCAGTGGAGACACGCAGCGACCTTCTACGCATTCTTGCCGGTAAACTTCGAGATCCAACCATCACTCATGTCACGAAACTTCCGAAAAACTTCCGGATCATCGTTACTTCTCGCCCACTCCATGATATAGAAGCAGCATTTGCAGGTGCTCAACATATTCGACGGATGTCCATGGACGACATTTCATCAACCACCGCAGAGCGCGACATCCACGCTTACATATCGAACCAGTTGGAAGAGTTTTCGGATTTTGGGGACACACAGTTTGCAGTGCTTGCAAAGAAAGCCGATGGCCTGTTTGAGTGGGCACGTCTTGCTTGTAAATCCATCAAAGCACCCCCTCCTGGCTTATCTTCATCCGAGTCCTTCGATGCTGTGGTATCCCGCAATTCCGCTGAGCGGGAAAACTTGTTGTATGATATGTATGATTTCATTTTGACAGAGATCATGCGAATAGACCAATCTCCCCGTTCTACGTCTCTGCACAAACAGCTAACGAGATTTCATTCTGTGATGGGACAAATCCTTGGCGCAGCTGAACCCCTCTCTTTGGAGTCCCTGAATGTTATGCGGAACCGATTTCCAGACAATAGCGAGCATTACGAAGTGCAAGTCATGGTCAAACATATGGGATCCCTCCTCAGCGGCACCGCCGGCTCATCCACCCCCATCCGACCCCTTCATGCCTCCTTCCGCGATTTTCTTACAGACCGCGAATGCAGTGGAGAGTTCTTCGTTGACGTGTCGAAGGCACATCGAGACCTTGCTTTCGCATCGCTTCGAGTGATGGAATATGAACTTTCTTTCAATATTTGCGATCTAAAATCATCGTATCTCCCCAACTCCGAAGATCCCGGTCTGCGAGAACGAGTTGGAAAATGCATCTCCCCACATCTATCCTATGCCTGCCGATCCTGGCCTGTCCACGTACAAGCAATTGACTTCGGTCCAGACCTTGCCAAAGAAATAAAATCCTTCTTCAACCATGAGCGACTGTTCTTCTGGCTCGAGGCACTTGGCCTTATCAATGCGCTCAGCGGCGTAGTCCCCGCCCTCCTGCTTATCGCCAAGTGGCTGAAGGTGAGCACGTGGTTATTGATCGTCAGATAACATGCTCACTAACGCGGAATCACAATTACAGGGTCACACCGGATACGAAGAAGCCTCGTCCGCTGCAATGGACGTGCATAGATTTATCCAAATCTTCGGTGGCCTCATCTTGCACAGTACACCTCATCTCTACGTATCGGCACTACCATTCTCTCCCCTTAACTCTGCACTATCCAAAACGTTCACCGCACGGTTTCCTAACTCTCTTCGTCTGACATCTCGGCGTGATATCAACTGGACGGCTGTCCAGATGGTGATCAATGGACACACTGATTGGGTTAGGTCAGTCTCGTTCTCGCCGGATGGGACTCGCATCGCAACTGGATCGGATGATCGTACTGTGCGGCTGTGGGATACAATAACGGGGCAACCAGTCGGCGAGCCCTTGCTGGGGCACACTGACTCAGTTCGCTCAGTTTCATTCTCCCCAGATGGGACATGCATCGCGTCTAGCTCGGACGATCACACTGTCCAGTTGTGGGATGTAGCAACATGTCGGCCCATTGGTGGACCCTTATTGGGACATACTGGGCCGGTGAAGTCAGTCGCGTTCTCACCGAACGGAACTCGCATCGTGACAGGTTCATATGATAAAACTGTCCGACTATGGGACGCAGCAACGCGGCAGCCAGTTGGTGAACCCTTACAGGGGCACACTGATAGGGTTAACTCAGTGTTGTTCTCGCAGGATGGGACTCGCATCGCTTCTGGTTCACACGATAAAACTGTCCGACTGTGGGAAGCGGCAACAGGGCAGCCAGCCAGTGAGCCCTTGAAAGGGCACACTTCTTCGGTCTTATCAGTCTCATTCTCTCCGGATGGGACTCGTATCGCAACTAGTTCTGCAGATATGACTGTTCGACTGTGGGATGCGGCGACAGGGAAGCCTGTCTGTGAGCCCCTGGAGGGTCACACTGATTGGGTGAGATCAGTTTCGTTCTCGCCGGATGGAACTCGCATTGTGACAGGTTCGGATGATCAAACCGTCCGGCTGTGGGATGCAGCAACAGGGCAGTCAGTAGGTGAGCCCTTGCTGGGGCACACTTATTGGGTTATGTCAGTCTCGTTCTCTCCGGATGGGACTCGCATCGCGACTGGTTCTACAGATACCACTGTCCGACTGTGGGATGCAGCTGTAGGGCAGCCAGTTCGTCAGCTATTGCAAAGGCACGCTGCTTCCATTACCTCAGTCTCGTTATCACCGGATGGGACCCGCTTCGCGACTGGTTGGAAGGATGGCATTGTCCGGCTGTTGAATGCAGCGACAGGGCAGCCAGTTGGTGAGCGCTTACTGGGGCACACTGATTGGGTTATCTCAGTCTCGTTCTCTCCGGATGGGACTCGCATCGCAACTGGTTCTGCAGATAGGACTGTTCGGTTGTGGGATGTGGCAACGGGGAAGCCTATCTGTGAGCCCTTGGGGGGACACACTTATTTGGTGAGGTCAGTTTCGTTCTCGCCGGACGGAAGTCGCATTGTGACAGGTTCGGATGATGAAACCGTCCGGCTGTGGGATGCAAGAACGGGGCAGCCAGTCGGTGAGCCCTTGAAGGGACACACTTCTTCTATCAAGTCAGTTTCGTTCTCGCCGGATGGAACTCGCATCGTTTCTGGTTCGGATGATAAGACTATCTGGCTGTGGGATGCAGGAACAAAGCAGCCAATCGGTGAGCCCTTGCGGGGGCACACTTCTTCAGTCAACTCAGTCTCGTTCTCGCCGGATGGGACTCGCATCGTTTCTGGTTCGCGTGATGGGACTGTCCGGCTGTGGGATGCAGAAACGCGGCAACCAGTCGGTGAGCCCTTGAAGGGGCACACTGATTGGGTCTACTCAGTATCGTTCTCGCCAGATGGGACCCGCATCGTTTCTGATTCGCTCGATATGACTGTCCGGCTATGGGATGCAGCGACGGGGGAGCCAATTGGTCAGCCATTGATGGGGCACACTTCTTCGGTCACATCAGTCTCGTTCTCGCCGGATGGTACTCACATCGTTTCTTGTTCATTCGATGGGACTGTCCGGCTCTGGTATGCAACGATTAGGAAGTCATTGCAGGACCACGCCGAAGAAGACCATTCACCATCCTCCCCGCACGGCAGTTGCATCCCACATCCAACAGCGGCCATCGCCACACCCAACACTGCGAACGATGACTTTATTTCCTTCTCATCCAACTCGGCACATGCACTGTGCGACACTGCTGAGCTACTCGCAGGCACTTCCCATGACGACCACACGTTTTTGCTGGGAGCCGATGGATGGGTATCAGGACCAAATAAACAGCTATTATTCTGGGTGCCACCTGGTTCTCGAGAACCATTCTATAATTCTCGGACTGCATTAGTGATACCCAGAGGTGGTGTTGAGCTTGATTTCCGTCACATGACACATGGGACACGCTGGCAGCGCTGCCGCAAGGAGTGAGTTTGCAGTGCCCTCCGTTGTTCGCAGTCAATTAATTCGGTTATTGTAGCTCTTGATTACGATGATCTCATTCTGGTGATAATTTTCGGAGATGCCTGAGACACTTCGTCGAGTACAATTGGAGTGTACATATCCTGAGAAAAGCGACACAGTAGTTTGATAGTTCTGTGGAAGGTGCCAACCACACAATCTGTCTGCTTCATTCTGTCTATAATCGAATCAGAGTGCAACTATGTGGTCGATGAAGAAGTCATTAGAGCTCTGTGGCTTTTGGGGGGGTTAACACCATTAAACACAACATATGTGCTACGGTCTCCAAAGAACGAACGGTGATGATTTTAACTCCTTGGATGTTACCGGTGGTCGTGTGTTTGATAGTAAGGATGCCATTGAATGGAAGTACTATTGCTATTAGTACTAGTACTAGGTCATCAAACAGCGCTGAGTGACTATTAGCAACCGAGTAAACAAATTCACACGAGAGTCCTTTATTAAATCTACGACGTACGTATAGTACCGCCGCCTCCAGTTTCTCCTCTGGCTCGAAGCCATCCAAAAGTACTGTTTTCGCAGAACACTACTTTTGTGCTGTAGCAGCGACGACGTTTCAACGCGAATCGGTAGCGCATCCGGACCTTCGAGGACCATTGGTCACGGAAAATGTTCCTCTGGGGAAAGAGCTCTTGAACTTCAAGTATCGCGGATGATGTCTACAACTTTATATGAACTAATTCATGGGTGATGTGCCGACCGAGGAAATACCGAAAAGACAGTGTTCAAGATACGTTCAAGGAGTCTGAAGAACATGATGACGCCGCTGCAACATCTTCAAGTTCGCTATAAAGATATTTGAGGAAGATAACAGAAGCAGCCGCGAAGGTGAAAGCCATTTTATGACATGACGTGCAGAGCTCGCCGCTGTCGAGTTGGACGCTGTTGTGCGACCTGATCCGCAGAGCAGAAGCGGTCCTTGTTTGGAGGCCCATCGACAACCACCCTTGCCTTCTATCCTCTGACGTGACGACACCTGTCTTGCAATGATTCATGGAGTCGACCACAATACTGTTGCATGTTATTGTTCATGTTTCACTTCGAGCCCTCGTCCGACCATGGGCACCCTGTACCTCCAAAGTCTTTCCCGATGGCCGTTACTGAACCTACTCTGTATCCCCTGCCTCAGTCATGTTTGAATTTGCTGTATCCCAGCCCGTGCTCAACTAGCTCACATGAGTTTGCACCATGGGTTCTTTTCCTCCAACAATGCTGCATTCGAAACGGCGGGGGGCATTCTTGAGGCTATGGCTGTCAAAGGTGACCTCACTAATGAGTGGCACGTATGGAGAGGACGAGAAGCTGCAGCTAAGAGATGAAGTTCGACGGATATGGACAGGTGTATACTACGTTCTGGAGCTCGAGCCCGAGGCGCAGGGTAAAATAAATTCCCGATGAGAGGGTATTATGGCGTGAGTGTGCTATCCAACCAATGTTATTGTAACGTCCATTGTTATGGCTTGTAACGAGGACTCACTTAGTATTCTCTAACAGACTATATTGAATGAAGAAAGTCGTTTTATCTTGATTGGACTGATATTTAAGCGAGGGAACATTGCCAGTTGACGCGTGTTGATAGCACGCGTCTTGTATCTTTTCTTCATCGGTGTCGACTGTCTCACAACAGCTAGAGCCAGTTCCGACACGATCAATGCGCCGATTTATGGCCCACTGGCAGGTGTCGCAGGCAAAATAATTGATGTAACTGACTTCAACAGGGGCATCTTTATAATCAACGCTTGACAAGGGTGGACGGCAGGCGGACTGGTTGACGCGATCGGAATCAGAAGCCCATGGCAGCTCGAATGGCACCTCGCAAAGATATTCAGCACAAGAACGAACACGCTGCAGACTCACTTTGGATAATTTTTGAAAGTTGGGGAACCGCTCGAATTCGATGATGATTCCCTTGTATCCAACATATCTTGCACTATGATGAGGAGATGGTGGGTATGAAAACAACGACACTAGCTGGAGCCAAAAGGTGCGTGGCTTTACTGATATATACAGCGTACGACCGATTACTGTGTGCAGTTCGTATTTCAAAGTGATTCCATGATAGGGACGAAAGCACAGCGCCCAAGTCACAATCTGTGACTGCCTGCATGCGCATCACCCGTTCTCTCGGTTTATTTCGCCCGGAAAAAGGTAGGGTTGCTGGAAAGATCCAGTAGGACCAGTATCCACGGGTAACTTTCCATTATAAATCTTTCTACCCTTCTTTGAACTCGCCATCGATAGCAAGTGAGTGACACTTTTCCTTTCTCCCCTCCCCTGCTGATCTGGTCTTCGCAAGTGGTCTCCACTGGAATGAAGCCCGCTCCATTGGGCAGTGCATACAGGATGCAACATCAGGGTAACGAATCAGCTGCCGGCGACGGCCATCGCACCATACCACGACCGACGCCTGCGGAATTTCGTAAGCTAGTATCTGGTCCCCAAGAAAACATCATCCGTGCAATGGACGTAAGTCAGCCGGTCTTCGAGGAATTCAAGGTAAATAGTGATTGCGCATTATCGTGCATCGCTGATCTTCGATAACAGAAAATCCTCCGCGATCAAGCCGTTATGATGCTTGATTGCGAGAGGTTCATACACGAGCAAGTCCCAGACATCTGGGCAATATATTTGGACTGGGTAAGCTATTTTTTTGACCAACCAGTTATATGGACTATCTAACACCTCTTCAGGCTCGCGAGGAATTGGCATCATTTCTTTCCAAGTACACCGATGCATGGCCAGTCGAATTATACATCGAACATTACTTATCCAAGAAAACGTATGCCAAGCGTCACACCTTCAGAGCCAAGATGACGAGGTTAAGGCCCGCCCCAAAAACTGTTCGTGTTAAGAGTTCTACCTCAGAGGTAAAGTACTTGTGCCCATACTGCTAATGAACAGCGCCGCTTATCCTTTTGCATGATAGCGTGGTGCGAGCTTGCCACCCGCTCCCGGTGGTCCACCTCCACCTTATGAAGATCACGACTTTGTACAACCTCATGCGGCGAACGACGATATTCTCACTGTCGAGAACTTTCTCAAGACTGTTAACCCTGACATTAGCCACTTCCTCCCCGCGTTTGAGGAATTAGGGATCAACAGCGAAGCGGACCTGGTTATTGTGAGGTCGTGGGCTCCTGGTGTGAGAAAGGATTTTTTCGAGAGAGAATTGATGGGGAAGATGAGCGCTCTTCAGATCCAGGCTTTGAATATCAAGCTTGGGGAGATGAATTAGCGACTATCCCAAAGTTATGATCTTTTGGTCTTAAGCTTCACACTTCTATGATATATTTTTTCGTTTAAATCGAGCTCTATTTGCATTTTGTGGATGACTCGATTCTGCCAATCGGCAGCATTCTCTGCCTTACGATGTTAGGAATCAAAAGATTCTTTAATCTCGGAAAGGCGTGGTGGGTCATGGCGAGAGATCGTAGTGTTACCGCTCTCACACCGACCCTGGGAGTCTCACAACAGGAGATATTTATACAGATGCTGTTTAAAATGCCACTACGATCAATAGTTGTCGACATATACAGAATATTGGTAAAATTATTATCGCGGTCATCGACATTGTATTTGTAACTTGTCGGACATGGCAGAATTGTCCATTTTAGAACAAGACCTTCTCCATACTGTTCTTTTCAGATATAACTGATCTGGGCGCCTTTGGTTTTGGGCTAATCAACAGATGAGAATCATGGCGTCACACACAAATTCCTGTAAACCTACCGTCGACCCACACTACGGCAAAAACATCGTTGTGCTGACAGCATGATAACCGCTATCCAAGTCAAAAGCACCGCCGCTAGTACCATCCACAAGCCATTGCCAAAGCTTACAGCGAAGTCGCATCCAGGGAAAAGGGAGTTGACGTTGTTTCTAACGCCAACAACCAGAGCAACGTTGGCAGCAAAAACAGCAGTCGAAATAACTGCTGATATTGTGGCGACTATGAGCCCGATTGTTGTGACTAAGTGTGAGCGAAGTAAAAGAGACAACACCAAGGCGACGGTCGAGAGTGCTGCATTGACGAGATGCAGCACAAGTATAGTCAGGAGGGTCGTGTTTGCAACATCCGCGAGCTTAGAGGAGAACCCGACCAGAGACAAAATGCTTGTAGGAACGGTGTATCCCAACTGTAGGCCATAGCATGCTTCTTGTGCTCTGACGCCGTTAAGGATACTGAAATGTGGCAGATGAGGAAACGTTGGCGAAATTTGGTCAAAGTAAATGCTCTACCTCAACGCACAGACACCCCATACTCCAAATTGCAGTTCTGTGATTGCATTCGAGACGGGATCAACAGAATTTATTGCTGAAACTTTGATGACCATGATTGGCTTGATAATTGGTAAAGATAACCCGACCAAGAGAAAGATGAATGCAGCGAGAAATAATATGAAGCAGGCCAGACGGACAGTGTGCTCTTGCAGTAGCCGTAGAAGCTTTTGAGACTTGGCTAGATGGCCGCGTAACCACTGTAGGACACCCACCATGCTTAGTGTTACCAGCGACTGGGTTGGGAAGGATGAATACAACGCATTGCTATGTAGTGCTTTGCGTGGATTTGAAGCTGCAGGCGAGACAGCCTGGAAATATACATAGCTTTGTTATATGATGCTCGTGGCAAGGTCTCGCGTACTGTAGGCGCTCGTGAGAGTCCAATTTCAAAGCCCACTCGCAGCGCTCTGAAAATACAGGAGAACCATTGTCGGTGACGAATAGAATGATAGACTGAGTTGCTGAGTTGACAAGGACGGCAGCGAAAACTTGAAGCTTGAAGTACAGCAGCCTAGTGAAGTTACTGGGCTGAACCGTGTATAGTGACACCGCCGACCATTCCCACATTAAATCAATAATGTGATCGAGCGCTCAAATAAGGACGCTCACACCAGTGTCTAGCCTTGACCTGCCTCTAGTGCAAGTTTTTAGCGTATAGCTTAAGTAGAACAGCTGTACTGCCAAACTCATTATGTATTCCATTCGTATTCACATCATTTGCTTGCGAGAGAAAACAGATGGCGCGAACTCAACCGACGCGCGCGCGCCCACCCGATGGAGATCACGTGACTTCTCGCAGAGCCGAGCCGTCTACAAAAATGTCAGACATGTTCGTAATCTTCACTGCGATGTTATAAACTACCAACTAGAATGTCACTTCTTAGTTCTTCCAAAATTTCCATGATTAGAACTCGTTCAAACAGGGTAGAGGTCTCCTTGAGTGCTTGCGTGATGAATCTCTCCCTCCCGGCAGATGACATCTGGAAGAAATGGTGCACATGCTCGTCAGTGGACAAGCCAGCCTCGGTGATTATCGCATGGAAACGGTGCAAGCCTGGCATTGAAGCCAGGAGGGTTGACAACAGAGCCAGACATGACGTGGTGTCTGAGGCACCACCGTTTCGAACCGTGTTCACTTGATTATCCTTAGGCTGAGTGGTCTGATAATCAAAACAAACAAGGTCATGCTATAACATGTATGTTAGCGTTCTCGAAGCATATTTGTGAGTGGAATAGGAAGGAACCTGTACATCTTCGGGTTGAGTATCCTGATCGTCAGAGAACATGGTGAGTGATATTTGATGTGGACGGTCATGCTATATCGTGTGTGTTAGGCGGACGCTGAACATAATTGTCAGTGGAATAGCGAAGAACCTGTACATCCTCAGGCTGAGAATTGTGGTTGCCAGAGCAAACGGTGAGTGACATTTGACTCGGACATTCATGCTATATCATGTGTGTTAGCCGGACTCGGTGTATGATTATCAGCAAAATGAGAGACCTGTACATCTTCAGGCTGAGTAGCCAAGTTGATAGAGGGAACGTTTGATTGTCTCTGACGGTCGGGCTGGAAGATGTGTTAGATAATTGCCAGTGGAGTAGGGGAGAAGTCAAAACCTGTGTAACTTGTAGCTCGGAGTCTAGTCGCTGGTCATAAATCAGAACAATCTGGTAGTTAAACCATATAGTTTTTGAATTACCTGGAGATTTCTCATAATTCTTGGGCGACGGTACATCATGCCAAGGAACACTTCCACTGCCCACGCGTCTTCATAGCGCATCAGGTGCGACAGCTCTACGTCAAGTAGAACCTACAAGATATGTTTCAGCCTCAGACACCCCAAGTAGTTGCACTCTGCCTAAATATATTACCTCTCTCTTGAAGAAATCTAATTTTGATTGAGGCTGCTCCGGATATGGTATCGAAAAATCGATGTGACGAAGAGCTAATTCTCTAATCATTCTCTTTGAAGAGCAATCAGGCTGTAATCCATATCTTCAGGTTTTAATGGACGCTTACTTGTGTCTTGCAGCACATCTGGGGGTTCATTTTCAACCCTGCATGGAGATAGCGTACAGGAAGCCGAGGGTGGCACAGGCTGTCTATGGAGGCTTGCGAAGGCCGCCTTACCAATACAGGGAGTCCTTGACGTTGGGGTAAGGCTACCAACACGTAGACACTATTAATCGTGGTCCGGTAAATTGCAGTAGATAAAACCCACACTTTCTGGAGCCGCGGGACCTAGTGTGACGAGCCATGACAGGTAGTGGGTCGGTCTGCAGTACTGAAGGGCGATTTGCTCAGCAATTTATATCCGTGTGCATCCTCTTTATCTGCGTTGATCAGTTATAGAATGTCATTTGAGGAGACCAAAACAGGTCAAATACCAAGGTGTTTTCCCCGAGAAGTCGTCAAGGCTCGTGGCTAACATGATGCACAGCAATTCAAGCGCGTGTGCAGAACCGAACAACACGTCTTTACTTCTGACTCACCATGAAAAACACACCTTGGACACTGATCTCCGCAGCCATCATCTTGAGCATATTGTCTTAGGCAGTGAGTGCTGCTTTAGTAAGAAGCGAGGAACAACATCTCCTTTGGTACTATGACTTTTGAAGCCTCCCGACGCGTGGTGCATAAAGCGTGCACTCGCTGCCAGTGGAATGTATGTCTTTTGATTGACATTAACAGTGTGAGTGTATTCAAGAAGAGAATGGCGTACCACAGGTTTTGTCTCTGTCCCTGAGGAAAACGTGGCAGGAGCGTGTTCAACCATGGTGTCGAACTCGAGGTGCAAGCGGCTCATTTATTGCTTCTCGGAAGGTCAATATTCAATACTAGTGGTGTCAGTAAGTACCGCTCATCCACCGCTTACCCTAAATTCCACAGAGATATCCTAATAATCTGGCAGCTTCGATCAGTACCAATACAACAAGATACGAGACCAAAAGTAAACGATTATTATGGGCCGAGATATTCTACCGAAAGTCGATATTGTACACGAGGTATTGATGAAGCATGTTAGAACAATAGTAAGGCCCACGGCACGAATCGAACTTGTGCTGAGGGTGATTTTTATGGCCTGTAAGTTGTAGCCTAAAATGTGGCTGGTGTAACAGTGTAGCTGTAGAGGTCCAAGAAACATCAATGCCAATAGAAAACATCAGAAGCACGGAATACACGTTGGATCGGATCATGTGGCATCTCTAACATCCTCTCGCACCAAACTGCCCTCCTCACCTGTAAGCCGTCGAGTCCCGTAAACGCCACCGCCGAAGAGGTCCCCACCACCAGAATGATGTCCACCCAAGTTCAAGGTCCGTCTCTGGCGCAGGTGGAACATGTTGCGAGGGCTGAAGTTCAGGTTGGTACCCACGCCGCCGAAAGAACTGGTCCTGCGGCAGTAATTCTGGTTCTGCGATTTTGCCTGGATCACTTCTGTCATCGACCTCTTCAATCCTAATCTGTAGCTCTTGTCCTTCCCTTCGATCCCGCTCTACGCCCCGTATTCCATAGCTACCTAGTCCCCATCCGATAACTTGGGCACCAGGTTCCCGCATCGCATTTCGGGTCTCTTCACGGCCGAACACTTGATGTATGCGCTCCACGCGCTCGACAGCTTGTATTCTCGCTGCGGTAAGATGTGCATGGCGCAAGCGTGCATACCATCGGTTTACAAATTGTAGAGGTAGCATGCTCCTTGACGATCCACTTGTAACTGAACCTGCAGTCGGTAGGGCATTGCCAGAAGCGAGAACCTTCAGCGGTTCAGAATTGTCAAGTACTTCGTGCCCCTCGCCGGAATCTCGGCTCTCAAAGTGGTCGCGCTTCGTTGTGAATGCACTGGTGACACCCTTCCACATGGTCTTGGCCTTCTCCCGTTGCTCCTTCCTCCTCTGTGCTCTCAGTTTCCTCTTTTTTTCACGTTTTTCCTCCTTCATCAGTAGCTCTTCTAGCTCGCCGACGCCCATCCCAGAACCAACCCACCACCACCACCCAAGGAAACTTTGCCACATGACCACGCTCCACATAAGTTTTGGCATCCATCCATATTGGTCTTGACTCGGTATGTAGATGAAATTGAGCGTGGTCGACATGAGAGCGAGAACGATTGCGCCAGCACCGAAGGCTGATGTCCCGCCATCGGTGCGCCATGCCGACTCCCGGTTAACAAAAAAGCCCCAGATTATTAATGCAGAAGTGAACAGCAATGACAAAGCTGCATTGCACACGTTCCGGGTGTCCTCCGCGAGTGGGAGTGGGGTCATCTCGTAGAGGATCGGGAGCAGTTGCATTACAGCGGAGATGATTGCCAATGGACCTGATTACAAGCAGGAATGTTGTAATCAGTATTGCGTGAATAGTGCGGAATACAGAATATAAAGTGCCCATAACTCAAGCCCACATAAAAACAATATCCCCAAATTCCAATTCCGAGAAATGGTATAATATCCGAAATCACGAAACATATCTTTATTCAAGACACAGGATACATTTGGAACATAGATGCAGTGGCTTTACAGCCGCACTCACCAAGCAGGCCAAAAATGAGTCTTGCCTCCAGGTTTGAGGGAAACAGCAAGGTCAGAAAATGAATGTGGGTAACCTAGATAACATAATCGGTACAATCAAAGTGGACTACGTTCACTTGCACTGACCTGTATGACCATAGATGTAGTCGCATTCATTACGGTCCACGTAGCACTCTCGGCAAGTGACCATCGGTGTGCATATACCACAGCAGGATCAGTGGTATTTCCCGTTGTATTGACGCCATGATTTGGCATGTTCACAGCCAGATAGCTCAACATGTACGGCCAGTGCTGGCTCTCCTCCACGTTGGAGGAGAATATGACATAGATAGTAGCGGTGACGGAAGCAAGCAAAGTTATCACCCCCGTAAGCTGTAGCGTGTAATTGACACGAGCTAGAGGCCAGTGATACTGAGCGGTAAAAAGCAGGTGAAGAAGCAGAACGACGACAAGCGTGAGGACCACGCCTGACAGGAGGATCTGAACTGGTAAGGACTCGACGAAGGCGGGTCTATACTGTAGAATTGGGTCATGGTCATAGCCACTGCTATCGTTCTGGGCCATGACGGAACAGAGCTGGAAGATAATAGTGAAGAAGAGGGCAAACCATTCTTGCCAAGTAGACGGCATCATGAACGAGTTCCAAGAGATAATGTGACTTACTGTCACGCATGTCACTGACTTGGCCTTGGCTTGCTTGGCTATTATACTTGGCCTCCACTTACTGGGCCTGCTTCGTGTGAACAACGATAAGACCACTTCAAATTTTGGAGCACTCAGTGCTTGGGGCAGACGGTGGCGATATGTTGCTTATCCGCTACCGTGTACGTGCAATTTCGTATGCAGCACCTTGGCAGTGGAGTCCACGAGACTCCGCGCAACCGCCTTGTGACGAGCTAGATCAAAATTCGATACTCACGCTATCATCGATGACGCGACGGGTCTGTCTAGAACTCAGGTACTCGGGGTTGACCATCTAGGTACTAGAGCTGGCATAGATAATCAAAATTTGCATGCCTCGCTCCCAAGCTAGGGCCGGCGTAATGTTTCTGACTTATGTGGAACGGAACACTGGAATCATACTCCGACGGCAGGTGTTTTGCCTGTCGGATGATGGCCGTCAGCTGATATGTGAACCTTTCTAGCCAGAGTTGGCCAATGAGGACTTCAGTTGTTGTAACAAACATGTTTCCGTCAGCAGTGACTAAACAGCATCTTCCCACCCGGGGTACTTAATAATATTAGTCCTCGAAAAGCTCTGGACAAAGTTCCTGTTGAACAGAGACTCATGTTGGTGTCGAGCCTCTAAGACATGTCTTGGCACGTTTGTTCGGACTCGTTGCTGAACGTGTCAGACGGCCTTCCCACGTCCGCCCCGCGCTGAAAAATTTATATCAAAAACATGCTTAACAACGATGGTATCAGGCTGATGTCCAAGTAGCACACGAAATGAAACGTATGTTTTCCATATGGACTGGCTGTGATTCATCTATGATCTAAATAAATACCTGTGTACATAAAGTTTTTAGTCTAGGGAAGGGGTAATGCAGATCCCAACGATGCAGATGGCACAGAATCCAGATTCGTGGATGGTGCGATTGGTACGGGTGCATCTCCAGCACTCGCATTCAGTTGCGCAGCCATCAGCGTCCGGAACCTCGAGTCCTTCGAGTTCACCAGTTGCTTAAACGTCCCCGACTCTGTTATCCGGCCATCTGGGTGCACAACCTCCCCGTTAGTTAAATCTTGAATAAAAAATAAGCAGGATGCATCACCTTCAAGCACGACGATCCGCTCCGCGCGGGCAATAGTTGACAAGCGATGTGCAACGATCAGACATGTCGTGTGTCGTGCTCGCAGGATCTTATCAATAGCATCATTGACCTGAGAGGTCCTGTTAGAACAAGGTCACTGAAGTAGGGCGTAAAGGATCTTACCCTATGCTCCGACGCAGCATCAAGCGAGCTGGTCGCTTCATCGAGCGCCAAAATCTTGGGCTTCTTCAGCAGCGCACGGGCAATCGCCAGGCGCTGTCTTTGTCCACCACTCAAGCTCAGACGACCAACTGAACAAAACAATCGTCAAATAATTCACATCAAGCAGGAAGGTGGCACAAACTTTCGGTGTCGAACCCCTTCGGCATTCCAAAGATGAACTCGCAGTTTGCCTCGCGTGCAGCAGCTTCGATCTCCTCGCGTGTAGCATCCTTGTTTCCGAAGGCAATGTTTGATGCGATGGTCCCTGTGAAGAGGACGGGCTCCTGTGCGGCTGTTATCACAAAGGCGGATGTAAATGCAGAAGTGAGCACTTGCCTGGGGAACAATGCCGATTATGCTGCGCCATGAAGAAGGATTGAATTCACGAATATCTATCCGGCCACGTTAACGCTCCATAAGAGGTGAGATGGGCACTACCCACCTTGACCATCAAAGGTCACTTTCCCGCGCACAGGATCGTAGTACCGCAGAAGCAAAGATTGTACGGACGACTTGCCACCACCACTTCTCCCCCTGTATACTCCAGGGTCAGCGGTACCGATGATGACTGCTAGCCCGCACGACTTACACGATTGCCACACTCTCTCCGACGCCGATCTCGAGATTGAAATCATCGAGGATTTGCACGCCTTTCCGACTGGGGTATTCGAACCCGATGTTCTGGAATCTCACCGTGCCATAGCGCGAAGCGTCGACGTCAACCCCTCCATGGGGAGGAATTGCTGGCGTGCGGTCGAGTAGCTCAAATATGCGTGTACCCGCACCGATCCCACGCATAATGGACGACTATTATCGCTCAGTTTAATGGAGACCGTTAGAGTATCGAAAACCTACGAAAAATGAACTGTGCAGGGCAGTGTTGCAGTGGACATATCATAAGTGGAAGAGGACTCACGTCAACATTTGAAGACCTGAGCCAACATATACGGTATATAGCAAGAGACTTGTCAGGTCTCCGACAGTGATCGCACCCTGCGAAACCAGTGTTCCCCCTACACAAATGTATTTAGAGATTTTTACCAAGATGCAAGGAAGTTGTGCACGGGCCACATACCGTATCCAAGCAGCCCAAGGATAGTCACATTTCCGCTCCAACCAGTGCTTCCAAAGAAGATTCCTGATGCAATCGCCTCCTTCCGGGCTAGCGTAAGGATGCGTGTCACCCGGTCGTGAAACTTGCCCTCCTCTTGGTCGCGCGCATTGAATGCTTGAATTGTCCGTAGAGCCGACAGCGACTCTTGTGCAACCTGGAGTATCATGGAAGAAATGTGTGAAAAAAGGGGGAAAGGAGCTAATGCTGACCTTGGTCATGTCACCCATCGCTTCTTGCGTCTGGTTCGAAAGCTTTTTGAGGTAGCGACCATAGAATACCTGCAAGCGCTCAGATTCCGCTACAATAAAATGAAGTTCGACTCACAGCACCGAGAGATACTGGTGGAACAATTCCCAACATCATCACAGTTAGGGTGGGGGACAAGTAGAACATGGCACCGACTGAAGAGGATATGCCCATTCATGAGCAACAGCAGCACGTCTGTATATACGACACTTACGGCCAACAGACGACATCACGATGGCTCGCAGTCCATCTGAAAGATTCTGTGTGACGCTGCGTGCAACAATTTGAATGGATCTTTCTCGGATACGGCACTGCGAAACCCTACCTCTCCCCGACAATGCTTGAATCGGCAGTCAGTCTGCTCAAGACATCACCCTCTCCCTTCTCCACGAATTCGACTTCTTGTCTCAGTGCTGCAGCATACGCCCGTTCCCTCAACCGCGCAACAATTCGCTGGCCCGACATTCGCATGAGGAATGATCTCGCTGCATTGCACGTTGCTCCCGTCGTAAACAAAATCAGAAGAGCCGCCGAGGCTTGCCCAATTGACAAACCGAATGGTATTTCCTGCGCACGTGATGAGCCAACCACGTCATTCCCTCACTGTCAACATACTCACAGGGTTTGCAGAAGAGAAAAAATCTATCAATTTTCCGATCGTGAACGGAACGCTCATAGCGACTGAAGAGGACACCAGCAGCAGGCCCACCGCAAGTAGTAAAGGCTTTTTCTCCTGCTTAGCCAGTGCGACGATTTTCCGGAACGAGGTGCTGCTTCCAGGTGCAGGCTGCAAAGCAGGTGGCAGGAACCTCTTAAATCCAGAGATCTTCTTGACAGGCGTCTCAGTTGCATAGAAACGCGAGGTCTGAATAGAAAAGGGATGTGTCCTTCTCCTGAAGAGTATGTGTTGAGTCCGTGACGAAAACGCTAAGGGCCGGACATTATTATGGCAAGACGCCAGCACCCTGCCAGTGATACTTGGGACTCGAACTCGGAAATTGGACACGTAGATGCCCTGTAGCATATTCTATCACAAGTTAAGCATCAAAGCCGTGTTTCAACGCTCCACCGTTTTCTGTCCAGCCGAAGAGTGTGATTTAAATCCAAGTCTTGGGCAGTGTGACCTGAAATGACTAGTGTTTGTGCATTGTTTGGTGTGACACTTCCCGATGATACTTACTAGGTCTTCAGGAAAACCATACAAGCAGGAATCCATCAGACGCTCGACACGGCCTCTGGTTCGCTAAACTGCAGTCCCACGAAGGATATAACCAAGCGTCCTCGAGACACTGCGTGATGTAACGGGAACTTTTGACCTCTGTCGAATGACTGGAGTGCGGTTGTTAATTTGAAAGAATCATCGAGTAGATGTGAAGGATGCCATTGGCAGACATACGAGATTTAAGTGAGTTACTATAATATAGATCGATCCAGCTCAGTATATTTTAGATGACTCTGTTTAGTTGTAGCCTGTCTTTGAGAGGCGAGTAGTCTGATATGCTGGACACCTGGGGTAGGTTCCAAGAGTCCGTTGTAATTCAGAATGATAAAGTGTTAGATGACGATGCGTTACTACGTGCATTGTGCAAGCAGACGGCAAATAATTCAATTCATGATTCATCCTGATTTTTTCTGCCGATATCATATAAATTCATTTCAGGTCTATTTCTGCGGCTGGCAGCGGCTCCATCCGGTTGAATATGCAACAGACGACCCGGTGGCTGAGTCCTGACATGATTCAGATGAGTTTACGCTGTCGTCACAGCACGGCTCGCATGAATTCACTTGACAGGGCAAAACAGACACACGTTACAGTGGCCTTGCTCACCATCCCCCTTTGGTCATTAGATGTGACGTTGTTTCTTCCTGCCTGACCGCGTATTAGTCATCCATTCCTTCTGTAAGTCATCTGTTCTACTTCTGGATGTGACTATTGAAGGTGTTACTAGTACCGGCGGTGAATGGCTACTCCGATATACTGTACAGAGTCGTGGCGACGGTCACTATGTAGTGAGCATGGTGTGCACCGTGCGCACGACCGCTTCGGCATCTATGATATCGCGCTCAGGAGTTCGGGGATCTACATCCGCTGTGGCATCATCGTCAGTGATCGTGGAAACTTGCATCGATGGGCACCTGGGCCGCGTGTCGAGCCCTAATTTTCATACCCTCAGGCACAACCTGCAGATAGCACTTGGGCTTGTATGCCATGTTCTCCAGCGCCTACTTCCTGAGCTCGAGGCTACACCTGGGTGACCCGATTTCGACCACTATCAATGATTTGGACTTTCAACCCCATCATACTAATACTTTTGCGCCACTGGCGTCAACTATGTGGCATAGCCGACACTAATGACGGAACAAGTACTTGGTGTTTTAATATACTAGTATTACAAGGTAAAGTGGATCACAAATGCCAGTCTTACCCGCTGAGCCTCATAAATCAGGCCTTATTGGTTCAATGTTTAAGAATATGACGAGGCTTCAACTGAGCTCTTTCAAACCTTATGGCTATTTGTTTGATGGGCCAGGCCATGGCTAGTGACTCGCCTACTTCCAAGGTGATGAGCCCATCTCCAAACCGCTGAACAAAGTATTTCCTTTCTTGGCACGGCTATAAATTCGCACAGATTTGCGCGCGCGATCCTTGCCACCGACCACCATCTGCCACGGATTACATCCTGCAGGGTTTCACTGGAACTGGATGCTGATGATGCATTGATGGGTCATTCAGAAGCTGATGCACTTTCTTGCTGTAATTTCCGCGCGTCATAAATCACCCAAAATTTCTATTTGTCTCATCGCATACCCTCGTATACCCCCGAGTGACCACATGGCTCCATAGCGAAACCAAGCTGCGATGACCGGTGCATGGCATGGATTTTATGCATCTTCAAATTTCTAAATCAAATTTTGATGTCGCGCAGGACAACGCCGGAGGAGTTATAAGAGTTTATCGCTACAATCGCAATCTCCGTCAGCCTCTCGAGTTCGCTAGCCATGTTGTCCATCTTCGCTGTGCCTCTTCTTGCTCTGTCTGCTGTAAGCGCGAGCACGCCCACTGCCCACTCCACTTCCCCTGTCATAGGAACTTGGTATGCTGGCTGGCATGCTACCAACGGGTTTCCGCTGTCTTCAATCAACTGGGGAAAGTACAATACAGTGTACTACTCGTTTGCGTAAGTTTCCTGTTGTTAGCTTATTACGTTGGCGGGATGATCAACGTGATGGTGTCTCTTAGGATCCCCACTTCAAGCGTTGACAGTCTGAGCCTGGATGGCTCTAATGGCGATCTACTTCCTCAGTTCGTTTCTGAAGCCCATAAAAATGTGAGACAAGGAGAGTTTATCGCTTTTAAAATTGATGTCTAAAACACGTGCAGGGTGTTGCAGCTCATGTTGGTGTTGGAGGCTGGACTGGGAGTCGTTGGTTCTCTTCTAGCATTGCCACATCTAGCAACAGGACAGCATTTGTCAAGACCGTGACAGATTTTGCTGATAAGTACAAACTTGATGGCATCCAGTTCGAGTAGGTTGATACTTGTAACTCCAAACCCATGCGCTGACCTCAGCTGTCCCTGATTTCCGACAGCTGGGAGTATCCCGGCAAGCAGGGTGTTGGTTGCAATACCATCAGTGTGGATGACACGACCAATTTCCTCAAATTCCTCCAAGAGCTTCGCCAAAACGCAGTGGGGGCAAAGCTGACACTCTCAGCCGCGGTATCCCTCACACCTTTCACAGACGCTAGCGGACATCCTTCTGCTGACGTCTCCGGTTTTGCGAAGGTCTTCGATTACATCACTTTGATGAACTATGACGTTTGGGGCTCTTGGTCTGAGCATGTGGGGCCAAACGCACCATTAAACGACACCTGCGCATCGCCCGCAAGACAACAGGGCTCGGCCGTTTCTGCAGTTAAGGCTTGGACTGCCGCAGGCATACCGGTCAACAAGATTGTACTTGGAGTTGCTTCCTACGGCCACTCATTCAGCGTATCTCCCTCTGCCGCCTTCAAGTCTGGCACGAAGGATGCAGCTCCATACCCCGTTTTTGACGCCTCGAAGCAGCCCTTGGGTGATGTGTGGGATGACATTGGTGGTGCCGATGTTTGTGGCGTGAGCCATGGCCCAGGGGGCACTTTCAGATTCTGGGGCCTTGTGGACGGCGGCTTCCTTAACAAGGAAGGCAAGCCTGCTGATGGCATTTACTACAGATATGACACATGCAGTGATACTGTAAGACTTTCATCCTTGATCACATATTGTAGCAGTAGCGCTGACTTTACTGCTTTACAGCCGTATCTATACAATGAGACCTCACAAGTCATGATCTCCTATGACAATCCCGAGTCATTCGCTGCCAAGGGCAAGTTCATTAAGGAGGTTGGACTGCGCGGTTTCACAATGTGGGAGACTGGTGGTGATTACAAAAATATGCTCCTAGACTCTATCAGCGAAGCTATGGGGCATTAATACGCTGCTGATACCATCCTTATACAGTCTTCCAGTCGCTACAAAAATGGACTACAGTTGCTCTCCAACCGTAAATGCGTTAACATTCCCTACATACTAATAGTATTTTTCATTCTGTCCGATGCTGCGCAAGAGACTGTGCTGTGATTGCAGTTCAAAACACTTCAAATGGAGGCATCCTGAAGGGAGCTCGGCATCCCTAGATGTGAAGTTTCAGCTTCAATACCAGTCAAAACATCTATAGCTAGTTGGGAAACTTGCGAAAATAGTGACAAGATCCTCGGAGAAATTTTAGTCACTTTGTTGTAGATTGTACAGAATCCAGCCAATTCATGAACGATGCCTCGATTCCACAATATTAATATCCTAGATTCTACATTTAGACAATATAGTCCAAACTTGTGGTATTAAACAAAGCGTTTTGTTGGTCCAGGCTTCAAACTTTGTCTCACGGTTCAGTCAGTTTGTCGATTTCACACGATTAATATTCTACTTTACACGATCTCTGTAGATTTTCCACTTGCATGATCATGACTTGCTGGGATATTTCAATCCCTAGCTAGTGAAATCTGCGCAGGCTGAGATCTAGTGGGTAAGATGAAAGAATTTTAGAATTGCTACATACTGTAACGTGTACTCGATATCATAGGCACCGCGAAATGGAAATTTGAAGTGTGCACGTTGTTCGTTCTTTACAAGTGATTGCATTGCTGCGTCTTCCGAAGTGTATATTGAACTGCCCTTGCGTGCACGACTGTCGTATTAGCTTCACTTGTTTTGGCGTTTGTCGCAAGAGATTGTAAGTACGATTACATTACATGCTACCTGCTTACAGTACGATCGCAACTCCCACTGCTAGTGACGCTCGAATTTCATCCACATCGGGTCTGAGTCTGGACGTCTGTACCACGTCAGGTTATACACCTAAACACCCTTGGATTACCGTACCGCGCTAAAATCTCGTTTTCACGGGCAGTACTCAGTATGTATGCTTACTATCATACAGCGATGCACACTCACGTCAATCAATAAGCACATACATCCATGCTCTCCGACTCTGACACAGAAGATATCCAAACCCTCACTATCAATGAGCACTATGCAAAAGCCTTCGAATACAGAAAGGAGCGGGAGGAGCTCACGAAATGTACGTCCGAATCACACTCCCGTCTCACGTAAACTAAAACACCACCTTCAGTAAAAGAAAAATACGGGTCAGACTTTGAAGAGGGCTCGGACGAGGAGACAGACTCCGAGGATGCAGAATCTGAAGATGAGGATGGGGAGGAACTCACGCCCGCAGTGGATGCAGCCATTCTGAGGACGCTAGCAAGGATCAAGAAAAAGGATCCGGCTATCTACAATGCGGAGCACACCATATTTGAAGGTGCAACCCCATCTATTATGAACCACACGCTAGTTCTGACACTTGTTAGAGGAGCAGGAGCGCACCGCCGTTCGTGCTCCTCAGGTGCAAGAGCGAAAACCCAAGGATAAAGTAAGTATTCGAATCGCGAGTACGACCTTAACTGAGTACTTCTCATTCATAGTCGAAACCTCTTACTTTCCGACAAGCAGCTCTTGCATCCGCTCTCGAAGCCAACACCTCTCGTTCCCCCACTCCAGAACCACAGATACCTACGCACACCGAGGAGCAGCGTCAGCTACGTGATGAAACCCGTGCCGCATTCCATACTGCTGTTGATGAAAGCGACGACGACGGTTTGCTTATCCCGCGAGAGAAAACAAAGGACGAGCTTGAGCATGAAGAAGAGAAATATCGAGAATACCTCAAGCATGCGGTTGGCGAGGATCTGGAAGGTCTCATAGAGGTCGAGAATTCGGGGACAGGTGCAGAGGCTGAGGGCAGTGAAGAAGGCGCGAGTAAAAAAAAGAATAGCAAGAGGAAGAAAAAAGGTAACGAGGCGAAGGGCATGTCCAAACAAGAGGTTGATCAGGAGTTCCTCGTGAAGTGAGTCATTTTTCTTTATGAATACAGTCACTCTTAAATCTCCTCAGCTATATCCTTAATCGTGGATGGATCGACAAATCAAAAAAACGACTACCTACATACAAGGATATCGCGGACGTAAAACAGGAAGAGCCCACCATGGAAGATGACGACGAATTCGAGGAGATCGCCGACGTTTTCGAGACTTCATACAACTTCCGTTTCGAAGAACCGTGAGTACCGCTGCACTCTCCACTTCATTCTGCTTTACGTCCCTCGCCTACTAGGGATGCAGCTACTATCAAGTCCTTCCCACGAAATATCGTTTCTACAGTGCGCCGAGTTGACACGACTCGCAAAGAGGGCCGTGAGCGAAAGAAGCAGCGCCAGGAACAAGAGCTCGAGAAAAAGCATGAGGAGGTGAAAAGGTTGAAAGCCCTTAAAATGAAGGAAATCCGCCGAAAACTCGAGTGTATCGGGCGTGAAGGCGGCGTCAATATCGGTTCCGATGCTGAAGGTTCGTTATTCTTGTTACCTCTAATTACTTTGACACTAAAACCATGCAGCCTTCAAGGAGTTCGACTTCGATGCGGACTGGGACCCCGAAGCACATGACACGCAAATGGCGGGGCTCTACCACGATGTCAACGACTCTGATGTTGACGTTGATCAAGAAAAGCCCGTCTGGGACGATGAGGTCGATATCGATGATATCATACCACCTTCTCACCCCGCCGAATCCTCTTCGTCTTCAAACAAGAAGAAGAAAAAGAAGAAGAAAAAGAAAAATGACGAGGTCGACGACGAAGGAGTGGATATCGACGCCATGGATGCAGACGTCGTGCGCGAGTACGACGAAGAGGAATGGGATGGCACTGAGGAGATGAGGAAGCGCAAGCTTGATGAATACATGGACGAAGTCTACGGGCTTGAATTCAACGACATGGTGGGCTTCATTGTATCATCTCTCTAGAAATCTGCATTCACGAGTGTTGTCACAGGTCGCAGGAATGCCTACGCGTTTCAAATATACTACGGCTGCACCGCAGACATTCGCGCTCACCCCTTCCGAGATCCTCATGGCCACAGATAAGGAACTTAATCAATACGTGAGCGTGAAGCGCTATGCACCGTACCGCGCAGAGAAGTGGGATCATAACCGTGGAGAGCGCCTCGCGGAGTTCAGGGAGAAATTGAAGGAACGGGCAGGGACTACTAGAACGAGCCACAGGAGCGAGGATCCGACGCCGAAAAAACGGCTGGGTAAGAAGGAGCGACAGAAAATGAAAGCGGCTTCAGGCGCAGGCATCTAGTAGTCTATGGAATATATTTCAAGTGAAGATTTTCACTAGTCAGCACTATAGTCCCGACTGCCGAGTCCTTCTGAATCTGACTAACCATCTCTGGATCTATTCCAATAAATGGTTCAAAGTTCATTAATCAACCAAACATCTCATGTAATGAGCTACAAATGACACAGGTATGACTCGTGAACCAATCAATCCCAAAACATTAAGTACAGTGGCAACTGTAACCAACCGCCGGTCGACAAACTTGAGCTGTAGAGGAAGGAAGTCCGATTTGTGGATGGCGTTATACGCAGAAAAGTCGCCGACCATGCTATCTCCACTTCATCACGTTCAACATTTTAGTAAGTGCGCTTCCAGTCTTGCGAGGTTCCGGAAGAGGGAGTTCCCTCACAAATATGTTGGTACCCACGGGAGACGTTTCTCCGTGTCTCGCCCACTTTCGAACCAGGTCCACCAAGCGCTTTTCGGCCCATCGCATCACCATGCTTTCTTTTTGCCAGACACCATCCGTCCAGATAGCAAGAGGGCCGCCAATCCTCGCACGAACGGATGCATCGCTCGCAGATGAAGCGAAGCCAGAGCGCATTCTGTTTGCCATAATCACATCCGTAAATATACGGTCCCCGACTACAACCAGTTCGTCGTCGGGGATCGGAACGCGAAGAGACGAAAAGTAGGTGCGTATAGAAGCAATGCAGGAATAACCAGGCTTAAGAGTGTTGTGTCGGAGAACCGGGACAGAGAGGTGAAATGACACCGATTCTGCCTGTGCATGTTCAACTTCTGACCATGTTTGACAAATGCTGGCCATACCTGGATTCCTCCGGCGTCGAATTTGGTGCCAGCGGAATTGCTGACGATGATTATATTTTCTTCTCCGAATGCCTCACGACATTCTCTCCAGGCGTCCTGTAAAATAGCTTTTCAACATCTGACTGAAATTTATGATCCTTTAAACTCACCTCGAGCTGTGGCACAAGGGTGTCTTTATACGGGATCGTCTGCTGTGTGTTCAGAAAAATAGAGACGCCAGAAATCTCGTAACTAACCAAGCAATTGTCTTTATCAAAGACTGCTCCTCTATAGCCCGCATTTCGAAGTGCCAAAAAATCAATTTGACGAATATCTGTCTGTGGTTTAGCGTTAGTTGTAGCTATGAATGCAGAAGACTAGGGTGACCTTTTACTATTACATGGGGAATAACAAGTCGGGAATTTTTGAGTAGGTGGAATGGAGTAAGAATGCCTGGGATGTTCAATGGCATCGATAGAAAAGGTGAAAAGACAGTCTGGCTTACCCTGAATGCATGAAAGCTATGCAACATTTGACACCCGGCAAACGCCGTGGACTGCTCAACTTGTTTCTACTTAGCAGCATTAAACCTATCTGTCAAGTTCAGCAGCGTATTCGGAAACATGGACGACGACTTTGATTTTGACCGCGCAGCCTCTGCCTTTCCTGATATCGACCTGGACGGGCAGGGTGACGTGCACTTGCCATCAGCCCCCGTGGCGAGCAGTGGCTTCTCATTTGATGATTTCGAGAGTCCACTGGGACAGACCGAAGTGAAGGTCACAGGCGATGATGAGATTGAGAAGTTCGAGGATCAGTTTCCAGAGCTGAACATTGGGCAGGTAAGTAGTACTCATGGGTAATTGTATTGTATTAAGGTGTCTCTTTGCTCCGTAGCCTGTATCTTCTCCCCCACATGCCCTTCCAACTTTTGGTGCTCCTCCTCCATTTGCTCCTCGTCCACAGCCATCAGCATTTTCGTCTACGCCCATCCTCAACCAGCAACTTGATGAGGATGAGCCTGAAGTTATCAGGTACATCATCAGATTGCTACATGAATTCCATCCCTGACAGTTGTCTACCAAAGAAAATGGCGCGAGAACCAGCTAGAAGAAATCCAGGCTCGCGATGAAGCCAGTAAGGCTAAACGTCAACAAACTATTGGGAAGGCCGAACATGCTATTGACCAATTCTACGAGGAATATGCAGCAAAGAAGGAGCGGACTATTCGTGAAAACAAGTTAGTTAAACCTTGTCCAACCAGACGAGTTCCACTGATGGGTTTTTCAAAGGGACGAAGAAAGTGATTTCTTGGAGTCACTATCCTCATCTCTTACCAAAGGGACGACTTGGGAGCGTATTTGCGAGACCGTAGAGCTGCAAAATTCCCAGAGCAAAACAATCGCAAGGGCTGGTCCTGGCACCACTGACCTTTCGCGGTTCAAAGAAGTGCTGTTGCGTTTGAAGCGTGAGGGAACTGCTGCTCCCGGTGCAGCTGGTTATTAGACATTACGTGTTTTACATGTATATACCTCTTGTGTTAATTTTCAGGACTTTTCTTTCCTTTGAGACTGAACGCACAGACGAAATAGTAAGCAGTAAAGGCTGTGTAATATCCTTAAAGCCTGGATGAAATGTGAGAATACAGGTGTGCCTCAACCCAGGTAATACACTCCTCGGTGAGTTTCTCCTTCACGCCATCTGGTTCATTGTGAAGTTCGTGATAGCCACCCTGGTGAAACATAAACCTGCAATTCGCAGCAATGACGTCGCAACTGCTTACTTGGTAAATGGATATTTTCTTATCTTTTGCGGGTACCCGTTGATGAAACAGCTCAGAAGCTTTGGTAGAAGTTACCTGCGACATGTCAGAGCTTCTTAGGACAATGTATTCTACAGGACACGAACCTTATCATCCGAACCATGTATGAAGAGGACCTGACGACATTCGTGAATGGTACAGAAAGGGAGCTCGACTGAAATAACTTACAGGGAGGTCTGTAGGCCACCGAGCGTAATCAGTGTGCAAGAGATGCTCGCCCTAAGAACTAGAGGTGAAATGCCAAACAGAAAGACATTATAATTAATTACCCCGTCTAACATGTCGCTTACTCCGCGAAGCGACCCAACTTGCTTAACCAAAGGATCTTTCGCATATTCCTCGCCGACAGTCTTGTCATGCGACAAATTCTACGACAGTACATTTAGCTATCCATATCAGCAAGGAGAAAAAGTTGTGAGTACCTGACCCTTGACGTCAGATGGAATAATGAGCCAGGGAGCTAGCAGGCTAGCCTTGCCACCTATCCATCTTGCTGCTTTAGCAGCTGGCTTCGCTTGAAGGATGAGGGGGCTAGTAGAAATCACGCCCGCCAGGCCTGTTACTATTTCCCTTGCAGGGGGACTACTTGCCCTGGTGCAAAATGCAAGTACCAATGCTCCACCCTAGAGTGTACGTGTCATTTTGTTCGATGTTCAAGATATTTGACTGATACCATTGAATGGCCATATAGAAACACGGGAATGGAACCAAACTCGCTCTTGGCATGGTTTATAGCCCACTCGATGTCCTGAAATTGTTCCTTCCAGCTCGTCTTCGCATACGAACTATCCTTGCTCTTCTTCTCCGTGTCTAAGGCCGTCCTTCCAAAGCCGCGCTGGTCATAGGCGAAGATAGCTATGTTGCGCGCGGACCAAGTAGGAAATACGTGCTCATACCGAGCAATGTGCTCAATGAAACCGTGCACGAAAATTACAACAGCTTTTGCGGCGGAAGCTGGCCGGTACGTGCGAGTATAGAATTGTGTGTGCTGTGGACCAGCTAGCCATGATTCCAAGAAAGCTGACATGATCTGCAAGAAGAATGATGCGACTCCTTGAAGACCCGAATTAAGACATTAGGTAATGCTTGGGAACCCAACTTGAACGTTGAACCGTGACAGCTGGCGTCTACTACATAGTGGCGGGACAACTACCTCGGCGCCTCAATATTCAATGCTTGCATGTCTCGTCACGCACTTGCTATGAGCAAGCATCTCTTCATCTTACATTCAGAATTCCAGATAATGGTCAAAAATCGGACATTCTAAAGTCTGCTGACCTTCGCTCCCCCTTTGCCAAGATTAATATGTATTGACCTCACAAGGACTCTCACATTGCATTACTCAAGATTCCCATCGCCATGTGTCGCTACTCAGATACCGAGGAGTTGAATATTATTAGTACGTTCTGGCCACGATCAGGCAGACTCAAATTTCGCTAAGTCGAACGCAGGGGCAGAACGTTGTACCCACATTCATATGTCATCCACCTCCGACATATGGATGTGGATTCACGAATCACACGATCAATGACCAGTGCAGACTGGAGTGTAGCGTATGCGCAATTTTCCCAATCATGACACTGCTTGGGGTCTATGCGACCGCAAATATTGCTGCAACCTGTCACACGTCAAGCGAAGGGACGCATCGAATAGATTCTTCCTTGCGCGCCGGTCGGGCCGCAGATATCATTATGCAAATGATATTTAATGAAAGCCACGTCCTTCCAAGTTACATTCAACACAATGCGTATCCTGTTCTTGACAGCATTAATAGTAGGTAGGCTCTTCTCGGCACGGGGAGCCGCCCCAAACACAGGCGACGTATCATGTATCGTCACAGCGAGTAGCGGAGACGATGGACCGGCATTTGTGGATGCTGTTCAACGTTGTGATTTAGTAACAATTCCTCGTGAAACTACTCTTTCGATAGCAACGAGGATGAATATGACCGGCTTGAAGGACAGGAACATTGTATGTTACTGTATTCTATCATGTTGTACTGACAATCTCACCTAGTGGGTTGCAGAATCTGTTGGGAACCATAAAATTCACAAGCAACATTTCATATTGGGTCAACGTATGTGTTGGGAATCACAATGCGCCATCTGTTAACCCCTCGCCTTAGAACGGTTTTCCATTTGAGTTCCAGGATCAAATCGCCTTTTGGATCGTAGGTGGGAAGAACATCCTTATCAATGGTGGCGGGACAATAGATGGTTCAGGTCAGGTATGCTAATTAACACAAGGGTCTATGTCCTGCTAATCTCACAACCTGCAGGTCTGGTACGACGCGTTGTGAGCAGGACTGACAGTAGTCTGGGTGTAACGTTTGGTTGACTCTGCACTCAGTGCCACTAACAGCACTCTCTTGCGTCCGATCCTGCTCACGATTTACCAAGCTACTGATGTTGCCATCAAAAATATTACGATGATCAACAGCCCTGAGTGGTTTAACTTTGTGAGCGTTTTGGAGTTTACTCAATCATTGACTTGACCAGCTTACCCTCCACGGCAGGTCAATGAAGGGAAAAATGTTGTCTACGACGGCATTAATATTAGTGCCCTCTCCACATCAAACAACCTTGCGAAGAATACTGATGGCTGGGATATATATCGCAGTGATAGCGTTTCCATCATGAATTCGAACATCAACAATGGCGATGATTGTGTTTCATTAAAACCAAGTACTATCTATTCTCGTCCGGGCTTCATGGTTCGCTCATGCAGTCCTTGTCTCAGATTCAACGAATGTCATTGCATCAGATTTATACTGTAACGGTTCCCAGTCCGTAGAAGCTTTCTTTTGGCGTGGTACGCACCTGCTCACATCCTGTTGACAGTGGTATTTCCGTGGGATCCCTCGGGCAGTATGCTGGGGTATATGACATTGTCCAAAACTTCACTTCGACGTGCGTTTGAACACGGACTTCGATAATAGCCAGGAGCACTGATTACGAACTCTCAGCAATGTCCAAATGTATAACGCTCAAAATGGCGCGCGCATTAAAGCCTTTGCTGGTCCGGGGGTCGGCAGTGGCATTGTGAAGAACATTAGTTTTGGCTTCTTCACCGAGGGCAATGTCGACAACCCCTTAATCGTTGATCAGGTTTGTGCTCATCTTCTCGCAATCTGCAAGAGACTAATCAATTGTTGTGCAGTGTTACATGACTAACGCAACAGAATGTACTGCATACCCTTCCAATGTATACATTCAGGACGTCACGTTTTCTAAGTAAGCGAAAGTGATTATGTCCTTTGGTTGAAACTTACACAACTGTGACCCAAGTTTCAAGGGCACTTCGTCTGGAAAAATGAATTCCGTAGTTGCTTCGCTAGCATGCTCTCCGGACGCCCGCTGTAACAACATCAGTGTCGACGATATTTCCCTCGAGTGCGTTTTGTTTTTTTGCTCCTTCAGGTCAATAAAATAATCAATCTGCAAAGACCACCTTCAAAAGATGGTAGTGCAACCTACTCTTGCCAGAACGTGAATATCACTGGAAATGCTGCTTACCTATTCGGTAACTGTACAACTACCTAAATGCAACCGAGCACTCAGCACACACATAGTCAGCAAATATTGTAGTTGTAGGCTTGTGTGTAACAAACTCGTAGTAGCACATGCAGTCTTCTCGAACTTGAAAATTTGATTGTTTGAGCCCAGGCCCTACATCGAACTAAGTGCCCCTTCAAAGCTTCATGAATCAATCATCATAAAAAACACAACAACCGTACATCCCATGTGACAGCCAGTAACAGCCAGTACAAGGTGCACAAATTGCTACCATCCCCACAAACACATGACAGACATGTGTCGAGTTTGTCAGTCTCCATATAAGTCCGTGCATGCAGCGAGGTTTTATACATACTATTACCGGCCTTGTTATATTTGTATCACTCGGTAGATCCTTGTTTAGGTGATGAAATTCGATACATGCCACTACAATTGTTGTGACAATTGTGCTTCCTGGCAGTCCCTTGTGCGGGTAATGAACTTATACACATACTCCTACTAGTCTTGTCACCATATTGTGCGATAATTGTAGGCTCTGTTTGATCACGATAATGGCCACATCAAATTGCACTGTAGTAGCTACAGTACACTGGGCTATAGGCAATGAGCACGGAAGTAAAGTAGTAAGTAGAGATACGAATATGCGAAGGGAAAGTACTGAATATGAAAGTGACGATGCAAAGGTAGTCATGTGTATGATGTGAGCCAGCAGAGACAAGGGAAAAAGTGAAAGTGAAAGGCACACAATAACCCATGACAGCGCTAGACAGTATGAGAGCACACGAGAGGGATCAAGAACGTGCGAGAGCATGCAGGGATGGTGCGAGATGGTGCAAAAGGGTGGAGGAAGGTTTCAGAGGATGCGGGGGGATGCCGAAGGCTACCAAAGTTAGAAGACAAAAAGAAAAGATAGAACTTACATGTGTACGAGCTTTGGTTAGCTTAGGGAGTGAACAAAACAAGAAATTACCGTAGAGTTGAGTGCGGGAGATGCTAGCTAGCAGGTAAATGTGGGAATAAACTCACTCGAATGACGCAAAAGGGTGCAAGAGATGCAGTGAGGGACGACAAAATGTAAGAGGTGGCAGCGGCAGGGCGTAAGCTGTCACAGTAGGGCGTGGTAAGCAGCGCAATGCAAGGAAGAGTCTCTGAGTAGTACTACTATTGATATTAAGAGAAAAACATAAAAGGACTTACGAGGGCGACGACAGCTGGTGAGGGAACATTATTAGCTAGAACATAACACTCGCGGCGGGAAAGAGGTAACGGTGTGGCCCACCGTGTGGGTGGCACTTATGTGAGATAAGTCTTAGAGACGGACGGATCTCGAAGTCGGAACTTCAAGCTCAAGCTTCGAGTTCGGGGTCCTATGAGGTAAATGACTTAGCAAAAATTATAACGTACGTGTCAAGTTGCTGTCGGCCGAATTCGTGGTCAAACTGCGGCACATCTTGGATCGGTACATGATGCATGCATATAGATGAGACCAATCACCATGTGTATATAAGACCTATAGCTAGTATATATACATGTGCATGACATATACATGCAATCTTGATGATGCATACTTCTGCACTTCTGTCAATCACTGTACAAGCTTCGCACATTTCGTGTACAAGCTTTACATTTCGCCCATATCTGCTATGGCTTGCATACATGCTACGATCTCATGCATACCTCCACACTTCTGTTAGTTACTTTACAAGCTTCGTACCCTTCCGGTACAAGTTTTACATCTTACACGTGTCTGTTACTACTTGCATATGTGCTACAATCTCGTACAACCATCTACCAGGGTTTGTAAGCCATAAAAGGCAGTAACCAGCCATACACGCGAACTGTTCTTTTGTTGATGAATAACTTTGTTTACATAACTTCTTTATTCAACTCGTCTGGGATCGTCGACAGTTCTGCACCGATGTCTCTCTTCCCCAGAGTAAAACACATTAAAGCTTTGGTCCGCTGCAACCGATCTACTTTCACTGCACATCGCTCAAGGTGGTTTTCCCTGTTCCCTGGCCGTGTTCAAGGAACCCAAATACCAAAAGGACAACCGTTTTATGAACTCAAGAAGCCCAGCATCTTAATCAAGTTCACCTGGACACTGCTCATAGCTGATGCGGTCTGCACGTGAGTTTTTCTGTTTTTCTGTACGCGCTGGTTTAACTTCAATGGTGTGCAGACTAGCAATGTGTGAGCTTTCCTGGAACTATTTCACGCGTCTTGTGGAACCAACCGAGCCCGCAATACCCGATGACTCCAATACTATAGGCAATAAGCCACAGTACGAACTCCGCCCGACATACCAGCGTGCTGGTCTAGTTTTTATGCATCTCGCGTTTGGAGGCTGGGTGGCATTTATGGTTGGCATGAAAAGTGGAATGAATGTAAAGAGGATCTGGCTGACTCCCCCACGTCCACAAGGCGGTCTGACCACGTCAACCCGAAAAGCAATCGGGCATCCAAAGGTTGCGACTTTTGAAGGTTTTGGCAGTTTTGGTCTACGGGGCGATGCACTGGACGTGAAAAATTGCCGCTTATCCGCTGCAGAACCCGCAAACGAGCTGACATTGATTGTTACCACGCCGGGGAATAGAAAACAACAACTTTCGATCGCGACGAAAGGCGTTTATATTGACGGCAAGCCTGTTTCACGCGATGAAGTTTGCACTTCGCTCTCGCAAGTCTTTGGACATAGACCTGAGCCCGCGTCTTGGATAAGCGGTCCAATTCTAGACGCACAGGTATGCATGCCTCCGAGTCAAACGACAATCTTATGCTTATATCGTTCCAAATAGAAACCATGAAACTCGAGCAGGATGGAATCTTGCGAGCCTGCTGTTAGTCAGTTGCAGCTGGCAGCTTACCACCTATATTCTCTCGACCAGATTGAGGCGATACAGTTACTGTAACTTATTTGTGCACGTCATTATACGTGTCCGCTAAGAGGTGTGTACGCAAATAAGCAGACCACTTATGAATGCCATGCCGCGTTACTAGTCAAGCTCAAGATTCACGTTCACAGCAAGAGGGCTACCTTGGTCTGGGTGTATTGCCTAAATGTATGGACGATGCATTATCTGGGACCCATGGTCATGAACTCGTACATCGCACTTTTAAGTGAACGAGCGATATTACCTGCAGCCCAACGCAGGCACTTGTCCCATATTGAAGATGAAGTGACGGATCCCCTGATTCCCACTCGACCCACTCAAGCTGCCATGGTTGCTAGTTGTGTTACTGTCAACTCATGGCCATCGAGTCCTAGCCTACTGCGATGATGGGCAACGATTGCGCTAGCCTGACATTGATTACTAGTAAAAAGCACTTGCCAGCTTGCCCGCATAGTCATTCTATTTCCAGATTCGCATCAAATCCTGTCTGCTATAATATAAGCTGACTTTTCTGCGCATGCGTGGATTGGCGTAACTCAGATTAGCTGCTTGCGATCCTTCAGCGAATTCAATACAACCTGCATCGCGCATGCCGGTGACAGCACGGCATTTGCCGTGGTACACTTATTTCTCTGCCATCATGTCCGGTACTCAGTATATCCCCCACATACTATACTCGACAGCTTTGACCTCAATTTCTATGCACTTGCTGTGGCAGCGAAAAACAGCTGACGAAGACCGAGCAAGGTTCAAGGCTCAAACTTCCATTCTGCAAGAACTCGTCGAGCAACTTCGTTCGGGCAAGCCAATATCTGACGAAGAGATTACGAAGTCGCGTAACCTTGCCTGTATACACGGAGAGGGAAAACAGTCGCCCGACAAGGACAGAACTAACATTGGATGGACGGACGTATTATGGGGCCGAAAAACGCCTGCAGACCTTGGTGTTAGTGATGAATGGGAACGAAAAGATCTGGAACAAAGTGAGTCACTCCTGTCGTCACACACAACAGCCAACTGATTGGTCCACCAAGTACGGAAAGAAATCGAGGCAGAGAGTTGAATTTTTTGAGTCCCTTGCTCGGTGAGTATCGTCCAAACGTCTTCAACCTGTACACACAATATACACCGGACCAATATATCTACAGAGAGTACATGTGCGCCTACGCGAACTTCTCCCTTCGCCTACATGCAAGACAAAATCTCGTGCGATTACTTTTGACTGCGAGCGCATATTCTTATACCTGAATGGACGATCGTATTGTGAATTAACGAGAGAAGCCCAGTGTCAACAAAACGTCTTGCAGCGTACCCTAGAAGGGGGTTGTTTTTCCATTTGTGTGCTGACCATTCTGGGCAGACTCAGTAAACGAGAGTTTGAACGTAGGACAGCCACTCACCGCGCTGGAGGTGCCATTTGCGTTGGCATTCTTCTTCTTCCTCTCTCCCGGAGTGGGATTCCGTAAAGTCGGAACCGAGCCTCCCGTGGTATCATCTGTGGAACCTCCTTCAGCAGCAGTGTTGGGTGGCTTAGTCGTTGAGGTGTTGGGGAGTCCAAAAATCTCGCATATGAATCTTTTGACGTCTTCATCCCCGGCGCTCGCACTCGTTGGTGAACGGCATCCATCCTCTGCCGCCTTCTGCAACGATCTTTCCCTCACCATAGTGAGCCTGAGAATCGTTTCGATGTCAAGCTTTGCAGCCTCTGATAAAGAAGGGAGCGTGGGGCTCTTTGCTAATGTCGAGTATGATGGTATCAGCAGCTGGGCATCAATCTTGAAGTCAGAATAGATCTTGATCTTGTCGATAGGTTGTAGGTCGAGTTTCTCGAGCTGACGGACCACCAGCTTTCGCACTTTGCCAAAGCCCCACCGTGTTGCGAGCCTCAAGATCACGAGCCACCTCTCAAGCGGCTGGTTCTCGTATTCGAAGTCTCTAGAAGGCCACAGATTTCAGTAACAATGTCGGCGGGCATCAAGCGAGTGCACTACGACTCACTCGTCGTAGAACACCCACAGGAAGTGGGCAAAATCTTCGGGTTTGGCATCCAATGTATAAGGCTTGGTATTGCCATCGCTATCGGAAAATATCTCTCTAAAGGAACTTGGTTCGCGCTCGAAGAAATAACGATGTACTTTGAACAGTACGTTCTGTGCCTGAATGAAGAGAAAATTAGTTTATTCATCAGTGCTTCATACCCACTTGGAGGCCCTCTCACTAAAAATTGGGTGTCCCCAGTGGGAATGAAATACTGAGGATGTTTGACAATGGCGGAAAAACCAGTACTAGTGGGTGTGTCTGACATGTTGTAGGAAATCGATGATCGGGGGTAAACAGTGCTCGTATGCCCTTTTGATTCAATTGTCATTTTATATTTATCTACTTTGCGAGCGCTGGTGACGCTTCGAACATCAGTGTATCGATGGCATCCAGTATCAGACTTCAGATTGCTCGATGTAGTCCCATCCCGCAGTTCTAGCGACTGTCGACGTAATGATCCTTCGTTATTGCGTGGCCTCGCCTATAGGAATGATCAAGTATGGTACGTACAATAAAATTAAACAAGGGGATGCTTGTACGGGTCTCTGTCGCCGGAGAAGCCCTGATGTTAGATCACCCGTTGTAGCCCGAAGTTTACTAATGAAAGGGCGAACCGCGCCCACGAGGCCCCTCGAGGCAACAAGTTGACGAGACATATTTACGAAATAAGTGTGGCCGCATCAAAAGATCCCCCATCACTGCGTGTTGTCCAAAAATTCCGACGGCTTAGAGATGGCTGAGAATCTGGGGGTACCTAAGGTTTCAGCCACGTCGAAGCCATCAAATATCAGCCAACTTCTACGATGTCGGAAATTTTGACACTTTAAATTACCACTGGTGTCAACAATGGCTCGAACTTAGAGCCACTCTCACCTGCGTACTATCTACGTTTTAGCTATATCCACCTGGACTCAGTTGTACATGGCCTGCAGCTAACGTGTATATATAAGCACGAATAGTCGGCGGCTCGGTGAGTCAAATGCATAAGTCATCTAGGACAACTGGTTAAGTCCCGTTATGGAAGTTTTATTATCCGCACTGACCGCACGCGTCTGTTTACCACGCGCTAGCGCTCCAACAACGACCATCCGCCCGACGAGGCCAGTGTGCAGATGAGTTATACAGGTTGTTGCGCGCTATCTTGCATGCCTACCAGCCAACGAACTGTAAGCACGATACTTTCTACTTGTATAGCATGATTATTAGTCTGATTTTGCCGGCCTTGACACACCAGCGGCGTCTGGGAGTCCCATGCTCGCTATGCGAGCCATTAAGTCTTTTCAGACCGAAAGAACAACCAGAAACCACCTCAAGAAGCATGGCTATGCTCACAGGCAGCATCTTAACAGCTGTGAACCCCTGCAGTTGGATGTATGCGGTTATATGTGAATAAGGCTGTGCCGCACAGTAAGTGTTCAGATCAAGGTGCACGGAGTTTAACTTAACTTACCTTGTCCTTGACGCTCGACAACAGTGATGACTGCTATATCATATTTAAGCCCATACCTGTTCTCACTTATCACGGTTAGCTTACTGAGACTCTAACTACAGAACTCGAGCTCTTCAATCCACACTCAGTCTCAACTACTTGTCACCCCGACCCTTCGTCAGTAATTTGACCTTCCAGTTGTAAGTGTCCGTGATCTTGCTTTGCACAAAAATTTCATCCAACGTTTCGCAGCAACGACCTCGGCAAGGAGGTCACGATCATGCTCGCCTGGAGTCCCAACCTGGACGGCCTCTTTCTGATAGTCTGGAAGTAAGTGCGTCTACTTCTGTTAGGGACTATTCAAAACCTTGCAATTGTTTCAGGGTCAGCAAATTCGGGAAGTCGGGTGGGTGTTCCTATTCTCTTGCTGCCAAGTTGCCGACTTACATATGAGCCCTCTTTCCAGGTCCATACTGGGCTACCGAAACCTACACGGCCCAGTAAGTAATGACAAGATCAATAGTCTTGAAAGTCACTTATATATTGTATAGGCTTGCCGCTTGCTTGCTCCAGAGCCCAGGTCGAGAGTGGGAAAGTCATCAGTGCTGCGACCTCCGTCAATATCAATGTGAGCAACTCTCATTTACTCTGAAATTGCTAGCACCAACGCAAGCCATAATGCAGAACAGCGTGAAAACAACCTTGACAGAAGCCAACAACCTCTATCATTTCTCTGTAAGTCTGGCTTCCGTTGATTTTTATCTTGACCACCAATGAATACCTCGTATAGCCCCCGCCTCGCCAGTGCGTGCATACGTCTAGTATATAGTCAGGCTGCCAGAGGTGTAGCGAGCAGGTGGCATCAGCATTGTATTTCCTATATATAGCTACCATGTATTCGCAATTTAAATGGAATATTAATGCATATTCACAATATTCACAATATCTGAAATCATTAATCTGTACACCATATGTGGTTTATTATATATATATGTATGGTGTCGTTTTGGACCCATGGTAGCAGCTGGCTCGAACTTGATGGCCAAACGATGTCTTCGAGGTGATTGAAATCCGGAAAATCAACCGTCTGGAAGCCGGTTCCTACCATAGGTCCAGAAACGGCTAAAACTTGACCCTGGGGTCACATTCCAGCCAGGTATCTACCGTCGGAAATTTTTGACAACACGCAGTGCATCAAGGACCGATCATTCAATGATATCGGCGCATACAATTGTCTCGCTTGCGCTCGTGGATCACTCGTCGAACAAGAAGTTTTTGATGCAAACAGAATAGCATTAACTCAAGGAATGGCGGACAATCGAAACGACAGAACTTGACAGTGAGTTTTTTTGAAATGGAAACGGAGAAAATTGCCAAGCGCCAACATTCTGCTCTCCAACTTAACCTTATTTCTTAGGACGTGCACCTCCCCCGGACCCACGCCCACCGCCACGCTTTGCTCCGCGACCGCCTTAGATGAAATTGGTTTGTGAGATGTACATCAAATTGATGTTACCACCATGCTCACCTCGCCCGCCGCCACGTATACTTTCGCTATCGGACAGCACACTAGAGAGGTCAATGTCCTTGGTTTGAGTTTCATCCTTTTCAACATCATTTTCGTGGTCGTTAGTCTCATTCTCATGGGGATTCTTAACATCAATGGGTGTTGATACAACAGGCTCAGCGACAGGGATGACAACGGTGGTGGGACTATGAGAACCAGCCTTTTCCTCCTTTGTTCCCTCCTGCAATACCAAGAATGAGCCGTAGTCAGAACAATATAAGTACAGGACTCGCCACTGATGAAGGCTCACCCATTCCGTATGGTTTGTAGGAGCCAGCCTGAGATGGATCGGTAGAGTGGGACGGAGCGGAAGAAGAGCTCGTAGTAGGCTCAGGCGCTTTGACCTTCTCCGGCGGCGCGGGCTTGCTCTCAGGGCCTGAGGCAGCTGGCTTCGGACCATTATTTGACGGCGAAGGAACGTGCGTAGTTGTCGAAGAAGCCGAAGGAGTGGATGCCTGTTCCTTAGCAGTGTGGTACGTGTGTGTGGTGTCGACGGAGGAACGAACAGCCGGGTCAGGGTTGGATGAACCATTGGTACGAACTGAAAAGCCACCATTGGCTTTGGTTGTCGTCGACCCATTGACCTTCGTGCTGCCTGTGAAGGTCGAGCCGTTGGTGTAGGCAGATGAATTACTGGTCTGCGGAATCGGCGATATTGGTCGCGGCGTTATTCCAAAGACCTCCCTGACCATCGATTCCATGTCACTGTCTTCGAAATCGTCAAATGTAGGTGAACGGACTCCATTCTCAGCGGCGCGCTGGCGAGCCCGCTCACGAGCGTCTGCGACACGGAGAACGGTCTCCATCCCAAGCTGCATGCCCTCAGCAAATGTCAAAGGTTTATCCCTCTTACAGACCGCGATGTATGCTGGGATGAGGAAGAGCTTGTTTATACTATACTCGTGATAGGTTGCAATCTTGTCGACGGGCTCTATCTGAATTTTCTCGAGTTCACGTACAGTGAGCTCCTTGACATCGTTGAAACTCCACCGGTTGGCGAGGTGTAGAATACTCAGCCACGTCTCGAGAGGCGCCTCATAGAGCGAATATTTTCTATCCACAACCGTCAGTATGTCTGGTTCGAGCAAATTGGATTAAGTAGGCATACGGGTTGTAGAAGACCCAGAGGAAACGTGCAAAGTCTTCGCTCTTGACATCCTCCAAGGTATAGGCGTTGTTGTCTGATGAGCCGCGTTCCTCGCCTTCGGCTGACTGGAACTTCTGGCGGAAAAACAGCGATTCACGTTCGAAGAAGTAACTGTGTATCCGATAGAGATGATTCTCGACCTGCGAAGTTGTATCCGTCAATCCGAGGCGTTGAGTATCATAACGACCGTAGACACTCACCAGTACGGTCATATCACCACCGCGTATATAATAGTCCTTGTGATGGATGACGCGAGCTAATCCGTGCTCTGATGGGTTGCCCATGATTGACTTTACCTGAGAGATGAGAGAGGGAGGAGGAAGGTGAAAAGGTTTGGGTTCAAGAGGAAATTTTTCAAGGAAGTCAAGATATACGTTTCTTGAATCCAGCTCGAGGGTTAATGATCTGATCGGTTACACGTGTTCTGCGCGTGTCCTCCATTGTTCCCTCGTCCTTTTATTCCTATCCAATTACTTGGCCTGAAGATTGATTGCGTAAATATCATCGTGGTCTATTGTCGGGGTTGTCCAAACACTATCGGTGTTTTGGGATCGCTTGCACTATCGTACCACGATGTCGACCAAACACCGCTGAGTTACGTGCAATCTCGGGAAGCAGCGCGTTACAGGTGAGTTGGATGACATCCAGGGACGTGGACCCGACTTTTTGAACTGAAATTTTCAAAAGAGTCACGGTATGCTCCGCGGGAAGTTCCACACTACCAAATCAACACAGGATTCGTGATACACGCAACTCGCGGATCAATATTCGATCAATACTCAGCGCTCATTTTCGGGGTTCCTGCCTGTTAGACAGCTGAAGTTGCCTCAAGGCAGACTGATGACTCGGATGGCATCACAAGCATGACACAGGAACTGCATTCCTGGGGTTTTTAATACGTGAAATGTGGGCATACGCAGTTCATGCGACCCACCTTTAGGCAACACGAGGTTAATGCATAATGGATAAACGTACGTCAAGGATCATCCATCATGCATCTTGAGTTCCATGGCCCCACATGATGTTATGTATTCACTGCATTTTAGGCGGCCGCAGCAGCTCGCTTGTTCTCGCGGTGAGTCGATGAGTCATAAAGCAGGAGACTGTGTTGCGTCACTGATTCTAGGCCGCTATCGAGTGTAATTATGCGGAGTATCTGTGTGGACGCAACGGGCCAAAGTTTAGAGTGAGTGTTGCTGATCCATGCTTAATTAAACCATTCCAGACGAGCACTGGTTTGATTTGAGGTCACGGAGGACCAATCCAAAGACCCATGATCCAATAGATTTTCGCAATACTCAGTTATGGATGACTGTGGTATCAGTACTAGTCTGCTTCTCGAATGATTGCTCGAAAGTGGTAAAGGTATTCTTCCCGAGGATGGCGAATACTACGCGATCAAAGGAATGGCGGTATCGCGCACCTTTCACCGTCAATAACTCTGCCCAGATCCTCGCAATAACCTCGACATCGTTTTGGAATACCCCCGTCCCAAAACTGCCCAAGACGATGTTCTTAGCACCCTGCCGTTCAAACAAGAACAGAATGCGCGCCATTCTTTCTTTCATGACATATTCGATGGGCTTTTCGATCTCTGCAAGCTCTGATTCATCCTCGATCCTCTTCTTCACATCGCCAGCGTTTACAGCTGCGCTTGTTAGAACGTCGACTTCAAAAGGCGACGTCCAATTCCCTGCATCATCCTTCAAGATCACGACAGAAGGTGTGTAGACCATCGCGTGATGATAAAACCCTCTGTTTCTATCATGAGTGTGTAGTTGGTAGAAGTGTTGTGCGCTGTCCGTCATTAGAGAGGGATAAAGCGTAGATGACCGGGCTATGGACTCCTCTTGAGCTTGTGCCCCGTTCAAGAAACCGCCTCCAGGTCGTGTAGCAGACGCAAAGTTCAAGATTGCTATCCGACCGAAGCTCGTAGAACGAGGTGAAAGGGTATTGAATAACAATGTAGCACCATCAAGTGTCGAAATCTCGAGGATAGATACCTGAGATTTCGTAGCTGCAGCATTACGTGGTGGGTCACTGGTGGACCAGGTGGACAGTATATCATCTGGAGCATAGTAGCGAGTGTTATGATTGGAGAAGTTGACTTTGGCAGCGAGATCATGGGAGATGTTGGCGATGATGACCGTGCCATTCTCGATCGAGTTCATTGTGCTCTGGGCGATTTCTCGAAGCCGGTTACGGCGATCTCCACCGCCGTGACCACCTCGGAGACCGGTCTTTTGAAATGCAAGTTTTGTTTGAACGCTCATCGCAGTTACTTGTAAACTCTGTCCTCCTATTCAAAACTTTTTTTTTCCACAAGACATATATTCCATTTTAGGGGTGAGTGGCCGATGACCGGTATGTCGAACAATAATTTAATAATGGTCCCCCCACGACAGCTGAAGACGATTTCAGGTCCGATCGAGGCGTAACAACGCTCTCGACTTTTCACACGAGACATACAAGGTTATCTATATGCATAATACCCCATATACGTAGGTCCGACATAAACGCCGTCGTTGTAATTTTGCCACTACCATCACTCTCACGTTTCTGATTTCAAACGTACCAACGGTCCGCGACCAAGGACACCTCACCTTAGACACGGTACGAGGCCGAAGCAAAATCACAACATGCTGTCATCCATTGAACCCCTGGAGGAGGTAAGTACATGCGCTGTAGTGAGGCCACAACAAAGCTAAATCCGTGCAGAGATTCAGACAGGTAGAAGAAGAGAGTGAGAGGAGGGCTATGCAAGAGCAAGACCTGTCGACAAATGAGCTAGTTGACCCTGATTTAGTCAGCCTAAGCAGGCGAGGACATCAGCGGAAGAAGAGTTCAGTCTCAATTTCACGATTCGGCCAGGTACGGGTTATTCACTTGGTAGTATATGGACCATGCAAACTCACCCTCAATAGCCTGGCACAGGTAGTTCCACTTCACCCACACCTTCACTACTCGCTACTGTTGCCCACAAGTCGACATTCTATCATTCATTAGCAAACGTAAGTAGCCTTTTATTTGTGCCTGCTATCAGGAGCATTTCCTGATCGGAATATTCAGCCCAGAAGCATGGACTCCTTCATTTCCGAACGCTCAGAAGACGAATCTCGCCATTTAGAAGATGACCAGCAGGTGACGCGAGTCGAACGAATACATAGCCGTCAGCCTTTCCAGAAGACAGTTGAAGCCATACTACCCCGACGCATGGTTCGGTCGCAGTCATCAAACGTACTCTCGCCGAGCACACGCCTGGTCATTGACGTCTCTGTCGAAAAGGCAACAGTTGATACCGCATATGCGCGCTCTGAGGACACCCACACCACCACCATTCACGCAACCAAAGCAGGAGAGCTAAGCCCTAGAGCGTCTCGGATTAGCGCACTTGGCGCCAAGCCACCGGCAGACGGGCTGGTAGAACGGGCGAAATCGTTCGCTCGTAAATTCGGACGTAAGAGAAAGCCCGAATCTGGGTGAGATGAAGTGGATGTTGTGCGCGCGCCCGGCTCTTGAGCTGTCAAGGAGACTCTGGAATGGAATGGACCTAGTTTCAATGATCCGAGTTGTTGCCATGCTTCATCAAGGACTAGTGATAACCTTGAATTGCTCATCACCAAGAGGCCAGAGCTGCATCAGAATTTCTTTCATGTACGATACTCTATGATTATATAATATAATTTTATGAACCAATCATCGTTCAATCGCCTTTCTTCCACTGACAATTACATCGGTTCTTCACGTGAGTTCAGTGCCGTGATTTACGTGCTTCGAGATCGATTACTATCTTCCAATTCTGAATCTATAATCAGATCGAATGATGCGTCACCGCGTCTAGGTACGCAAGATCATTGCGGAAACAATTCCGCATGCTCATAAAAGCGAACCAACACGATGGGCGCCAAGGATCCTTGTACTCGCAATCACCTTTCCATTATTCTGGGATCAGTGCCAAATGAGTGGTGTTCGTACTTCAAATCCATCAACTATGCAGCTACCACACCACAGACGTGTTGTGGATAAATGTACCCCACGGGACAAGTATGCGAGGACGCACATACATCTAAAGAATTCATTCCTCTCAAGCTCTGATGATTTGAGTGTAAAGACTGTGAGTCTCCTGGAACTTCTTCAGTTGCGCTGTCAAGACGTTGATTAGATATTGCAGCCAAGCGCGCCTTGGGTCCACGCGTATAACTCACGACAACGATCGCAATCTTCCGCAGATACGCAAGGCTGGAAGCATCTGCCAACTCCCATCCGACCAACCTTCCGCCCGCGTGATTACGCATCACCGCTCACTGCGGATAATATCTCCCCCACGAACACGTTCAAAGTCCTACGACGCTCGTTGCATAACCTTGATTTTGACCCAACTTGCCTTGATCGCCTCGATGAACAGCTTCTTCTTTCGCCCACAGAGTCATTCGTTGACGTATGTTACTCTGACGCTGTTCATGACAACAATATTCCTGTTCCTATGCTCCAGCCCATCCAACCTCGTATCCGTAAAGACGCGACGCTATATGACCGTACAGCTGCCACTGATGAGGACCCTTTCCACGATTGGGATGAAAATTACTCCGTCAAATTCAAAAAGGCTCGCAGGAAACCGGTGAGACTTTTCCCACTTGTTTGCGACTTCTACTGAATCTTCACGCAGTTGCCCCCACCTCCGCTTCCACAACTGCCCGAAGAATCACTTCCCAGAACGAGTCACCAGGACTCGATGCTCGCTCTTCTGGAGTCACATATCCTATATCACAATCCCAACGAATCTGTTCACTTTTTCCCAGTATCTACGCAACGCTGCAGTGGGGAATCGCGAAAATCGTCTCTCGAAGCCCCCTCCGTCCACTCCACGGGGTCGAATGGCAGATTCAGGCGCATTTCTGATGCACTTACTGGTCGTTCTCGAAGACCCAGTGCTTAAAACCCCGCCGACTTCATTGAATGTAAAGTCATCATCTCAGCTGTTTTGATCACTCGACAAAAACGGCATGCCGTACCACCTCCATCCCCTGATTGTTATATCTTAGCCTAATCGCAATGCAGCAGGAGCTCCATTTGCGACCTAGATACCCTCTGACGTTACTCTAACTTTTGATTCATTTGTTTGTTTTATAGGAGTATATTTTGGATTTCTTACTATCTCATGACAACCGACTGTTCAAACTGCTTCACAGTCGCTTCTTCCTATCTCCGTCGCTAGATACGATGATCAGTGACGTACCATTCAGCATCGATAACGCCTCGAATGAAATAATGATTTTTGGAACTTAAACATGACATATGGCCGCGATTCTTGAGTATATATATCTTACCGAAGTCTTACCTCATGATTGGTCGTTTGGTCGGCCAAACGGTGTTATGGTGGAAGTCTGACGGATGCGACTTTCAAATACGGACTTGCTTCGGGTTTACACGGGTGAATAGTTAATTGTTCTTCGGAGGGCGTAAAACGATGCCCCGATATCTGGTGGTCGACAGCTGAGGTAACGGCATATGGGAGTCGAAGTCGAAGGACATGAATAATTGACATTCAGACGACGTGGAGTCCCATATCATTCAAAGTAGCGACCGGCTAGGGGAGGACCCCTGATAATACCTTGGCACAGTTTGGTCAACTTATCCGGATGAGCCCCGCCTAGGGTTCGCACATGGGTTCGCAAAATTTTCAAAAACACGTTTTTTCAATGTTGGGGAGCTAAGATGGTGTAAGCATATAAATATCACAGTTCAGCCCCATCATCCCCTTCTAAGACTATGGTCTGCTTTACTCGCTTGCGGAAAAGCTTTGTTGCATGCTTCAGTTGAGGCGAAGCATGATGTAATCGCGTATTTCGAAGATGGGAGGCGTGAGCTAGACTCGTAACCAGTCTGACTATGCGTCAATTTGAGATGGTGAGAATTTATGTAGTCAGAGGACTGTCAGACTGGTTGAACTCGGAGTGATTTGGCAGGCGAAGCGAGGAGTTCGTGCATCCGTGGTAGTATACGTCAGGCTGGTCCCGAGCCTAGGCGTGAGCTACAAGTTCAAGCCCCGAGGCCTGAAGTCCAGAAGTGAAAATGCATAAAGTCAGTAAAGCGAATTGATAGATGACGGTCGCATCGGGCAGACCTTGAGCAATTTATGCTAGGCAGTAAAAACGTGGTTCGAACTTCCGCAGTCAAACGCGATCTATGCGTGATACATTACCCTATACCGCTATGGCATTGTACCATTACCTTGAGGTTCGACAAGAGCATCATGTCCGGATGGATCATCCGCAAACCGGACCTTGGATATTCGGATCATAACCTGGGACAAATGGTCATGCGGGTCAATTTCTGTCCTGTTCCATAAGCATTATCAGGGATCCGGATAGGAGAATGGCATCGAGAATGCCCTGGCCCATCAGGAAGAGGAACGCGGAGAGTAAAGTTTAATTCTCTGAGGTAGGTTCACGATCAGTCAGTCTCCAACAGAACATCTGAATACGAAAAACGAACTTTAGTCATGATGGGAGCTGATGGGAGTCGGACAAACCTTGTGAGCCGTTGTAAGGGAGACACATTAAAATACCATGACAACTTGAATTCCAGACTACGTATTAGCTCTGGCTGGCTTCGTGCTGCATGCATCTTTATGCTCGAGAACACCACCTAGATCAGTGGATACACGCTTATCGACACCCTGTGAGAGCCGCGGTGGGCGAGAAGCTAATGACGAAACAAGCTACCAACATCTTGGTGCTCCCTTGGTTGCCAAGCTTTTCTATATGTGATCACATATCAGCACATATAACGCTATCTGCGGCTCACCAGTCCCGACTTCATGTACTAGTATGATGACCCGAGGTATCCAAACCAGGATTTCCCGCTAGCCATTCTCAGCCATTGGCCCAAATATTGTCATCATTTTACTTTGTCATAAGATAACCTCAGAGCTGTAAGAACGCTGCGGTTGAGTTGCTCCGCTTGCTCCTTTGATAAAACCGTGACGGCCGAGGCCCAAGGAAAATCGGGTGGAAAATATTGTGGCTGATCATTATGTGACGAGCATTGTGCGTCGCAAACACTCACTTACCGCCACTACTACAGTGCTACCCTGTTCTTGCAGTCGACAGCAGTAATAGTCTACGACTGTGAATGGTGGTATACTGCAAAGAGCAAGTGCGCTTGAGCCTTGAAGCTTGAGCCTTGGAGCAAGTTGCTTGCAAGTTACAAAATGGTAACTTAGGGCAAGCGCCGCTTACATACCAGGCGCCCGCCGACCAGCCGCATATCTCAGGAACGCCAGCAACCATTTGACAACATGTCTACCATAGTGAACTTACCTTTCGATCTTCTGCAACCCATTCTCATACATTTACATGATAGAAGGCATCTGAGTACAGTCGCACTAGTCAGCCGTGCATTCAATCACGCTGTGACGCCTCTTTTGTACAGAAGGCTCGATTCACAAGTGAAACGAAACGTGCGATTACTCTTTCTCTCGTAAGTATATATCTGTATTTACTACATTCAGATCCTTTACCATCCTTCTGCAACCCTTCTCAAACGACCAGAATTGGCACAGTATGTCTGGCATGTGACGGAGACAGGTAAGTGGTGTGGTTTCAGACTTGTAATTGGTTTGATCAGCCCCACTGCACAGGCACAGTGCAACGCTTCCGACAAGTTATTCCTAATATCACTGAAGATATTGTTGCAGCGCTTAGACTTTGCACAAATATCACGTCTGCAACTTGGGTAGATGACACGTTGACTCCAGAGGCGAATTTTCTACCCATACTGGACGTCTTGATGACGTTACCCTTGCGGGAGCTTACGATACGCACCCAGTATGATCCAGGAGAACGAGTTTGGTCCCGGCTCAATACTATCCAGGGCATTCGTCGTTTGTCAGTGTGGTCTTTGGAGTGGGGCCCCCCGCGGGTACTTCAAGGATGGGCTGATTTACTAAGTTCCTCTCTAACGCACCTTGAACTTGGCGTAAGGGAGCTTTTTATTTCCGTCTCTCTGTTTCCTTATTCCTTTCACAGCGTTGTGCAGGTGTTCCCGCAACTATCCTCATCTCTGTCTTTATGAGACTTCCTCTTTTACAAGAGCTTTGTCTCAAGGGTGCTCCAAGCGCCGCCATCCCGGCTATAATTGCCTGTCTTCCCAATCTGATAGCCCTTGATACGGAATATCTGGACTCTGGAAATTACCGCACGCCACTCACACCATTGCCTCGTTTGCAACGCCTAACAGTTCAAACAGGATCAGTGGATATCGATGGACCGCAGAAACTATGGACATGGATGAGGATTTTGCTTCCACACCAACAAACTTTAAAGTCATTCACGCTAAATGCATTTGCAGTGCATGGCCAAATAACCATTCCGCGCCCATTCATTATAAATCTTACTGGTAGACACGGGAAGTCCCTCCAAGATTTTGCTGTGGGCGTTGCGCAGTTGACGTTAGAAACTGTATCCTATATGTGCTCGACATGCCCCCAACTTACGACACTCGAATGCTCTGTGGCAAGTCCAGACGTAGTATGTGATTCTCGCTAGTATCGGGAAGATAAATTACCGGTTAATTGTTGATGCGTCTAGGACTCAATCGCAAAAGCAATCGAGGCGGGGCACAACCTTCGGACACTCTCGCTTCATGTCTCTTGGATCCCTCATGGCCGCGTCGATTTGCTTCCACAGTTTGAAAAGTACTCAGAATCCCGAACCATGTATGCAGATTCTTCACATCTTATAAGCGAGGGGAAGACTAGTCGTTTTACCGAGGAACACGCTCGCGCCTTGATGCTCCAGACACGCCTTCGCAGCATTGGCATAGGGGATCAGTCCTACACAGTGAGTTTATTCTGTTCTTGTTGCGCGCCTTTGGTATTTGGGCTTTGACTTGGTTGTCGAAAGTAGTCGATATTCTTATCTGTCTTCTTTAGGGTCGGTGGGTTCATCGGGGATGTTCTGCCGAGGTCACACAGGATGTTGGGAAAGAAGATGTCGTACTAGAAGTCGTCGGGGATCCATTCGTCTAGTTTTCAGGGTCACCTGTCACACTGAATTCAGACCGTGTGTCATATCACCGAGCGTGCATTGGTGAACTGAGTGCAGTGAAGAAAGATTCAGGCCATATCATATCACTTCTGGAAGGAAATAAGATCTGTGTCGTTGGATAGGGTATGCACAATTTTGATCTGAATGGCGCGGCGACTTCCAAACCCGCCACCCGGCGTGCCAAGCATGCACCCAGACTTGGTCGCAGACACAGAACTGGTGTCTGCGCAGACCGGCCATTTCAGACTCGTCCTTGCACAGACCGAACTTAATACTCTTCAAAGGATAATTTCAGAGACTCCGGATTGTCCTCCGAGAAGAATCAGGTTATGTTGATAATAAACACAAGCTTTTGATCATCCTCCGGACACTTTTCGGCAATGACATAGCTGACGAAGTCCTTTAAAGTTTACCTTAGCTTTCGTATCTGGTGGTGTCCCGCTGCTGAGTTTACACTGCTTCCTCTACACGCAGCAGGATTCTACGAGAAGAAGAGAGATAATTTGTCTCACACTTACTACATCTTCTCTTACTACACTCCCACCCTCAGGCTGGCGACAATTGTTCTCGTGTGAGACAGCAGGTTTCTCGAGATGCGTCCCACAAACATCTTGCTGTCATCGCTCAAGGAAACCCAAACGGAAGGAAGACATTCCATTGTGTCGCTCCCGTCGCGTCGTCCTCCACGTCACTCAAGGACAGCGGGTGCAACAGTCCAGGGTGCACGAGTGGTTATGGTTCAGTGCATCGAGTGACTGCATACACTAAACAATAACCAGTCGCTTCACTTAGCCTGTCATGGAATTTTGAATCAACAATGCGCGACGGGCGGTTGATAATCAAGAACATCATCCTATCTGACTGGCACAACTCGGGGTTTGCATTCTTGTCGGCTTGCCATACTACCGTGTGTAATGAAAAGAGCCCCGACTCGGATGGCTGGATCCATGCCATCTCACCGCGGGGATGCAATTTTCCAGATTTTGCAGTGCGGTTAGTTTCATGTGGTCTGTCGACGACGAGGTTGCACGACAGGTCATCTGCTTTTTACTTTTTACTGCAACCTGGTCGATGGTTCAATAGACTACACACGCAATACAGTAGAATCGCCGCGGAAAAGATTCCACTAGAATGGCAAATCACATTTGTTCACATAGGTGTTTAGTTTGAGGTTTGATTCGTCTTATTGCGTTTTCTGTGATCCTGGTTGCTTTCATTCCATTGCTGTCCTGACTGGTTCTCTCAATTATTAGTTCGGTCATGTCTGCACAATGCTTTTGTTCTTGCATTGTGCACTAATGCAGCATGTATCATTGATCACGCGATCATGCCTAGGCGCCTTAGGCCTCGGGATTCAAGTGACAATGCCACTACCTTGACTTCCCTCTTATAAATTGGATTTGTCTCATGAGAATGGTACAAGTCTGTTTACACAGTATTTTCTACACGTTGTCTTTGCCTTTGTCGTGGTCACCTCGCAACCAATCAAGTCATAATTATACAAGGGCGTTGGACAAAGATAAAACAGGTTTATGACAGAATAGTCTTGAAGGAATCCGATCCACCCCCTTCCAATTAAAACCTATGCTTCACAAGATCAACCTGGCAGGCGATAGAGCCGTCGATAGTTGAACAAAGCCGGTTCCACTTCTACTATGTTCGGCCTCAGCCCAACGAACAGAGCCCTGAATGTGTCCCCAGCTGCGGGATGCAGTGACGTGGCGTTCACGCCCTTTGCCTGCGGGATCCTCGACTCTATGCTGCTCAAGAGAGGGCCCGATGATTGAAGAAGATATAGAGAAAGAGCCTTCGAATGCGCTATGCAAGTGTACAGTTGCCGGAGCATTCGCGGTTTTTGACTTGCTGTTGAGCTGAGAATAAACTGTCGAGTTGACATAAGTGAGTGTAAACGGGGCGTTCGCGGTCTGCGCATCAACTCCGAACTCTCCGCCATATCCAGAGGCAGTAGTCAAAGATACACGTGCATTAAGGGGCCTAGATATAACGATGAAGCGTTTAATATATTGAGGAATGAAAAGGAGCATGGGTACTCACGCATTTGCGGTTGCTATGACCAATTCAGATGGCTTCCCAGATTCGTTGTGAAATAGGACAACATCTGCGTCAATAGCCATGTTGGTAGTGATGAGTTTGAGAGACGATGTCGAATAAAAGTGTCCTTTGATAAGCCCGTTAGCAGTGGTGAAAATCCCTGTCTCAGCTGCTACAGACTATGAAGACTTCAGCTCTAAATACTGAAAGTTCTGAATGACGTAGCACGAACCTGGACGTTGATCGGGAAATGCAAGGTATTTAGCGAAATACTACCAAAGAAAACAGTGTCCGATAATGCCGCGACCTCATGGCGGAAAAGAGGTGCAGAGGTCTCTAAACTCTTGATGTAGAGGGCATCCTCGCTTGCGCTAGCGGGTAAAGTCAATGTGACATCAAACATGAGTTGATCTTTGTCATCTTGGCCAGGAAGACGGCTCTTCGAGGTCTATTATGTAGTATTAGCCATGGAATATTAGTACAGTATAACGTAATGCTGAAGAAAAAAAACTTACGTAGATACCGATTCCATTCTGGTTTTCCTGGCGCTTGAGGTAGCAAATGTTTGTACGTTCAAAGACTTCTTCTTTGAAGTATGCAGCGCGGATGCGTACGATGACATCGTCTGAGGCTTCCGTGGACTGCTCCACCGTGAGAGTGCCGTAATGGAAAGCACCCCGAGAGATGAGATACAGAGAGTCAGAGCCGACAGGAAGAGTAAAAAGTGACTCGCTGCCAAAAGGGAACTGCTGTGCCCATGATGGTAGTTCATAGTATTCGTCCCACTCCGTGCTACCAATGCACCTGACGACTGCCCCATCGCTGGGATCAGGGTAACCAGGTTCGTTTAAGCCTGTTGAAAACTGTAGCGCACATGAGTTGATTTCTAGTCCTGACGGCGAAAGAAAATCTCAACCTCGTAGTAGTCGGAAACACTGCGCACAATGTTGAATTCAGGATGGGTAAATACGGCAAAGAGTAGCAAGCTCATAAGACCGATACCAAAAAGCCTAGCTGTGATAGACTGGCGCGGCCGCTGCACAAATTGCGATTCGCAATTCTGGCTATTGGTGGTGGCGGTCTGTGCTGACCCAAAGTCATCACATTCAGTTTGCAATTGCAAAACCTCTTTCTCGTCTCCGTTCATCCTCGCCAGGCGTTATGGAGTTCAAGAGAACGAGCGAGGTCAGTAACTGCAGATATACAGTAGATCTGGGCGCCAATATTGTCGACCAGTCCATCGTGATGTGAAACATCATACTGCGGGCGCAGCGTGCTGGTGATGCCGCGCTGCAGGTCGGTATCAGTACTAGTAATAGCCTACCGATAGTTGACAGCTCAGATTGACGCTCGTTGATCACTTTTCCAGAAACATCTTGGTATTATCAACATTGTTGTCACAATCAAGCTATCTTCATCAGATTGCGGAAAATGGGTGCACGGCCGTCACGATCACCGGTCAGGAGCAGTGCAAGAGTCGCGAGTGTCAGCACGTGGACTCCAAGTCGGATTGCCTTTCACCCTCTTTGACTAGACCTGTTATCAGCTGGACATTGACACTGACAGACCCGGGGATCCGTTATCATACCTGCATCTTGCCAAGCTACTTGGATATCCGTGAGAAACCAATTCCGACCCGCAAAGCACTGTCGCGTTAGTGGCGCTGACAGTGGCTTTGCCACTGACTCGTGGCAGGCCCCATCCTCCAACAAGCTGTTCTGCTGATCAAACCTTGTTCTAGGTGTCCTGAGTCCCAATCGTAGAGATAAAGGGTGTGAAGTGGTGACTGCGGCAGCGGCTGAGGTGAGCTCGGGTTCTCCCATGTCACGTTTCTTTCTTCTCACTTCCAAAAATTTCCTGGTGGGATTCCGACTCCGAGTCAGTGATCTTGTGGTGCAATTTGAATCAACTTGAATGCGGCCAGTCCGCTCACGTTGCTCTAAACTCTATCAACAGTACCTGTCACAGGTTGCAACTTTGACAACCACAACTATTTCTACCACACTTCTATAAGTGTACGCTTCACCCTCTCACGCGGCTTTTGAAGACACAAACCTATACAGGGAAGATATTCATGTTATTGTCTCTCGCTTAAACCTCTCCAGCAGGTTCAGACGTTGCATCTACTTTCTGATGACGTGCTGCATGTCATATTTTGAAGTACGTATGTTCTTTGAAACATTCTCTGTCACGAATGTAAGCGGCGGTTCGCTCCTGAGTTTCAGATTACCACCACCATCAGATGCATCACCGACAAGTGATGACGTTCAACCTGTTGAGTGCCTAAAAGGCCCAGGCCCAGTATCATCAACCCTATTACTCTTGACTGTCGATGTCTAGTCAGATGGTGGCCTACAAACATTTCAGGCACCACGGGACTATTTTATGTTCACTTGACGCACTCGTCTGTCTTATTTGCCGAGTCCTCGGACAACGTGCACTCCCTCCAGGATGACCCAATAACGGGTCGCACTGTTGTTCCTGTGTGTGCAGTCAAATAGGTACATGGTCCCTTATTTACTACCCTCGTCAGGTCACGAGCACTAACATGAGAAGAGTGATCATGTCGCTAGGCATCAGGGGTGTAACGTTTCAAGCAACGATGAAGGTTGCTCATGACATCCCTTCTGTTACGCAAAAGGTCATTAGATCTGTGTCCGAGGAGTCGAATCTCAAATACAGTTCGCACAATCTCCTCGACTATGATGATGCTCCCTGCGGAGGTGGATAAGTGGATATAGACACCTCCGTCGCAGCAAGTTAAGTTACAGTTCGCGGCTTAAATTAACCATTGTGATGCTGTACCGACGCAACTACTTACAGGTGTGCATCGCTCTCTTCCCATTATGGTCATGGAACACTTTATGCTAAAGAAATCAATACCTAGGAGTTCCTTTCGTGCTTCACAGGGAGGCTATCATGGGCGCCTTGGTCTGAGTCTCACACGATACATGATTCTGCAGGTTCCTTGCCCTCGGAAAACGCTCGCGGGAAGACATATTTGGAAGTTGTGATACTATGATAAGGGAAATACGGTGGAAAACCTAATACCAGTGAGCATCTTAATCGCGGCCAGAAGAGCCGAAGTCTTTCAGTGTGCTTGCTACGGCATAGTGCACTGCATTCCTCTTTTAGCGAAGTTGTAGGGCTCTCTCCCAATCAAGCTGTCGGTTTGCGTTCATTTACGTCTTCGGTGAGCAGTTGTTTGGCTTCCCGATGGTATATATACTTGGAAGCATCGCAACTATAAGTAGGCTATGTATGTTTCGCGTTCTCATATGTAAAGTCTCGGTCATAGCATGAATATTGCGAAACATATGAAAGCACAAGGCTGATCATCCTCACTCCCTCAGGAATGATGATCTGCTCCAAAGAATGGAGCGAGCCACAAAGCGTCTATTTAAAATTTTCCAGCGTCCCGTAACCTCACCGTAAACCGCTAAAACAGGGAAGATTGGTGTCAAATAACTTACTAGTATACTTATCGCTTGCGGGAGTACGGATTGGTTTTAGTGGCCAGTCCATCAAGGGTGACGGAATTATGTTCGATGGCGGACGCATTTTACGGCGGTGTCTGCATCTAGGCTGGGTCATCTCCGGGACCAGTGTGTAATAATGATGACCCCAGGGTTTATAGACTGCGGTAGGCAAAACCTGCAATTCGTATTAGGTGGCTCGGAACCAACGTAGTTAGGAGTCCAGGACGCGGGCCTATCATAAGCCTTGGGAGGGACGTAGATATGTAGCCGCTGGTCATCATGCTGTTCCAATATTGACACGCTGAGTCTGCACGAGTTCTCCTATCAGGGCGTAAGCGAGGTGCGCTATGCCTTTCGCAGATAAGTGTAGTGATAGTGGCAATAGACAAGGATTAGGCACATATGACGAAGTGAAGGTCCAGGCTGTGTCAAATACCTTGAGAGATAGCCCAAACTGTTCGATGTAGCGCGCGTTTGGGTAAGTGCTTGTAGTAGCTGTTTGCAGATCGGCAACTTCAAGTTGGACAATTACAATAGGCCATTAATCGCCGAACAGGCCACGAGCACCGGCGTACGCGGGTTGTAGATTTTCGTTGAATGACGATACATGACTCGTAACAGTGCCTTTAAAGTGTAAAAGTATGATCAATTGACAGCGGCGACTACATTAGCAATATGCATGGTGTTGGGGAGCTTGTGAAGGTATAACACCATGGAGAGGTGCCAGGCACGCGAGCACTGTCAAAATGAAACGTTGCTGAAAATGACAAGTGGGTTGCAGCGTGTGGGTGCCCTGTGTGCCTCAGGGCTAGCGGCAAGATTGAAATGAGGGAGTTGATCGAAAGCTGGGTCACTGGCCGAAACATACTGCAGATGAATCTATGGACTATTAATCGTCCTAAGATAAATACTAATACTACAAAGTACCGTGGGGGGTAGAGTAGTAGATTGAGCGGTCGGAAGGCAACGGAATTTAGGGCAAGATATCCAAAAATGGAAATGGTTGGGGCAGAAAATAAAATTAAAATGTGAAAAACACAAAAAAATATTAACCAGGAACATGGGAAGGTTGATGTGCCTGAGAAATGTGATTGGTCTAGTGGTGATCCTCTAGTAGCGGACCACTTTCAGTCCTCCCACAAGTCCTTTCCCTCCAGGTCCCCTTCCCTTGTTTCAGATACCCTCATATATCCCCCCTCCCGTCGTCCTGCTCATCGCTGCCCACGACGCCGAGCAATTTATTGACGACATTCATAAGATACCTTCATTGGTGTTCAAAGGTCCGGTCCTCTTCTGACTGATGTCCGGCAGACCAACATCTTCAGCCGGGGGCTCTCGCCCTTTCACAGCCTCAGCTTTCCGTACATCTTCAGCCCGTCCTCCGACTTCTGCAGGCGCATTTAACCGTGAACACCAGTATACCTATGATAATGCTTATATCGAGGAAGAAGAGGAAGAGGAAAGCGACACAGAGGACCTTTTTGCGTTTCTGCCTCCTTCAACCGCAGACCAACAGCGAGACGTAGAGAAGCAGCGTGCAGCTGATTTATCCCGAATATCTCCAGACTACACAAATATTTTCGCGAACACGGTCCCATCAGACGTCCCCCCGCTCATATATCCGGCGCCGACCTTTGACCCCTGGGCTCGTTTCTCCTCTGAAATGGCCGGCCCCTCCCGTCTCTTCCCTGTACCCATATCTCAGGTTCCAGTAGAAAGCCCTCCCTCTACCGCGTCAAACCAAGGTGCAAGCGACCCGTATCGCATGCGTCGACTAAGCACAGCCCTTTCGAGTACAACCAATACCCACCCTTCGAGAGCTAGTGTCCCGAACTCTCGGCAAATACGCATCAGCCTAACCTCCAGCCCACACGATAAACACGTCGAGGAGGATCTTCGTAACAGTTCACAGAGGACACGACATCCTTCATCAACACTGGGGGATTCAACAACTCTGAGCATAACACCTAGTATGCTGGAACAAGACAGTCGCGATGGTTCAATTAAGTGGGTTTTTTGTTTTTGTACGGCAAACTTCTCAACATTATGTATTTCGGCGTGACACAGGATGGAGTTTGATTTTGACGCCGTGAATGAAGAAGACAGTCCATTCCCTGAAGTTCGTGCATCTGTCTCGAACATCGATGACCCAGAAATGCCCGCTATGACGTTGCGGATGTGGTTAATCGGTCTGGTTTTTTGTATGACCGCTAGGTGAGCTTTTTTTAGAGTATCATTCTTACTTGTAGTCTCATGGTTTCAAGTGCAATGAATCTTTTCTTTAACTTCCGGCAACCTGCCCCGAGTGTCTCTCCTCTTGTTCTTTTGCTCGTATGCTATCCCATTGGAAAATTCTTCGCCTTTGTCCTCCCCATCACGACTTATCGTCTCCCACGGTATCTCGGCGGTTATGAGTTTTCACTCAATCCTGGACCATGGAATATTAAGGAGCATGTTTTGGTGTACATCATGGCAAACGTTGCTATTAGCGCACCTTACGCTATCAACGCCATTGTGGTCACTCAGCTCAACTACGGCATTCCAGTGGATTACTGGTTCAGTGTACTCCTGGTTGTTGCCACACAACTTACAGGGTTCGGTCTTGCGGGGATGTGCAGACGCTTTTTGGTTTCGCCTGCGAGCATGGTTTGGCCACAGAATCTGGTGACGTGTACTTTATTGAACACGCTTCACGCGGAGGACGATGAAGAACCAGGATCAATTACACGATACAGATACTTCCTTCTTGTCCTCGGCGGCGCGTTCTTCTTCTTCTTTATTCCTGGTAAAGAGTTTTTCCGAGCTTAATCTGGGTTGACTTTGATGGGCTTTTAGGCTACCTCTTCAGTGCTCTCTCGGTCTTTTCTTGGATGTGTTGGATACTACCGGATAACATTCCAGTTAATCAACTATTTGGCGTCGACTCCGGGTTGGGCATGACCATAGTGACATTTGACTGGACACAAATCTCGTGGATTGGCAGTCCATTGATGTATCCATGGTGGGCTGAAGTGCACATCTTCTTTGGCTTCGTTCTTTTCTTCTGGATCATCACACCGATATTATACTATACCAACGTAAGTCCCTCCAGCCCTCAGCCCCTACCTTCTATCCTTCGTTTCTGACTTTGTCACAGACGTGGGATCTCGCCTACTTCCCCTTGAACGACAGCAGTCCATATGATCGCTACGGTAACGTGTACAATGTGTCGGCTGTGTTGTCTGCCTCCAACCGCTTCAATCTTACTGCCTACGAGAACTATTCTCCGCTTTATCTTCCCGCGACTTATGCGATGACCTACATGCTTGCATTCGCCCTATCGACTTGCGTGCTCGTGCACACGATCCTTTACCATGGTCGAAGTTTACTGAACGGGGTGAAGAAGATTCGCGTAGAGCAGGATGACATCCACGCGAAGCTCATGCGCAACTACCCTGAAGTGCCAGATTGGTGGTATCTCGTGTGCTTCTTCGGCTTTTTCCTCCTCATGGTAGTAGTCGTTGAGGTAAGCGCACTCCCCTTTTACATGCTGAATTTTGTTCATCGGCTGTTTACAGGTGTGGCATACGACAGTACCTGTGTGGGCCTTGCTATTGTCCGTGGCATTACCAACTCTATATGTCTTGCCGTCCGGCTTCATTTTCGCAATGACTGGGCAAGGGGTATGCATGCTTCCGCGCTGCATTCGAGAATAGGAATGCTAACATCCGATCTGTACAGATCACGCTGAATCTGCTTGCGCAGATCATTCCAGGGACTTTAATGGCAGGCGACCCTGTTGCGAACATGGTACGCGGTCGAACTGTAGCACTTTGCGAGGAGTTTGACGTTGTCATCCAAATTTGTCATAGATCTTCAAGGCATACTCCGTTCAGACATTGACGGAATCTACGTCATTCGTACAGGATCTCAAGCTTGGTCATTACATAAAGGTTCCTCCACGAGCCACGTTCCTTGGCAAGCAGTGCTTTTTTGATTGTCACTCGATCGCCTGACCAAGGGCGTTCCCTGCAGTGCAATTCGTGGGCACGTTGTTGGCATCATTCATCCAGATCGGTGTCAAGCAGTGGATGTTCAACAACATTCCGGACATCTGCACCCCAAATCAACCCAGTTTCTTGACGTGTCCGCATAATGAAGTGTACTACACTGCATCAGCAGTCTGGTACGTCTGTCTTTCATTTCAGTCGCTATTGTCTTTTCTCAATGATGCTGTAGGGGAATTATCGGACCCACGCGGCAGTTCGGAAAAGGGACTCTCTACTATCCGGAGTTGTATGCCATCATTGTCGGTGCTTTCCTACCCGTTCCTTTCTGGCTGTGGCAACGGCAGTACCCGAACTCATGGGTCAGATTTGTGAGCACGCCTGTGGTGCTCAACGGTGTCTCGTATATACCGCCTGCGGCTGGCATCAACTATTCTGCCTGGTTCGCAGTCGGGTTTGTATTTCAATATCTAATAAGAAAACGCAACTTTGCATGGTGGAGTAAATTCAACTATGTGACTAGTGCAGCTTTGGACAGCGGTATGTGGCTGCCTTGCTTTACTTTATTTTTTGCTAACGGCAGATTATAGGCACTGTTTTGTCATTGGTTGTAATATTTTTTACCTTACAAGTACGTTCTCTTCTGCTCATCGTGGCTAACATTTATTAAACGTTGCCTACAGTTCCCAAAAGGTGGCCTCAATCTCAACTGGTGGGGAAACACCGTCTACAAAGAAAGTGCGTTTTTATGCTAGTGCGATCGATCGGTCTGTTCTAAAATGCTTTTTTCTTCTTTCTAGCCGCGGATTGGACCCGTCTAGCACTGAAAGCTGTCCCATCCAATGGCATCCCTCTAGAATAATGTATTTAGCAATCTGCAACAATATGACTTCATCTAGGACCCAATGCAACAGCGGATGTGATTGGTGCTTTACGTCGATCTCAATCCTAATGAAACAGGCGATGTAACAGGCGTTATCGAGGCGAATAGCGGCCTTCGATATATTGGTTCATGAAAACAGACACTAAATTAGATCTAGACCCGCCACACCACGATGGAAGAGAAGCACACTGCGTGCTAATGATAAACGCTCAGGGAACTCGTGCACGCGCCGAGAAGCACATTTCCAAAACAACCCACTTTTAGCAAGATGGAGAGCCGAGGGACACCTAAAATATGAGCTGTGCAAGGATGCGGGTCCGAAGGAAATGCACTATCTGACTATGCACGTTCTTAGTAAGTAATGGTCAGGAAACAACATACTGTAATTATTCCGGCAGTGAGTACTGAATAATGACACGTGTGGGAGTGGGGACGCATGGGTCATGTATGACACCCTGAAGTGAAATTGCACAGGATGATGATCGCGGCGGGAATCTAACCTCCCCGTCCACGCCCTCGTCCACGTTGTCCGCTACCTCTTGAACCTCCACGGCCTGAGCACAATCAATTAGCACCGATATGGTATGGTGAAGCAAAATGAACAGACCTCCTCTTGATGGAGTACCTCGGCCTGTGTGGAAATTACAGACAGCATATCGATATCCCGTGAAAACGGCGTGTGGTGCAAAGATAATAGATACAAGCGAACGAAGGATCATGATTAGCGTGCCGAACCTGATACCGCAAGGCGATTAGCTCAGACGCACCTCCTCGCATTCCTGCACCTCCTCCTCCCCGCGCACTTCGGCCAGCTTCTCGTGCTCGAGTTTGCTCCTCTTTTACAGTGTCTAACAACGTGTCCGGTACACGCAGGTATTTTATCTTAGGGTTGTTCAGCTGTGTTCAGCTGTGTTGAGGTTATCAAGAAGCATGGCTAGACGCACGGTGCTGCCGCGGATATAGCACTCCTTCAACTTCCAGAATCTATCCCCGTCTGCGCTCGTTTGGTACACCTCCCGTAGTGTTATGTTCATGAAATTATCGCAATTGACGAGGTGGCCGTTGAATGTTTCGCCATTTTTCAACTCTACAAGCTATGATCGTTGGATCAGATAGAAAACAGAACGGATAGTGAGCCTTGTTTTGTCAGATGGATGCACGAGACCGTACCATAGGTTTGTTCTGGGCTGCAGTCAGCAGTGATAGAGGCAACTACACATCGAGAGAATCCATGAGCAAGTGTACACAGATTAGAAATGTATATACCATCTTGTTATATGGCAAGAGTTTTATCACTTCTTGAGTCGTGCTCGATAGTCGCGTCGAAAGATGTTGTAGTATGAGACACTAAATACCATCTGTGGCTGTGCCACACACTCCATCCAGACTTCGAACATATGGTGTCACATAGAACGCAAGGATACCGATACAAGTACATAAGCAAGGTGATATACTTCAAGCTCAAATCACTAATTCCGCACGACCATTCGATGTTTTGACCGTAACATACCCTCCGCTCGCTTTGTTCTCCGAGTTGCCCCAGTAGGCAGACCCTCGGAGGCGATATCGCTCTCGTCTCTGAGTCACCTCCCTGCGACGTCCCTGTCCAGAAGGATCCTCAACAGGTAGCTCCTTGAGTGTGGCTGCTGCGTTAGAAGTCTGTAGGTCAAATGAGCCTTCGAAAGTGCTGTGTAACTTGACGCTCATTGCCGCGTTAGAAGAGTGGGTTTCCGACTTGAGAATTGAGTCGACAGGCATGTCGGTATATTCAAGGGCGACGCGCCCATTTGAAGTACGCGTTTCGACGTTAAAGATACCGCCGTGACCAGAGTCTGTGACGAGATCAACATTGGCATCAATTTTACTGAAACAGGAGGTCAGATGGTGGAACCGAAATAGGACGCGAGGCACATACCCGTTACTTGTTGTCATCTTGAGCCCACTGACAGTTCCATCCTCTCGGTTGAGGAGTGAAACAGACGCATCGATGGGGCCATTTGAAGTTATGAGCTTGAGAGAAGAGGCACTATTGAAATGCCCTCTGATGGCGCCATTGCTAGAGTGGATTGAACCATCTTCAGCGGTGACAGACTGATTGGCAGATATTTAGGTAAGCCATTTCAATGATTCAAGAAACCACAACAACCAACCTTTGCATACACATGGGCATTCGATGTTCTGAGTGACATTCTATCGAAGGAAATGGTGTTCCAAACATCTGCGACATCTTGACTATAATTGGATGTCTCCGTCTCGAATGATTTGATGTGCAGAGAATCTCCATTTCTCCCGGCGGGGAATGTGATCGTCACTTCAAATCCTAGCTGTTTTCCACTGCCAGGGAAGTACGAGAATGTGGGCGTCTACAGGAATTCATTGAGACGAAGGTTCAAGGAATGAGGATTGAAGTATTTACAAATATACCAACACCATTCTCATTCTTCCTTCGTTCAAGATGGCAGACATTGGCGCGGTCCAGCGCTTCGCGAGAGTTATAGCCAACCCGTACGTGTACACTAACTGTATCTGTCTGTTGAGTGGACTGCACGATATCAACACGACCTGATTGCTGAGAGCCCCTCGTGAACAAGTAGAGTGCATCAGAGTCAACGGGGAGCTCTAGGAATGCTTCGGCGCTGTGAGGAAAGTGGTTCAAGATTTTGTCGGACAATTTCCAGTTGGAACCACTGATGCATTGGTGGATGGTGCCATCCTGTGAGCTAGGATGAGGTGGGTCACCGTTCCAGGACTTATCAGATACGTGAGCCAAATGCGTACCCCTGAGTGAGAGAAATGACATACGAGTGGAGATCCATGATTGAAGGCCATTTCAGTGGAAGATTTGGTGAACGCAGCGATGAGGAACCAAATGAGTACAGCAACACCAAATGCTTTCCAGAAACGTTGTGCGGGTGACTGGCGATATACGACTACCACCACGTCTGTTATGGGTTGATAAGATGTCTGGGAAGTATAAGGAGGGGGTGGCGATGGCCCTGGAGTACTTGAGCCCTCGTGGAGTCCTGCCCTCTGATTGTTGGCTTTATTGTACGTGCCTTGTGGGCTCGTTTCAACAATTATCATGCTGGTGCTTGTTTCAAATCCACACACCCGTCGCTAGTAGTTCCTTTGTGTTTACCGAGGTGCTGTAATTGAAATTTGAGCTGGTAGCTGGCCTGGCGCCTTATAATTAAGCGTCTGAGTCATGCTGCGACGGCTGCGCAGTCCAACCGCAGTGCCACTCGCGCGTGACCTGTAATCGATATCAACCAATGATTGATCTGGCAGTATACAACTTTTCGCAGCAGGTGTACGAGCTCGAGGCTACTGATAACTTGCTCCGGGACACCGACGTCAAGCTTCATACTAAATAATTCCCACCCAATATTAATCCTTGTCTTCAAGTTGAATCTCCGAGCCTTAAGCTTGTGCGTGCTGTCGCTGATCTTGTTTCACTATAGAAATACCGCGCAAGACCGTAAGTTTCCAGCTGTACTGAAATTTATCCGTCTGTAGTCCTTGCCAGACCCAGTCGCTCCTTTTACAGAGCTGTCTGCTCAAAGTGCCTTCTTCGCAGGCGCACCAGTTAATGACAGGTGGATGAACCGTTCTCAGTGCGCGGCCCGGCTCATGCCAGTGGCGGCTGCGGTCAAGCCGTGGCTTATTCGCACAAGGAACTTGGGTAGACTACTGAAATTTCAGACATGCGGTATCCCGTTCTCACGGTGTTTCTTAGTCTTTTCCTCCAGTTGCCATGTATATGGTTTTTCAGAATTTCAGACCTGATGATGGCAATCTTTCTATAGCATAGCTCTACTGTACCCTACCATTACAGTACGGTCAGGAAATTGTAACATGTGATTTTGACTTACTAATCATCAGGTACACTGCCATTATCTAGTCTCTCCCAACTAGCCCAACAATATGGCTGCTCCAGTTGTTCCCAGTAGCTTTCAGATTTACAAGTACGTTTGATAATTCGAATCTTGCACACTGAAACGCATGCATGAATTGCTACAGCTCATACGTCGAAGATCCTAAATGGCAAATGAATTTCACCATAATTTGGTGCTCTGGCTTAGCACTGGCTGTGGCTGTCTCTGTTCCGAGTTTGATTCTTGGTTTGAGACATGGACGTTCCCTCAAGGGAATCGCTGGAATATCAGAGATCAATGGATATCAGCCCGCCCATTCCGATGGCAAGGAGCCACCGCCTACCCGTCAAAGACGTCCTAGGTTGGTTGGAGCTTGGAATGCTCTTATCTCACCGACGTATTGGTCTCCTCCAAAGCTCGGGCTCAATCTCGGACAAAGTGCGCATCGAGGGTGTTATGTTATCACTTATAGGAAATACTAACACATTGTAATATTCAGTCATAGTCTTATTGGCGTACCTCGCAGCTGTACTCGTCTGCATCATAAAGGATGCACCTCTTATTTCTAATCCGAACAGAGCGGGTGAGTTAGTCAATCTGTTCACGCACGAGAGGAACTTATTTGGGCCACTTAGGATTTCTCGCTCTCGCACAGTTTCCGGTCGTTTTTTTGTTCGCAACAAAAAACTCAATTCTGTCCTTATTGTTAGGACCAGGGAATGGCTACGAGAAACTCAACTTCATACATAGGATGGCGGGAAGAGCCATGTTCCTCGGCGGATGCATTCATGGGTCCCTGTGGATTCGCAACCATTTACAGTATGGACTTGCAATTCTTGGTCCGCAGAAAGAGACTTCGGGAGTGGTTTCGCTCGCCCTCCTCTGCATCATCGTCCTTACGTCTTTGAGGCCAGTCAGGAGACTGTTTTATGAGTGTTTCTTCGCCGTCCAGTAAGTTTTGTTGCCTCGCGTCGCACCACAGCTAACATTTCTTGAAGCGTTTTGACATACGTGGCATTCTTTGTTACCATATGCTACCATACGTTGTATGCATCGCCGTGGATATTCCCTCCCCTTGCATTTTACGGCGCAGATGTTTTATTGCGCCTATTCCGCTATCGAATCAAGGATGCTACCCTCACTGCGCAGGACGCTCACATGACTTTGGTATAGTATTCGAACGTTATTCGATGCACTGTTGACTTCATCTTTCACAGATCCGCGTTCATAATTGCGACGATGGCTGGCTTTCTGGCCAGCATGTCAGATTGCGCGTTTTCTTCTCCAACAGAGTTTTTGAATCCCATCCATTCACTATCCTCTCGGCACCACCGTCCCATTCTTGCCTCTCCTCACCTGGGTTCCTTCTCGCTGCACGAAGCGATGGAGACTGGACGCGGGCATTGAATAACTACACCCGACAGCAACAAGAACGTTCACAAATCAATGAGGAGGGCGATTCGGGTGCTTTCGTTCAAGTCATGCTGGATGGTCCTTATGGAGGGTCGAGTGTCGATCTGGGTCTGTACGAAAGCGTGTTTCTTGTAGCCGGCGGGTCTGGGGTCACATTCACTCTTGGTCTGCTGGACGACATCGTCGGCAGGTGTGTTAAACTAGGCCGCAGTCAGGATGAACGAACGAGGAGAATTGAGTTCACCTGGTCCATTGGATCATTCGGTATCTCATTTTTGACTATAGGCGTTACATCATTCTGATCTATCTGCACAGGCCAGATAGAATGGTTTGCCCCGATGCTGATAGATATTGCTACGGCAGCATCTAATAGCACGATCGACTTGCACATTTCTATTTTCGTAACGTGCCTTTGCGTTCCAGAAGCGGTACCTCATATCCCTAACTCCATCGTCACACTCTCGCGTCCATCTATTCAGAATATCCTCAAGGACTTCATCAATGTTCCGCCATCGTCTGAAAAGGAAGATTCAATCGAAACCCGATGTGAAGACAGCCAGAAATTGATGGGCTTGGGTGGGGGAATCGCGGTTTGCGCTAGCGGCCCAGAGAGCTTGACGAGAGACGCGCAGAATGCAGTCGCGAGATTGGGTTTGACAGTGGGTATGGATGTGGGGGGGATAGCTCTACATACAGAGCTGTTTAGTTTGTAACGCTGAGGTAGATTTCATCTTATACTGGCGTTCTTCAAGGATGTTGCATTTCGGTTTGTGGTTATCAACTTAACGCGTTTTCCGGCCCTTGACTGCTGATGTATAGCTTGTCGCGTGACATCATAATTTCCACTTCTCAGATCTCAGATCAAGATAATGAACATGTACTACGGGCTGCGAGGTTTAACGATCTAGTGTTGCCGCCGAGCTCAGGCGAATCGAATCGATGTGGGAAAGAGCAGCAATTCGACACTGCAGAATTGCAAACAATATTCGGAATCCGGATGTTCTGCATATGGTGACCAATATTTGCGATACTTATTGTGCCATCAGGATCTGCCAGAGAATTTAAAGTTGATGCACAGATCGCGAACACCCCAAAGTCATATGTCGACTTGCCAAGTCGTTTCCCGGCTCAATAACAAGGCAAGAAAAGAACCGTGGGTGTTCCGAGTGGATGGCCAATATTACCACACACGAATTAAGTAGGTCATGGACAGCACGGTTGATGCCCAAGTAGAAGATGTATCGTCGCATACTTGGATGCATATATTATTAACGGTTTGCCCTCCTGCTCACCTTTGGGAATAGATATACATGGTTCGAATCTATCACGCACAACCCATACACTCTATTCACAATACTGTCAAACATCGAGGTCCATATCAAACCTAAGGTGTCGCACGACCGGGCCATCGTGGATACAGTGAGCATTCCCTGGAAGACGTCTGCGTTAATGTAATTTTCTTTATCAATCATAATCGATACGTACCTCACAGTGAATCGGTTAGCCAGCCACGCAAGGAAACGCTACGCCAGATATGTCAGCTACTACATTTTTGCTCAAAAAAATAAAGAGAGACTGACCTCGACGCCCAGTCCGTACCCTCCATGCTGACAAGTACCATATTTGCGCTGGTCAGTGAACCAGTAATAAGGGGCAGGGTCAATGCCCTCGCGCCTGTATGCCGCCAATAGCTCTTCCATATCTGCTATCCTCATCGATCCGCCTGTCGTGTATTTAGTCAAAGGTAGTGGCGCACGGCAATTCAGTATTTCACATACCGACAATTTCGCCAACACCAGGCATCAAAAGGTCACAGCTCTCTGTGTACACAGGACCCTGCTCTCCCTCTTGCCTTGGCATCTTCTGCATATAGAAAGCTTTCAGCTCTGCAGGGAAGCCATACAAAAAGATCGGCGCCGCAATGATATCCGTCATCTGCCTCTCCGCAGCCTCCGCAATGTCGTCGCCGATTTCATGGTCGACCATCACGGGCTCGTCTTTACCAGTCTCCTCATCTTTCTTGGTAATCACGTTGCCGTCGGCGTCCTCGGCCGGGCGTTGGATCTTGTGCTCGTTGAGCCATGCGATGGCGGATGCGTAGGACATACGCATGAATGGACGAGAAGGCGCTTTAAAGTGAGGGTTCAGAGTTTTGATGAGGGCTGTGGTAGCAGGGTTGATGAGGAGTTTATCGACTGTCTCGCAGATCTGTAGATGCACTGAGAAAAAATTCCAGAAGATACAGTAGTGAGACATACAATGGCTTCTATGTGTGTCATGAGGTCATCGAATGTGATGAATGCAAGCTCGGCTTCAAGGTGCGTGTACTCGCTCAGATGTCGGCGAGTGTGACTGGGGAGGGACGAAACCGATCATTGGAATGAAAACACGTTCGGTGAATGGGAGGGTAGCACAAACCTGTTTTCAGCACGGAAGCTCTCCTGGACACAGAATACGTCGCCCAGGGAAGGTAGACATGTTTCAAGATAAAGCTGGGAGCTCTGCGTGAGGAACGCCGGTTGACCGTAGTAATCGAACTTGAAGAGCGTTGCGCCACCCTCCACTTGGGTTTGTACCAAACAGGGCGGAGTCACCTCCAAAAGGTCGTTGTCTGCATACGACTGACGGAAAGCTGAGAGAAGGGCTGCACGCAGGCGAAGCACAGAAGAAGCGGTCTCGCCACGGAGAACGAGATGTCGGAGATCAGCTAGAATCGACGGATCAGATTGCTAAAGGTACAGTCAACACATGCGCGAGGAATTAGTTAAACGACTCGGACCTCGTTGAGTCTGTTAGTAAATGCTTCCTCTGCACCAGGAGCGGCACCAAGGACGCGCCAATAGTCAACGACTAGTTCGTGTCCCCCAGGAGCGCGCTGGCCTTCAGGAACCGCCTTGAGCGTACCAGTTAGCTCAACTGATGCCTCTAGCTGTAATGTTACGGCATCGTATGTTTTGTTCTGGGGAATGAATCAGATCTGAGGTCCAAAACTGTGAGCTGCAAAAGTTACCGCATCCCCAGTAAGAACAGCCTGCAGGTATCCTGTCCCGTCCCGCAAGACAATAAACGTGATTTCTTGCTGGTCGCGTCGTCTGTGGACCCAGCCAGATACTCGAACGCGCTGTCCGCGAAGGGACTCCAATTTTACGATCTTGGACTGTATGATTTGAAAATAAGTAACATGATCACAACTCCAAGTGATCAACGCTGTTACCTTGACAGGTTTTGGGAGCGACGAATCTTCAGTAAGCACGATCTTTTTGCTTTCCTGGAGCCTTCGTTCGCGTTTCTCTGCCTTCTCTTTCAATTCTCTCTCTTCCGCTTGTGCTTTTAGACGTTTCTTCTCAAGTCCCTGGGCGTCCTTTTTGGCCTTTTTCGTCGCAGACTGAGTTGGTACATCGTACGCTGCATCTGCGTCCTTGCGGATCTGGTATTGTGTCGTCTCGGCTTCGGTGGTGGGCGTCGAGAAGAGAGCGAAGGCAAGGGATTGATAAGGCTGATCAACGGTCCCATTTCCAGACGCGTCGATGCCTGATGTTTGATCTATGTATATTGTCGACATTGAAGGTATCTCAATTGAAAGCTCTAAAGAACTAGATGGTGGTATGAGTCAAGAACTTTCTGTAGGTATCAGCACAGATCAGTACTCGTTTGAAAGTTAGTGACTCGTATAGATCAACCGTGCCCTGATTTGGTTTATCTATCAAGCAGCAGTATCTGATAAGATCTCAGATTTCTCGCTCGTCGGACACACATAGTGACCTGGAGACTAGAACGCAGGTAGCAAGTAAGCATTGATACATCATGCACCATGAGTCTGTCCATGACCAACCATGGTGCTGGGTCGTTCGAAATACGCGTTCCAACTGTGGTTGGTCAGTCTTGAAATCTCTTAAAACAGATTGGTAACTTGAAATCACTAGGGTATATACCGTAAAATATGAGAGAAGAATCTTGCATCACTGCAGCAAAGGTGAACAAGGGACATATCCAAGTAGGGAGAGGAAGGGTGTATACACAACCGTATCAGATACACCCAAAACATCAGAGACAAAAGTATAAAAGCCGATCAAACCGTTGTATAAAACATAACCCAGGTCCGACGCAAACACGTTTGGCAGCGAGGTGGCTATCGCTTCCCACCTTTGATCATTCCTACACCAGTGACGTCGTCTCGTACAGTGTCCCACTCTAAATCCATTGGGTCGTCAGCGTTGTCAGACGATGCTGGCTGTCGTGCTGCAGATGTTGATTTGTCGTCTCCACACCCGCAGTCATATGTTTCATCAAGGTGGGCACAATCAAATGACGGCTTTGCTAACCGCTCGTTGACTTTGTTGTGTACTGAGCACAGCCTGACCACGTGTGAGCAGGCGAGGCTGAAAGAAGGGAATATTTTACCATAGACTTGCTGCCAATCTTGATCCTGTCTGTTGAATGCTTAGCTGATGAAGTTCGAAGTTGAAGGGAATCTACCTGGGGCGGGAATTTCTTCAACAATTCTTGAAATTCAGCTGCGCATTCGCCACAGGGATATAGGCGCGACGTAAGATGCAAGTACGAACTCAAAGCATCTCTTTCGTCCTGTGTCGGGTGCTACATATGTGATCTCGTCAGCATGGTCGACAGACTTAGACATCAAACCCACCCTACCTCAGGGTACCGTAGAGTCATAGTATGGCTACCTTACACAACAAGTAACAACGTTCAGCAGATATTCTTGATACAATAGACCAAATACACACAGCAACTTCCACGTCGCGCGACCAAGTTCCGCCCTGTAGTAGGTGTGTAAGACCCGATGTAACCCCACCTCACATTACCTACTTGGCTGTCTCATTCCCCAACTTCGACATGATAACACCTCCCTGCGCTGACGAGGGCCTTGCACCATCATAAAGAGGAGGACGTAGATCCTGTTCGACGCCGCCTTCACCGAAGAAGTCGCCAGTCCATGGGTCGATGTACGCGCGGTAAGGGGGGTGAAGGAATGCTACTGTGGCCAGCAGAAACTGAAACAATCATTTTGGAGAAGACCTGGGATATAGTGTTGAAACACGTACGAGGCCAAGGACAATTGTCAGAAAAGACTTTGCAAACCGGGAAATCATGATCTGTGTACAATGAATGAAACTTCGAAAGCCGCTTCAATGCAACCGAGTAACTTGGGGTAGACTGTCTGAAAAAGGCAGGTGGAAACTCCCGACATTAGGCTAGATCCTAAATTATTTATCACTTCAATGACGATCATCGATGCGCTTGATACTGGCCTTATAACTTGCTAGACTGGTCATTGCAGAGCATTCCGATATGTTCTATGTGATTGGTCTTGGACTCTGCGATGAGAAGGACATCACAGTCCGTGGATTAGAAGCAGTCAAATCCTGCTCCCGAGTCTACTTGGAAGCCTACACGTCCATCCTAATGGTGAACAAGGACCGCCTCGTCAGTCCATCATCACACCATTCTTCTCTCACCGCTCATATGCGCACAAGGAAGCCTTCTATGGCAAGTCGCTTATCCTTGCAGATCGCGACATGGTAGAGCTCGAGAGCGATGACATCTTACGGGACGCGGCCACCGAAAACGTTGCGTTTCTCGTCGTTGGTGATCCGTTTGGGTGAGGCCGTCCTCTTTCCGTTTCTTGTATGCATTGGCTTATTATCCATCTGCAGCGCGACGACACACACGGATTTACTGCTAAGAGCTCGCGATCTGCAGATTCCTACTCAAATCATCCATAATGCATCTATCATCAACGCAGTGGGGTGCTCGGGGCTTCAGCTCTACAATTTTGGGCAGACAGTATCTCTGGTCTTCTTTACAGACACGTGGAAACCAGACTCGTTCTACGATCGCATCGCGGAGAACGCCAAGTTGGGGCTGCATACCCTGGTACTTCTTGACATAAAAGTAAAGGAACAAAGCGAAGAAAATCTAGCAAGGTGTTTATATCCCTCATCTTCTCTGGCCCCTTTAGTTTCTGATTCGTTTTGAAACACAGAGGAAGAAAAATATACGAGCCGCCACGATACATGTCTATTCGTATAGCCGTGAACCAGCTTCTCGAGATCGAAAGCATTAGAAAAGAAGGCATCCTTGATGGCGATTCGACGCTCGCTATTGCACTATCGCGTGTTGGCAGCATACCCTCCGGCGAAGAATCGACAGATGATGACCACGGTACACAACGTATCGTCGCAGGTACTCTCTCGGATTTGCAGGTCCAACCAGAGTTTGTGTTTGGAAAACCACTCCACAGCCTCATCATCGCTGGTAAGAGGTTGCATGAATTAGAGGCGATTTATGCTGGCGCCTTTGCTGTTAATAAGGAGAACTGGAATCGGATCGCAAAACAAACATCTTAGGTCAAATAATCGTAAACTATTATAACACGCATCCTATGTGATTTGGCAAAATTCTCAAAGCACGTCAGTGAGTGAAAATGGTGGCGAGCACCGAAAGAATATATACATATGGTACAAAAGCATCGAGACAGCAATGTCGGATAACAACAAGATGAGCTTGTCAGTTGGGCCGTAAAAAACAGCAATACCCAAACGTGAAATTCCACACCCTGCCCAGAAACTTCAAATTACATACACATTTTCCTTCTTCATCTGATAACCATCTAGCTTGCGGAAGTACTCAAGGCGCGCCAGGCGTTCCTCCTTGTATCGCTAAAGGTTGGAGAAACAATTATCAGTGAGGAGCAGTCCTCATGAACATAGCTAGCGAACCTCGCGGGTTTCATCTGACAATTCCATCAAGCCATCGAGGGGCTTCGCTTTCTCCTTCCCCTTACTCCGAGGCTTCAAGGATGATTTTTTGACACCCTTTGACACGGGTTTAGCACTTTTTGGGGCAGGCTTTGCACTTGATGATGGCTGTGCTCTCGGTCCAGGCTTCCTCCGCTTCGGCTGTTCCTCATCACTACCAGTGTCACCCGCAGGATCGACAACTATCCTAACTCTTCCTTTACCCCCAGTTTTCGCTATGGAAGCTGTCTTCCGCATAGCTGCTCTGCGCGGCAAGAGCTTCTCCAAGTTCTTGCACGCCTGTCTGGGGCTCAGCGAAGCATCTTCTTTAGTACGTTTGTGAGGCTTGGACGCATCATGCTGGGATTTTCCCTTCCCTTTCGCCTGTGCACGTGTAGTACGTTTCGGAACAGGAGTATGCTCCTCCGATGTTTCTGGGTGATCTGACGGTGTTTGGGGTCGTCTAGCGGCTACGCTAATCTTTACAGGTGATGGGCTGGATACTGCATCACTGGAGGCGGGAGTGGCAGCTTCAATGTCACGTTTACGTTTTCGCGGTGTCCGGAGGGGATCGCGACTGCGCGTTGGCTGGTCTCGTAAAATGTCCAAGCGAGGTTTAAGTAGGGCTGGAACTACTAACTCCGAGCGAACTGAAGCGGGGGAGCACGACGGCGTTGGAATATACGAATAACGCAAAATCGGCGCAGGGACTGGAATAGATGTCGTGATTGGTTCGTCGAGATAAAGATCGTCGATGTCTTCATCGTTTGTTGGGATGGGGACTGAGGAAGCGGCTGGGCGTGTTGGAGTAGAAGTAGCGCGATTAAGCTGTCCTCTGGTACGTGTTGCATGTGGTGTGACGCGTACAGCAGTAGATTGAACGTATTTGCGTTTCTCGCTTGGTAGACGTGCAGCGCGTCGTTCTTTCAGTACCTTCTCGGTCGCTAAAAACCCAAATGGGTCTGAATCACCACTTCTAGGATCTATCTCCTGTGCATGGCGATAAAACGCCGCCATGTTGTACTCATAGGTATTTGCATGCGATGTTGACGCGTAGTTCTGTTGTCCACATGTGGAAGTCGAAGCGAGCGGCGAGCTCGGAGGGAGTGGTGATGTTGGCTGCCAATTAGGAGGATCGGCTGGGAATGCGAGGCTTTTTGGTTTCTTTGGCCGTCGAGGTGGTTTGAGGCTTGCAAACGCGGAAACTGCTTTGATCGGAGACGGTGAAGGTGGATGAAAGAACTCATCAGTGATATCACGAAGCGCATCTTCATGAGAAGGTGTTCGAGGCAGATTTTCCAGCGAGCGGGGTGGTGGTGGAATATAAACGCTGAACGGGTTTTCTTCGGCCTCATACTTGTCCCTATCACCAATGGCGAATATATTCTCGTCGTTTTCTTGCTCAATCTCTGAATCAGAGTTGAGATATTCTTTCTCAACTTTGACCTCTGCTATCTCCTCGCTTTCATGGGCTGCCTGAGCTCGTTGTCTGCGCGTTCTTGGTGGCATTGTCGACGTTGTGGTGGAAGGGGCGTGGGAATACGAGGACAATGAGCCAAATGCGCGAGGTAGCGATTGCGGCATCACGTGAATTGAGTTTCCTTATTTATCCATGAGTATTTCGCAACCGGCTGTAGTGGTCGAGTGATCCGGAAGTGACGGAAGACACAGTTTCTAAAAACCTTGACATGCACCAGGGCAGATCCGTTAGGAATTCACGCTCGTGTGCACGCGGATTATAAATCAAAACGATGGTACCATCTACTATATTATTTATTCACAACAGATCTAGACTCCAGCAATCATTGGGTCCCGTTCATCGATCATTATATAGGTGCGAGTACACACACTGCAATATCAGATTTCCTGATTTCACTATCTCAGAAATTCATCATGCCACATATGTTATCCTCTGCGTCTCGTACTCGCGTAATTACCTCGATCGCCCGCTTCCAAAACCTTGGCCAGCGGTGTATGAGCGTCCGCCCATTAAAATATGAGCATCCCACAAACACACCCGGCGAATCTTCCCCGCAGAAACAAGCTTTACCGCCTCGTGAGTGACGTTTTACCTTAATCGCCAACCCGATTTCGAATCATGCACAACAGCCCGCAAAAAGGTGACAATCGCCTCTCTGCACGCCCTCCGTCAAGAACGCACCCCGATCACTGTGCTTACAGCGTATGATTATCCCACTGCACGTGCTGCATCTACACACGGCATTGATGTCACCCTTGTCGGTGACAGTCTAGCCCAGGTCTGCCTAGGCTATTCCAGCACCACTTCACTCACTCTTGATGAAATGCTTCACCATTGCCGCGCCGTTGCCCGAGGAACAACCGCACCACTTCTTGTTGCAGACATGCCGTTCGGAAGCTTTTATGCCGGGAAAGAAGACACGGTTCGAGCAGCTGTCCGCATGCTCCAGGAGGGAAACGTGGAAGCCGTGAAACTGGAGGGAGGGAGTGAGATCGCTGGACGTGTGCAAGCACTCACGAGTATCGGAATCCCCGTAATGGCCCATGTGGGGTTACTACCACAACGTCACACCGCGCTCTCCGGGTACCGGGTCCAGGGGCGCACAGCACAGTCTGGTAGATCGATTCTGCACTCGGCCCTCGCCCTAGAGGAGGCAGGAGCGTTCTCCATTGTTCTCGAGGCCATTCCTTCCTCTCTTGCTGCATACATTACGTCGCGGTTGAAGGTGCCCACTATTGGTATTGGTGCCGGCCCGGGTTGCGCTGGGCAGGTGCTTGTGTGGGACGACGTAATGGGGACATGGGCAGGGCACAAGGCAAAATTCGTCAGACGGTTTGGGGATGTTAAGAGTGAGGTCGAACGAGGTGTAAAGGCATATGCCAGTGCTGTTAGGAATGGCGGCTTTCCTCAACACGAGAAGGAGGGTTATCGAATGGATGACGGAGAAATGGAGAAGCTATTGGAGATGGAAGGTGACCGAGAGTGGACGTGGAGCCCTCCGGAACTGATGTCAAACTGACCAGATGCTTCAATGTGGCTGTGCATCTATTATTAATTGGGATCCCGAGGTGTACGTAGGTACTATGATGAATTACAAGTTAGTCTATACTTTTTTTTTGGATTTAGGAGACTTGCTTCGAGACATGTTGAGGAATCATGAAAAGATTTATTCCCGTGTATGGAGGAAATAAATAGATAAGAAAACGCACAAGAGGTTGGCGAGTCTAGATCTTGACACCGAACTTGGAAATACGAACGGAGTCCGTATCCTACTACATAAAGTCAGTGGAAGTTTAAAACAAGTGTAAGGCAAGCATGTCGTTGTCAATCTGCGATGCGATTTTCTGGAGCTGTTCGAGCTTCTCAATTCAGCACCTTGGGGTATGCCGATAATTCTGCCTCGAAAACCACCGGTATACAATGTGCATTGCTCAACCAAAAAATCACTCACCAGTGTGCATCCGCCCCATAGTTCTCTAAAGCATAGCCAACCAGGTTCTCAAAAGTCGAGAACGGTGGTCGTTCGGAAGAGTGATGATATACACGTCCGCCTCTTCAATATCGCGGAAGGTGAAGACACATTCGTCGATACTTTTGACGTGGAAATGCATGCACTTGCTGTTTATTCCCACCGGCAGGGCCTCAGACGTTTCTAGACATGCCAGCGCGATAGCTCTGATTATTCTGCAACTGCAACTCAACCTTGCATCAGCACCAGCAGAACCTGTTGGCAAACTTGTCAGTACAAATGCACACAAATCTTGGACAGGAGGAGGGGGACTCACTTCTCGTTATACGCCCACTCTATATTCCTCATCGTTCCAGGTCCATACCACATCATTTGTGGCAAATGTTCATTTCGTATGACCGTCTGCCCACCCGTCCTCTTCGCAATATCTCTTAATCCTTCTCCCAATTTCCACACTTCTACTTTCCCAATTCCGCTTCGTCTAGCCGCCTGTCTGATCTTCGAAATTAGCCCAGGGAATGTCTCTTCACTGGCACAGAGTCGCGTAATGATTAGCGTTGGCGGAGGGGGTCTCAAGTCGACGCTCCAGCATGCGTATGTGTCTGGGTCGTTCAAGGACTGTATACCCCAGACTCCGCCTGACATGGAAAAATCCGAGGCATACGTTGAACGTGGAATGTGGAACCCGCAGACACCGTTGGTGGGCAGGTACGTCACGAATGCTGCCGGGCGCTCCACTTCGTATGAGGTGTCGCTTGTCAACATGTTCTCCAGCTCTTTCTTAATGCGCCCAGCATCGCGATCCCACAGCCCGTTCAGCTGCTCCTGCGTCAACCACGTCCATCCATTGTCATCCCCCTCCTCTGCGCCCACGTCCCAAATAGTCGAAACGGCTCCCCGCGTCTCCCATCCACCCTCTTTACCTCCAGGGCCTGCCGAGCGATAAAAGTCTTCCCCAACATCGCTGTACAGGCAAGAGAACAGTCCTTCACTAGCTTCTGCTACCTGTTCCGGTGGTGCGCCCCATGCCTCTGGGAACTTGGGGAGATTGACACGCGAGGCGATAACCCAATGTAAGAGGCTCATCATATGGCTTGCGTAGCCGCGCCCGCGCTTGGAGGGTGGGGTGAAGACACTTGCAATGGCGTAACAGGTTACTTCGTGCACTGAGTTGGGCTCAGACGTAGAAGAGGAGGGGTAAGCGACGAGACCTGAGCGCTTAAATCTGCCCCCATAGACACGCATCAGAAACATTGACGCGTTCGTTGAGAATACTCAAGTAGCTCACGTCTCACAGGAACACATGAAATTAAGAGTGGTTGGGTCGTCCCGTGGCGCCAGCACCCTTCCTTTCCCATTAACTTCTTCCTGCAGGCAAAATGTATTACTCACCAGGTGATAAACTTTCCATCCTTTGCGTGATCCATAGATTCCATCTCAACTTCTCGCGCAAGGTACTCTGTGAGACTCAGAGTGCCACCCCACTGTGGCCACGTTCGGCACCACGACTCCTCAACCTGCGCACGCGTCGCGGGGAAGAGCGAGAGCGACGCAAAGTCTACCTTTGATTCTATCATCGGTGATAGTCTTTGCAGTATGATGATCTGGTGTTGAGGGAACTTTGCTAGTGACTAGATTGAAAGTAGTGGGGCTGAAAGTTATGTCTCTATTACAACCTCACCGGTACACACACTCGATGCCGTCCAGCGTAATAATCTTCCGAGTCTATGTAGCTAGACGTGTGGTACACTGACCAAGTGCCGGTCGAAGTACTTCAAGGACCGGCACTTGCAAAAGTTCAAACTCCGTGCTCCGCCTGTTAGAGGCAGTTCGCCATAACCGTTTCAGCAAGAATGCTCCCAACCAGTCATAATCAACTGCACTGGCACTGGCTACATGCGTCCGACATTTGTCTTCACAGTTTCAAGCCCTACCGCGACATTAAGCGAGTATCACACACCTCTCCAACAAACTTTCAAGCTCAAGTCTTACGTCTCATGATCACTCACCTTACGGCTCGCTGTAGACTAATATAAGTATTTGCATGTCTACGGTGCGTCTTGATTGTTGATCCCCGTCAGGAAGGGAACGTCTCCAGTACTGTGCACCAAGAAGATTAAGCTTTTGTTACTTTCGCCTGCAGTGAATTCGAGCCCGAGAGCGACCATTATGCGCATCATAAATAGAAAATACAAGAACATTGTAGCCAATGATGTGTGAGCCGCAAAGTAGTCTCGTCTAGCATTCCGATCAGCATCAGTGGTCGTCCGCGCCCGGCCACCCCCAGCTAACGAGCCGAGTCGCTCCGTCATGCCACGTCTGTACTCTGCGGCTAGCTAGTGTGGACATCGTAGAACCACGGGTGCCAACGAAGCCAGCTCCATTCGACTGAATGATAGCATCAAGGAACACCGGATGCCTGGTAACAGCCACAACTTTTAGCGTCAGAATGAAAATATGACATCGAATCGGCTCACCATTTTCCATAGATCTCCTCTGTCCGTTCCGCTGCATAATCTACCCACGTCCACCCCAACGCCCGAACATCTGACCACCATTCCGGGTCCCTTTCGTCGCTCGTCATGATAACATGTGTTACATGAATTCCTTTTCGTGTGCGAAGCTCTTCTTGCACCTCAGAAACCCTGCGCGCAATAACAGACAACGGGGCAAAGCACTGGTCCACTGGAAACCCCTCGCATTGTTTGCTGAAGTCACCATGCCGTATGTGGATCGATATATACTATCGAAAGTTAGATCTGTAGAGCAAGCTTTGCCCGAAACTTTGACTCACGGGAGGTGTTGGTTGAGTTACTGGTACATTCATGGCGCGTCGAGCATGCGCATCGGCAATCTTTTCCATGCTTGCAGTCCATCGCATGTGTTGGCCTACAAATCTCCATGCAGGAGAATAGTCTAATTCCCATTCCCATGTATGATGGGCGCTTACGTAGTAAAGCAAATCGAAGCATAATACGTGATCGTCTGGGGGAAGGGAAACCTGGTGCTGAGAAGAAGGATGATTCGTTAATGATAATTCCAGGCTTTTGGAGCGAGCCTCTGGAAACCCAAGTGATGCGAGAGACCAAAAGGATGCATGATTGTGATGTATGCTAGGAGATGTCAGCTCGACCCAAGCTGGGGTTCGCGTCCACGAAATATCTGTGATGGCCATGCGTTTAATCACCGAAGAGGGATGTTCGAAGTCATCTCACCGAGCTTGAGCACGTTCAGGGAGGGACTTCGTCGTGGTTCAGGAACCTTGATGTGCCGTTGAACGGTTTCCCAAACAGTCCAACAACCAAGATCATCGACAACCTGACTTTCTGGATCCTTGACTTCGTGCCATTGAAGCAAGTGAATCCCTATGGCTTGACTGAGTCGAGGGACGTCAAATATTTCCTCGAAAACAAATGGAGGTGCACTTGGGTCGATATGGTTAGAGAGGAACTTTGGGATTATGGGTATACGTTCTGTTATGAGAGCGAGGTATATCAAATTGCCCTAGTTTTTGTGAGGAACCGGGACGACGTCGGAAGCAAATCGTTGACTTACATAGGTTATCACGTCATTCGCTAACAAATAGCTGTGATCAGTGGTTCAAGTGGTATTTGGTTGGAGTTGACGTACTCCATCCCGCTGAACCCCACGATGTAATGTATTTCGTGTCGTTGCGAAGGTTATCTGAGATCAATGTTATGGTAAGACCCAAGCCTTGGACGTTTTCACTGAATACTGACCTCGAAAGCGTTGGGTGGGTGGACCTTGGACATACAATTGCGAGTTAAAGATATTATATTGCGCAGGAGTACTCTGTATGTCCAGGCTATAGCTTGAGGGCTTGAACAGGAGATTTCCCAAGGCGAACAAAAAGACAGCCGTCAGAGCCGCGCATATCGTCCTGAGAGACGGCTTTTTCCCTTTAGTAAACTTGAAGAACATGGGAATATCGAAATGGATTCTCTGGGAGGTCGTATGTGTCTTATCTCGGGCTCTCTCCTAGCAAGCACTCGTCTGACTGTCTGCTCGGTTCATACAAGGGTATGAGAGAGAGAATTTCTGTGTTTATGTACGGCAGTAAACAACTAAAACTGTCAAGGCCGCGGCTCGGTGCGCGCCTTGCAGGCTGTGCCGGGGATATTATACCGAGTTATAGGTTGTAGGCAATAAGACGAATAATAGCTGGGGAGGGCCTGGAGGATACCCAATCAGAATATTTGTATACGGATCGTGCTAGTGGACATCATGCGGCAATTAAAACTGCTATTTCGGGCAAGTATTACATAACTACTAGGCCGCAGAGCCACGGACCAATTCCCCCGTTTTAACATCACCTCAGAGTCTCGACAGACTCGTATTCAAGCTTCTTCCATCCACTCAGTCATTCCAATACAAATAACCACAGGAAACAGTATAGGGAACAATGTTATTCCAGAATACGCTTTGGCACACGTTTAAGCATCAAATACTTGCTCAAACTTCACCAACAACTGTTCAAACGATCGGACAGAACTTAGCACTTCCGCCGGGAGAGCATGGAATAAGGTTTGGGATAACGTCGAGAGAAGTTATTCTTACTTCAATCAGAGACCTGCGTCTGCACAAGGGCATGTGAAGGAGATGCAATAGAAACTCAAGGGGCTTCATATCCCTGTTGTGAAGGCCCCTGCTGGAGATGGTGTGATGCCCCAGGTGCCTCTGAAAGTACAGCTGGTGCCGGTGAGGGACAATGATTTTGTGTGGTAGGCTACGACTCGGGGCCGATACCCGCCTGGAATTTTAAATTCATTCACTTCAGAATACCTCATTGGCTAATGAAAGTATTCTCTGTGTCCGAACTGCGTGCGTGAGAGTCGCAGAAATTGATTACCGACTACTCACACCAGATATCTAAAACCAACGGGGTGTAAAAGCTTGTTTATATCCTTCACATTCCGCTTGTCCCTCTCGATTCATTCATTCACTCGCCTCAAATACAAGTACATCACACCAAACATTGTCGTTGACACCCCAAGTGCTGCGAGGCAGATGGCGTAGGAATAATGATACGTAGGTCCCCAGTTGATCGGCCAGACGAATCTATAAGACATGTCAAATTAATAATCAACGAGAGTGAGAGATTGATGGGACTAACGCTCCAATGATATTTCTGGTCTGCAACAGTCCATTGATCAAAGCGATTGCAACAGCTCGCTTGGCAGGTTCTCTGGCGAATACATTGTTGATCCATCCCCAGATCACCATATATGCAGCAGAGATTTGAGCCATGAGGAAACTGCACGTCTCTGAGTACAAGAGACAATGCTTTATGTGCAATGATTCTACTTACACCGAAGTATAGTGTGCAGCCGTGTTCATTGTGCAGATGGATATGATGAAACCAACACCAGCGAGTGCACTCGAAACAACAAGGAACACGTGACACTTTTGCGTCTTATCAGAGTACCTGATCGTTCATGAGATGTGATTCAAGATAGAGACCGTTCACTGACCTTGAGATAACAAATGCAACTATTGTAGAGAATACCCATGGAGGAGCGCAGAGCAGCAAAGTGTTCATTGTATCATATCCAAGAGTCGCGACGATCATCGGGAAGTAAATGATGAATGATAGCGCCACAAACTGGATAATGAGTGCAACTGAAAACCACCACACCTTCCAGTCGCACACAGCATCCCGCAGTCCTTGCATGGTCGTCCGTTTCCCAAGTTCGTCAGTGCCATCTTCTGCAAGATGAGAAATAGCAAGTGCTCTTTCCTCTGCAGTAAGCCATTTGGTATTGTGTGGGAAATCAGGAAGAATGAAAAAGGCACAAATCGCGACTAGAATGGTGGCACTGCCCTCGATGTAAAATAACCATCTATAGATATTTCAGCTTCAGCGAGCATCAAAGACGAACATTTCTTGCCTCCACACAGCTTGTCCAAGTTTTCCCTGCATGCCTGTAAGTATACCTGATGCAAACATGGATCCGAACCCAGAGGCGAGAACAGATCCGCAAGTAACGAGAGTCGTTCTTACAGCGAGCTCATCTCGCTTGTACCATCCAGATATTAGATACAGAACGCCAGGGTAAAACGGGGCTTTGACAAAGCCGAGAAAGAAACGGGCCATGTTAAGACCGTGCACAAAGGGTAGGACTGATTCCAAGGGGCTTGGCTTCAGCTCGTGCGCTGCGCCCCTTACCCGAGTATGTGCCCTTAACTTCAGAATGAAGTCCGGAGAAAGTCCAGTGAAGTCCGAAGGACTTCCGGAGGAGCGTGGGAAACTTCGGAAGGACTTTCCGGACGAGTGTGGGAAAGTTCCGGAGGAACTTCCAGAAATTACGATGGAGTTTCGTCCTGACGGGGATATGTGTAATGGCTACTCAGGACAAGTCCTAAGTAGAAGCAAACAGAGGAAAGGCTGCAAGGACAATGTCCGAAGCAGAATAGGTCCGGAGGACCGCGGGAAAGTTCCAGAGGAACTTCCAGAAACTTGGAGGATCAGAGGAATGGTGGATCGGAGGAGTGGAGGAGTGGAGGAGTGGAGGATCGGAGTTCCGGCCTAGGGAATTCCTCCCTAGGCCTGAGATGGATAATGACTAAGTCGGAGGACTAGAACTGTTATGAGGACTTAGGGTGAAGGCTAGTGCGAGGACTAATATGTGTAATATTCAGACTGAGGAAATACAGGAGTATCTACTGGGGTTTATATACTAGAGGCAAGTCTGTGCAGATCAGTAAGCAGAGGGGTAAGGCTATGTACGAGCATGTGGAAATGTATTAGAAAATAAGATGGATCATAGGAAATGAACTTGGAGATGAAATGAGGTACGGAAAATGAGTATAGTCTAACTTGAGAAGGAACGTACAAAGGGAAAAGGCACGGAAGATAGACGTGGGTTGGATCTGGATGTTCGGAAGTCCAGAGACAGGTGATTACCATAAGGGGATGGGCGCTGATTTAAGGTTTGAGTTCGGACATGACAGATAGGTCTGATCCGGAGATCCGGAGATGTGGATATCAGATCTGGCGTCCGGATATCAGATGCAGGAGTACAGGGATCTGGACGGATAGAGGATTGGGTCTGGAGACATGGTGTCACGAGTTCCAAATACGAACCATTATACGTTCCTAAATTCTAAGTCCTTTAAGCGCCCAGTCACAGCGCCTGTTACTAAGAAAGTATTTATAGTTGAAGATGTCCCAACAACGGCGTCTATTGTAGAGTTACCTAAAGAACCTATGAATGAGTCACGTGACTTATTGGAGTATGCCGGACTAAACTTTATTCCAAACGACCCTGACAGAATGTTCCAGAACCTTACGGTTGCTGCGGCACATGTCATGACATCATAGTTATATATAAAATCGTACGATATCATCTTATTATTTGATTGGTAGTTAGTTCAGACTCAGTTTCGATCTCAGTTACAAATATGTGTATATAGGTAGTGTCTTGTAGTCAGTAGTTCTTTAGTTCAAACCTCTTGTATCTCCAAGTGAGCAATACCAAGACGTACCTGCTGCCTTATCCTCTTGTGATTATCTTGTTGTTTGAGTCCTAGTCTCTGCCCAGCGTTAATTCGTTATTGGGTTGTGACACATGGACAGGAGGTCCGGAGGTCCGGATGAGGCGTGGGAACGTCGTCGGATGTTGGTCCGAAATGCGGGATATGACAGGCCAGAAGAATACCCATATAACTTGAGTCGAATCATCAGACACTACAATGATGAAAACCGAGAATACGCACTTATTTGTGATCCCTAGATACGGTCAGCATTCATATCCATGAACGACCAGTGTCGACAAACCTGTTAATGTTGATACTAGACCCCAGACCACCATACTACCTGGTATCAGTATGGATGGTTTCTCTAGCCAGTGCATGACCATTGTCATATCCTGCATTCTGGACCAACATCCGACGACGTTCCCACGCCTCATCCGGACCTCCGGACCTCCTGTCCATGTCTCCAGACCCAATCCTCTATCCGTCCAGATCCCTGTACTCCTGCATCTGATATCCGGACGCCAGATCTGATATCCACATCTCCGGATCTCCGGATCAGACCTATCTGTCATGTCCAAACCCAAACCTTAAATCAGCGCCCATCCCCTTATGGTAATCACCTGTCTCCGGACTTCCGAACATCCGGATCCGACCCACCTCTGTCTTCCTTGCGTTCCGGACCCAGACCTATCACGCATTCATCTCCGGACATCCGGATCCGACCCATGTCTATCTTCCGTGCCTTATCCCTTTGTATGTTCCTTCTTGAGTTAGACTTCCTCATTTTCCGTACCTCGTTTCATTTCCGGCTTTATTTTCCTATGTCTTCATCTCCGTCTTCATTTACTATTTTCCGATAGACTAGTGTTTGACTTTTCTACATCCTCCGTCCACAGCCTCGCATAGCTTCGGACTGCGCTGACTGACTCTCCGTTAAGTCCTCTGTAGTATATAAACTCTGTAGAATCTTTGTACTTCCTCAGTCTGAATATCATACACATATTAGTCCTCGCACTAGCCTTCACCCTAAGTCCTTGTAACAGTTCTAGTCCTCCGACTTAGTCATTATCCATCTCAGGCCTAGGGAGGAATTCCCTAGGCCGGAGCTCCGCTCCTCCGCTCCTCCGCTCCTCCGCTCCTCCGCTCCTCCGCTCCTCCGCTCATCCACTCATCCACTCATCCGATCCTCCATTCCTCCGAGTTTCCGGAAGTTCCTCCGGAACTTTCCCGCGGTCCTCCGGACCTATTCTGCTTCGGACTTTGTCCTTGCAGCCTTTCCTCTGTTTGCTTCTACTCAGGACTTGTCCTGAGTAGCCATTACACATATCCCCGTCAGGACGAAACTCCATCGTAATTTCCGGAAGTTCCTCCGGAACTTTCCCACACTCATCCGGAAGTTTCTCGCACTCGTCCGGAAAGTCCTTCCGAAGTTTTCCACGCTCCTCCGGAAGTCCTTCGGACTTCACTGGACTTTCTCCGGACTTCATTCTGAAGTTAAGGGCACATACTCGGGTAAGGGGCGCAGCGCACGAGCTGAAGCCAAGCCCCTTGGAATCAGTCCTACCCTTTGTGCACGGTCTTAACAACCATATTCTATGAGGGCTAGACACAAGAGTCAGACCTCAGTCGTAAGATAATGGACTGTATTAGTAAGTACCTAGACACAAGAGTCAGACTACGTAGTGTCGTTAGTCTAGGTATCGTATGAAGGAACGAAGTGACATACCCTCAGTCATAAGATAACGGACTGAGGAAAGAGGGAAAAGTGAAAGTGAACCATTATATAGCAGACTGAATTCCTGTCGTATACTCCGCTAGAGTGTATTGCGTTGTCGTGTGCACGCCAGTGCGCCAATACTCCTCCTCAACGCAATACGTCTCCTCGACTTCATCACCGTAAACCTAGGTAACTGCGGAGCCGACCATAGTCCTTTTTTGCGAGAGCTTTCGTGAAGATATCAGCGATGTTTTCGTGCATACGGACATAGTGAACTTTGAGTTGGCGTCGTGCGACTCGTTCGCGTATCGAATGATAGGCAATGTCGATATGTTTGACCTTAGCGTGGAACGACGCGTCCTCGGTGAGGACAATAGCTCCGTTGTTATCACACATAAGGGGAGATGCGGAGGTTTGTCCGAAGCCGAGTTCGTTAAGGAGCATGCGTAACCATGCGATCTCTTTACCTGCCTCAGAAGCCGCGACATATTCTGCTTTGCACGTTGATAGGGACACCGTTTTCTGCTGCCGTGCGCTCCAGGTAGCGACACCAGCACTGAGTGAACAGGAATAACCGCTGATGGAACGTTGAGTGTCGATACAGCTCGCGAGGTCGCTATCTGTGTATGCAAGAAGGCGTGCAACGTGTTTGCCACCCAGTACCAGTCGCAGAGTTTGGGTGCCTTTGAGATACCGAACCATGCGTTTAGCGGCCTCCCAGTGAGCTGGTCCATAAGAGTCCAGAAATTTGCAAAGCTGTTGCACAGCATATGAGATGTCGGGACGCATCCCAATCGCGAGGTACATCAGTGAGCCGACGAGCAAACAATAGGGTGTGCGGGACATAAGGTCACGTTCTGTATCATTGCGCAGGGAATGGTCCCTTCGGGATAACCGTAGGCCAGGTTCCATGGGAACGGCACAAGTAACAGCGTCTTTGAGGCCAAACTGAGTGATGATGGGATCAATTAATGCGGTCTGGGAGAGTGAGATGGTGCGAGCATCACAGTCACGTGCGATGGCGATACCGAGGCAGAAATGTGCATCACCAAGCTCTGCTACTTGCCACTTTGTGCATAATTCAGCTTTGAAATCAGTGAGGGCTTGTTTAGTGCTGCTAACGGTGAAGAAGTCGTCAACATGTACAGCGATGAGGAGGATACCGGCTGAGGTACGACAGAGATAGATACAATGCGAGCCCCTTCAGTGACAAATTCCGTATTATACGGGCCACCCAACCTACATAATATCCCGTATGAGACGGGCCAGCAGATTATGGGCCCATGTTGTGTATATTCTCGATGATGACAGATGGGCCGGGACACATATTATTTCCGATGGAGACGGGTGGGCCCATGTATGCCAATGATATATATATCCTTGATGTTGACGGATGGGCCGGGGGAATATGATCATTCATGGAGATGGGTGGGCCCATCAGGGTAATATGTAGAGTAGGATATTATAGACAGCTGGGCTGAAGAGAGATGTAAGGCAAATATTGTTATATAGACGGGCGGGCCGACGGGGGTGTATTACATATATGGGTGGGCCGAGGTAGGGGAATATTACATAGATGGGTGGGCTGACGCGGGGTGTATTACATATACAGGTGGGCCGACATAAAAAGTATTACATATACGGGTGGGCCGACGAAAGGGATATCAAATAGACGGGTGGGCCGAGGGTGTGATAAAATATTTATTACATAGACAGGTGGGCCGAGG